AATTGGATAAATAAAATATTTAGGAGTCGGGATAGGGTTTGAAAGTATGAAAAATAAATAACATTTAAAGTTATTTTCAGAATACTGTTCTATGTACCGTTTAAGTCTCTTTCTCTTATTACATAAAAGAAATTCTGGATATTTGTAGTTATTCGCTGTTGCTCTTCAAAAAGAGGAGATATGATTGAAAACATGTAAAATTTCAAACTAAAATCAAATCTACTTTAGCTTGCTGTGAGCTGTAGTTCCTGTATTTTACCGTTACTATAGTTAGTGACAATATGTGAACTAGAAAGTACTTAGGATTAGACAATATGCATTATCCATGCATTATGCAATATTAGCTTGAGTCGTTTACTCTCTATATAGGCAGTAGGAGATTACAAATAACAAGAGGGAAGGGAGCTAGGGGGTTTCATATCAAGGTTCATAGATTTTCTTGCAAACTATCATGTTTCTTGTATAAACAATTTTATACAAAACATAGCAAGGTATGATACAGGACCTATAAATGACTGGATATAAGGGGGGCGGGGTTGTGCCATAATGATTGAGAAATATTGAAGGGTAAGGGGGGGGGGGTCGGAGAAAGGAGTTTTGTTGTCAATTCTTTGCATGGTAAACATTCTGATTAGATTGATATTCCAGAAAAATAAAATAAATTTTGTTTTTGTTTTTGTTCTCCATCTTGTATTGAATGTTTAATGAGATAAACATCGAACACAAATATTTTAAGAAAATCTTTAAAATTATAAAAATGTATATGTTTGGGAAAAGTATGTGAGCTTTTGCCTGTTCAAACATACATTTCAGGCTTACAGCGGACCATTCATACAGCTTAGTAAATACAGGGGGGGGGGGGAAGAGAGAAAAAGGAGAAGAAATGAAAAGAAGAAAATAAATGAGAATGTAAAAAATAAAAGAAAAAACTAGAAAAAACTAAGAAAAATTATTTAGAATATTAACAGAACGAGAAATAAGTAAAAGATAAGAAAAAGGACAAAGAATAAATAGGATATAAAAGAAATATATAAATATGAATAGATAGAGATATTATTTAAGACGGAAGAAAAAGAAGGAATGTGAATGAAAAGTGAAAAATGGAAAAAGGAGAGAATAAAGACTAGAATGGGAGATAAGAAAAGGAAAGAAGAAAAATGTAGTAAAATGAAAAAAGGAAAAGATAGGAGACCTGGAGAGCTAAGCAAAATTAAAATTGGATAAATAGAAAAGGAGGAAGGAAAAAGGAGAGAAATTATAATGAAACAAAAAGAGGGGAATAGAGAAGAAAATGTTTAGGAAAGCGGAAAAGAATATAGGAGAAGAGAATTTATAAAGTAAAGGAAAGAGAAAAGAGAAGAAGGAAGAAAAAGAGGAACACAATGGGAAAAAAGAAAAAAAAGAATTATTATATTCCCATATTTTGTTCTCTACGTAGATCTTGTCGTATGAAGGGCCCCTTTATCCACATATTGAACCGCGCAAACTTCTATGGTTCGGATCCATGGACGCTAGGGGGGCTATTGTGTCAGCATTCCCCCCCCCCTACACACATATACCCCCCCCTGGAATGGTCCGAGGGGGGCGCCTGGGAACTCTGAAGGGATAGGTTGTTAGTTGAATTTTAGACGGCTTAGTTATTACATATATACAATATATGCAATATATACAACATATACAACATATATACAACATACATATACAATATATACAATATACAACATATATAAAACATGCATATACAACATAGAGACAACATACACAACATATTGAAGCAACATATTCAACATATAAAGCCAACATATACATCATATGGAGACAATATATACAACATTTAGAGACAACATTTACAACATACAGAGACAACATATACAACATATGAAACAACATATACAGCATTTAGAGACAACATATAAAACATATAGAGACAACATATACAACATATTGGTATAGTTTTGGTTTGCTTTAAAACATTTATGTATTCATGAGACATTTAACCAAACCAAACCATGGGTGTAATGCAAGGAACCAAACCAAACCATGGGTGTAATGCAAGGAACCAAACCAAACCAAGGGTGTAATGCAAGGAACCAAACCAAACCAAGGGTGTAATGCAAGGAACCAAACCAAACCAAGGGTGTAATGCGAGGAAAGTTAATTGTAGTTGCGCATACTCTGAGTATATATTGAAACCAGTTCTCTTTGGGCGGAATTTGTAAACAAGGATAGATGCCTCAGTGTTCGTTTAGTATCCGAGGAGGTTAAAAGCATTAAATTTGATAATTTTGATAATTCACATACTAGTTTCCTATGACCAGAATATTTCATTGATTTTTTATGCGAAAGATGGATCCCATGTCAGGCTGTAACATCCGTCTTGTGTTTACATTACTGCCCAGAGACAGTACACTGCAGTACAAAAGATGTGTACACCTCTGAAATAACTTTCCTTGCATTACATCCTTGAACCATACCAAATAATCATATTTTCTTAAAGTTTGATTTTTTACAACGTGTAATTGAGAAAATATTTTGCAGGGTGAAAAAAAAATCACCTAATTTCAGATAAAGATGCTAATTTCCGATTCACAACGGTACCTTTGAAACCTTTGTTTGATCAAGTATGAATTGGTTATAATTTTGAAAACGGAGTATTTTCAATGTTTCTCAACAAGAGTGACTTGCGCATTTCTTATGTAGGAAAACAAATATTAATTATCAGAATTAAACACTTTTTAAAAACTGACATTATCTTCCATAGTATTGATTAAATAAAGGTTTTAAAGGTTAGCGTTGAAAATCGAACATTGCCATCTTTGAAATTATACATCAAAAATCTTGCATTATATACGCATTATATACGCATTATATACTTATTATAACACGAATTATATACGCATATAAGTGAACGCAAAGAAATATTCAGATATCATTTTTTCTTTCTCCATGTTTACATATATTTTACACAAGTGAGATACTCCCAACATTCGGTTTGTAAATTCGAACAAATTGTAATTTTGTAAATCTTGTGATAGTTAGACATTAAAAGCAAATATACATTAATTTAGACATTAAGAACCTTGATTTTTGATTTAAAACTGATCCATTAAAATTCCTTAACAGTTTTATTTAAGTTCTTTTAACTCTGAGGTTAAATTATGGTTAACCTTTATTCGCATAAAAATGGTGTAAAACATTTTACTGTAAGGTTTAGGGAAATTTTAGAAGCTGTATATAATATCATTAAAAGTATAGTTTGACATAAAAGATAAGTTAAAAAGGCTTAATTATGCCCCCCCTCCCCCCTCCCCCTTCCTGTTCTTGTTTTTGTATCGGATAAATTAATCTTCTCACAGGAAAATTAGAAAAACAACTTAATTCTGAAGCAAATCTTAAAACTATGTTATTCAAATATTATTTTATATTTTAGGAATACCGAGCAAAGCTGTTTTGTGCTTTGCTTCTAAAGGTTTTCCTTTATTGCCCCTAGGGGGGAAAGATTTACATAATATCCCGCTCAAGGAACGGGTTACTCTACTCATTTTCTGATACGGTTATATCTCTGCTACCTGATGGTGCAAAACCATTTATTAAATTTCAAATAAGAACGTTTTAAACTCAAATTTTCCTGCCCCTGTTGCAACTTGATCATGTGAACCTTTAATATTTCAAACTAAGATTATTGGACCTACAGCAGAATTCATAGTTTGAAATATGAATGGTCTACGACATCGGGTTACAAAGATAATGAGATTAGAAAACCAATTGATTTCTTTCTAACCTTTGATAAGGGTTTACTGGTACCGTTGTGAATCGTAAATAGAATGCTTTAAAGTATAAATTACATAAATAACCCCTTGATACATGCAAATACAAGATATTGATGATTGATTTTTTTTTTTTGGGGGGGGGGGAGGGTTCATATCAAGGTTCATAGATTTTCTTGCAAACTATCATGTTTCTTGTATAAACAATTTTATACAAAACATAGCAAGGTATTACCTATACGAAAAGTTACCTATACGAAATGTTACCTATACGAAATGTTACCTATACGAAATGTTACCTATACTAAATGTTACCTATACGAAATGTTACCTATACGAAATTTTACCTATACGAAATGTTACCTATGCGAAATGTTAACGATACGAAATGTTACAAATACAACTAACAAAATGTTACCTTTACGAAAAGTTACTAGTTCAACTAACAAAATGTTACCTATACGAAATGTTACAAGTACAACTAACAAAATGTTACCTAAAAAAATGTTACCAATACAAAGTTACTATACAAAAATGTGCTTTATATACAGGGTGAGTCAAAAAAAAGTGTGATTTGCTGCGCCTGGTGAAATATTGTACCTTTTTTTGTGCAACTCTCCTGTAAGGTGTTTTTTCAATATTTTTTAAAAATTTGTAATTTTTTTGTTACTTCAATGGTCCAAAAAAAATCCGCGAAACTTGTTTTCTTTCAAAATGAAAAGTTCAGAAAAACAAAAATGTTTAAATAAATTGTTTCTATCGAAATCTAAAATTTTAAAAAGATTGAATCACAGAATCTCAGAAAATTTGCAAACATGTAATGAGCAAATTCGCAATTTTCAGTTCTGGTATTATTTTTGCGGAAAAATTGTTTTTCAATGGTTCTTAGGGTTTCGACTGAACAGCGTATATTTAATACTTCAGAATATACTAAGAAGAAAGGAACTATAGAATTTAAATAACTTTTCATTAAAACTTAGACCAGAACTAAAAATTGCGAATTTTCTGTGATTCTTTGCTTCATTCATTAAAAAATTTTAGATTTCGATAGAAATAATTTATATACACATTTTTGCTTTTCTGAACTTTTAATTTTGAGAGAAAAAAAAGGTTCGCGGATTTTCTTTTTTTACTCACCCTGTATAACGTACTTTATGCCTCCAACCATCTTTATAAAAAGATAACAAAAAATGTACATAAATGTTCTTTAAATGTTGTATTTGGTTCAGGTATTTAAAATGAGTTTAAGGACCCATGTGCCCGGATCCCCGCTAAAAACATTGCAGCTAAATAACGGACAGATAAACCCCTCCATCAACCAATCTATCACACTCAAAGATATTAAGGTAATTTTTCTCTAGAGTTCTTGAAGGCGACACATACAGTCGATGTCGTATATATCAATACAATGAAGACGACTTTTTATTTCAATATTTTATTTTTACCAAGCTTTCAAGCAGCATGGATACACAGGAAGGTAGCAAAAAAACGTCTCTTTGTCAACTTGTAAACTTGTAATTTGAAAAAAAAAACTTTTTTAAAATAAAAACTTAAATAGAAAATTTGTCTTTATTATATTGATTTAAACGCCGACCAGTGTAGATCCAGACTGCTGATAAAAGTTACATCAATTTTTAAGACTTGGCCCGCGATGCAAAGATGACAATGCCCGATTCACAATGGTACCCTTTAAAGCGTTTCCTAGTCAAGTATGAACTATTTTTTACACAAGTGACCTACGCTTTTCTACTGCAACGCCAAGAAAGCATTAAAGAATTATCCGAAGTAAACAGTTTTGAACCTAAAAAACTGCAATATCTTCCGCATTATTGATCCGATAAAAGGTTTTAAGGGTACCGTTGTGAGTTGGTCATTATCAGTTGCTGATGCCATCTTTGATATTTCAAACTTTGAAATCTTCAAGATCAAATAATTAAAGTTTAATATATTAAAGCTTTACATAAGCAGGTTGAAAAGATATAAAGATTAGAAAAATAGAGGATGTGGCAATTAATCAGTTTCTTTGTATTGAGAAAATTAATTGATAATATTTTTAATTATGTTATTAATTGTTTAATTATTTTACTAATTACTGTAGAACGTTAATTGTCCAGGGGGGTAAATAATAAGTTGAATATTCCTAAACTTGTCTTAAACAGTTTAATTACTTTCACTCACTCACTCACTCACTCACTCACTCACTCACTCACTCACTCACTCACTCACTCACTCACTAGCTCACTTACTTCCTCATTCACTCAATTACTCTCTCACGCACTCACTCACTCACTCACGCGTAGTCAGTCACTTCCTCACTCACTCGATTACTCACTCACTCACTCACTAACTAGCCGAAGATGAAAAATGCAAGTTCTCGAATGTTGTTTAGGTGACTGCTAAAGCTGACAGCACGGGAATAGAAAATAACGTGCAGGTAAAAAAAAAACCAGGCAATCAGGTCGCTTTGTGCCACGCTTTCTTAAATACTTTAATCACTTAGATCCAGACTGCTTTGAAAGTTTGCATCAATTTTACACGTTACAAAATTTTTGAATAATTCGAATATTTCTGAGACTTTTTTTAGTTCCGGTTGGCCGGAAAACTTCCATTGGATGATATAGGTGTTAGGTTATACAAAAATGTGGGTCCTATCGTTTCAGCCGTTTTGACGTGAAATAAATATAGATTATGAATATCAATAAAATCCTTATATTTGTATCCCCAAAACTGATTTTGATTTGATCATGAATATTGCACAACGAGTTTAAAATTTTCCCTTCAAGCAAATTTTAGGGAAGAAAATGTAAAAAGAAAAGATGATATAAAAACATATTTCAGAGAAACGTTTTTATCAAACATCATCATTCTGTGAAGAAAATGCAAACTCCTACGGTTGCCCGCAGAAACGCCAGGGAGAGAAATAGAGTCAAGGTAAATATTTCATTCCAAAAACATATGTTCATAACCCTGTACGCGCGTTAATTAATCTTACAGGGCCAGGGGTGGGGTTATGAAATTTTATAGAGGTGTGTTCATCAAATTGTATCAGTGTGTGATCATGAAACTATATTATAAGGTGTGTTCATAAAACTGTATAAAGGTTTGTGTTCATGATAATATTCTGAGGTGTGTTCATAAAACCATACAGAGAAGTGTACATAAAAGCATACAGAGGTGTGTTCATAAAACTATACAGAGAAGTGTACATAAAACCGTACAGAGGGGTGTTCATAAAACCATACAGATGATGGTTCAAATAAAACCATTCAGAGAGTTGCTTATACATCCATACAGAAGTGTGTGTTCATAAAAACATACAGAGGAGTATTAATAAAACAAACAGAGGCGTGTTCATAAAACCATACAGAGAGGTGTTCATAAATCCATAGAGAGGGGTATTCATTAACCCCCTTCAGTTGGGTGTTCATAAAAACATACAGAGGGCCGGGTGTTCATAAAACCATACCATATATTAAATAATGTGTTTATGAAACAAAAAAGGGGTTTTCATAACATTACAATGTTTATAAATAATACAGGGCCGCGGTGTGCATTAAACAATATATACGACCTTTCTTCTTTTCTTCTATACGTTCTTCTCTTTTCTCTTTCCTTTTACACGTTCTTCTCTTTTCTCTTTCCTTCTACACGTTCTTCTCTTTTCTCTTATCTTTTTATCTTCTACACGTCCTTCTCTTTTCTCTTTCCTTCTACACGTTCTTCTCTTTTCACTTTCCTTTTACACGTTCTTCTCTTTTCTCTTTCCTTTTACACGTTCTTCTCTTTTCTTTTTCCTTATACACGTTCTTCTCTTTTCTCTTTCCTTCTACACTTTCTTCTCTTTTCTCTTTCATTTTACACGTTCTTCTCTTTTCTCTTTCCTTTTACACGTTCTTCTCTTTTCTCTTTCCTTTTACACGTTCTTCTCTTTTCTCGTTCCTTTTGTACGTTCTTTCTTTTCTTTTTCCTTCTACACGTTCTTCTCTTTTAGATTTCCTTTTACACGTTCTTCTCTTTTCTCTTTACTTCTACACGTTCTTCTCTTTTATTTTTCCTTTTACACGTTCTTCTCTTTTCCCTTTCCTTCTACACGTTCTTCTCTTTTTTTTTGATGCTTTCGATGATTATGTATGATGATTATATATTTCTCTATAAGTGCCAAATTGTTTTTTTTACTTATGAAAATAATTGCTCAATTAGTTACAGTGAAAATCTATAATTTTAGCACTGTGTATATCTAAAGAAATGAAAAAATTGTATATTTTTTTCATTTTTATACCAAAAAAGATTATAAAGATTAATAATAAATAAAGATTATAAGAATAGATACTGGGCTTGATGTTGGATATATCAATAAAGATTTTCTAATATATTTATAATAAACAGTGTAATGTTGTATATAACATACTTACTAAAAACCTACATTGCGGTGTGGGGGGGGGGAGGGTTCTTCCAAACTAACAGTTTTTATTGAAAAATTAACCTATATAATAAAACAAGAAATTCGTATATATATATATATATATATATATATATATATGTTGCCTATAGCCGGCCAAACGGCTGGACTGATTGGGCTGAAATATTTTGTGGACACTCATGGGTGGCCTGGGGGTGTTATAGGTTAAAAAAAATGTTTTCCACGGGCAACGTCGGGCCCTTCAGCTAGTATCTTATAAAATGCAAATCTATTATTTCAAACACAGACAAAAAAGTTCAATCATGAAATTTTTTTATTTTTTAATATTATCAAGTAGTTGTTTTAAACATTATTTCATGTGGTATGGCATGTGAGATTAACAAGGGTACACTTTAAAGTTTTTTTTTCTGATCAAGACTTCATGAGAAATCTATATTTTTCTCTCTAAAAATTGTTTATTTTTAATTGTTTCTTTTTCTTTAAATCATATCCTTTTCAGCAACAATTTGGAGAAAATTGTCAAAAATGAACACTTTTCAATCAAGATTAAGGACAATATGTTCCATGATATGATTTATGTTTTTTTTCTAGGTGGTGAATTCAGGATTTGATGTTCTCAAACATCATGTTCCTCATCTTAAATCTAAAGTTAGCAAAGTGGAAACATTAAAGGCAGCAGTCGACTATATTAGGTAAATGCACGAATAATCAATCAAATAATCCGCCAAAAAATGTAACCATTGGCACAAAGTTTTTAACCTTTTTTAATATATTTTTTTCTTTTAATAAAACAAAATTTTGAATTTTGTTGTACAGAGCTTTGAAAGAGATGCTTGGAGAAGAAGATGATTTTGTACCCTCAGGACCAATTCTAATAGGAGACAATGAAAGCTTAGGTAAAAATGAAGATTTTGATTTTTTTCTGTCAGAACCGATTTTTTAGAGGAAACAAATTTGAAATAATTTGAAAAGTGTTATTTCCTCATTATTTTTTCATTATTTTTATACAGAATTCTTATTGGGATTACGATTAATAGAAAGGCCGAAGATGACAATCAATCCATTTTTTTATTTCGGTTAACCATCGAGAAGATAAATGTCGAATTTATTTATTTTTAGATGACGATGCCTCCAACTTTTCTGAATTGGCGGATTCCAGTTTTTCGCCAAGCAATTCCCTCACCTCTTCAACTGATATACAGGTAATTTGAAATCAAATTGCAGATTTCTCAAAAAAATTTGCAAAATCTTATTAAATTTACTTATGAACTGTTATTAATCCTAACTTGAGTCTATAAACAGTCGTCTTCCTTTTCCACAGTTTTCTGAGTTCCATGCCTGTATTCTGAAAACAACTTTTTATATTTTCATTTCTCAAACAACTTTGGCCACACAGTTATTGATTCTAATAATATGATAGTGCGTCATTTGATGTTTGTTCATTTCATAGATTAATAACAACACAGATGTCGTCTTTCCAAGATTTAAGGGTGTTTCGTGCAGAAGAAGCCCAAAAAAGTTACATGCATGCCGCGTTGAATTATAAGACAGAGTGAGAGCATGCCTCAGGGTTATTATTAACGAAAAACCTCTAAATCGTGAAAAAGCAACATCTAGTTTTCTATCTGTATTGTTATTAATCTATGGTTCTTATCTATTCATCTATCCATCTATCCCTGCAGTATTAAAATAATTAGATTTTGGTTCCTGCATTCTGGGTTTTATTAAGTTTTAGGTTTATAAGCCAGTATAATGTGGAAGGAAATACAGAAAGAGGGGGGGGGGGGTATTTTTAAAAATGGAAAAAAAAACTTCTTTAGAATAAAACTATTTATAATAACTTGAGTTTCGTAATTGTTTCAGAAAGTGTTTTTGACAACTAGAGATTTAAATAATATAATTATGTAGATATTTTGCTCGTATTTTTGTAGCATATTGCCGTATCAAATAAATTTGAAATTCTAAGGAACAAGACCTTTTTATCAGAGACATAAATTGAAACAAAAATTCTATTCTCAGCTCATTATAAAACTGAGTTTTTTTTACAATTAACGTAGAGAAGAAAAACAAGGCTATAATCCATTAACAAATTCTTTTGTTTGAAGTTACTTTCATCAAATTGCAACCTGAGCTGAAAACTTTAAAATGGTGGATAATGAGATCAATGCTTGATCTCTTCTTCTGAATTTCAAAATTATTTATTTAATGCAGAATCCCGAACACCCAATCAGAAAATGGGAAATTTAGAATTTTTCGGGCCTTTAAATTTGAGAACTCTAATTGGACGGAATCTGTACTAGGATATTAAAAACGAAAGAAAAATATTGGATTAAGCAAGAAATTAAAAGTGTCCACATTGGATATTCAGATTAAACTGATCGGTTAAGGGTATCCAATTCTAATTAGTCCCCCGCTCTAATCTTCTGGACATGTTAGATATTTTGACATGAGTTCTGCAAGATATTCAAGTTTAAACTATCTAATAATTTTTTTTTTAAATCCCGTTTTCGAACTTTTTTTTTAAGGATGTGACCCTTCATCCCATGGTGTATCAACTCCCTCCCTCCTCATCAATCCTCTACTCATCCCCATCCTCCATTCCTTCCATCTCATCCCCGCTCTACCAGTCATCCATGGTCTCATCCCCGAATACGGAGAAAATTTCATCCAGTTTCCTAATCCCACCAGAGTATCAGAAAGAAGGTTAGACAATTTTATCAATTTTTAAACTGTGCTTAAAGGGACTGTGTGTGTAATTTCAAGTCACCCTCTATGCACAGAAAGCAATTCCCGATTTATAACGGTACCCTTGGAGCCTTAATCAGATCAAAAATGTGGAAGATACCGTCGTTTTTCTGACTCAAAAACTGTTTATTTCCGGGAGTTTTTCCATTGCTTGCCACAAACAAGGAATGGGCCAGTAACTTTCGCAGTAACCCGCAAATGAAAATTAACATAAATATCTAATTCATACTTGATATTAGACAAGACTTTCAAGGCTACCCTTCTTTAGGTGGAAGGTTACTTGAAATTACGCTTACAGTCCCTTTACAGGGACTACTGTCGACGTCATTACGAGTAACCTATATATATACATAGCGTCCCATATCAAATATTGGATTATCTCCAATGTTCATGCATGGAATGTTGTATTTTCTTAATGCAAATTTTCAAAATGATTAATTCTTTTTTTAAATTTCTGATTTCACTCTTAGAAATCAAAATTCAGAGGTATATCACGATCCAATATGATATGAGACACCCTACAGATCTCCTTTATTTTTTTTAAATTACAAGGAGAATATTATTATTGTTTTAGAATTGATTATTTGTTTTGCGTTTAAAAAGCGATTTGCGGATTTTTGTAATAGAGACAAGCATAGGAGTTGGCAGAATTAAACTATTTTGAAAATGTTAAAACGACAATTTCTTTAACATTATCACAAAGATTTGATTACCAGTCATTTTTATAAAAGTTTACAGGGTACTAACAACTTAAATTAAAGATTACGTTCGCAATTCCTTTAATTTTGAATCTCTAATTCTTTAACAGGAAAACACAGAAAGTTTTAAAACATGAATTAAAATGATTATTTATTTATTCACCGCGGGGGAATCATTTGAATAAAACACTAGGTTTTACAATTTTAATAATTATAAAATTTACAGACTAGAAAATGTTTTGATAAAACAAATTCATAGAAACCATTTAGCTAAATTTCCTTATTCTTCTTTTTATTATTCGTTATCATGTTTTAACCTTTAAAAAACGTTCGATTTGCCTTAAAAAGAAATTATAGAAATTAAAAAGTTTTTATTTGAGTTTAAATGATGTTTTTTTGGTCATCCAGGGTTACCCACAAAATATGAGTATTATAAGACAACTGTAGGGAATAAACTTTTTTCTTCAATATCTGGTTTGCAGCTATATATCCACTTAATTGTATTTTTGATAGATTTACTAAAAGAGATTTAAATAAAATTTTTGATCAGTAGAAATGCAAATCCGTCATAAAATTGTCATATTTAAAGAGTTCAAGGTAGGTCGTCATTAAAGCACAATGTACAAAGATAAAGTATGCTGCTTCATACTTTATCTTTGTACATTGTTCTCTTAATTAACTAATTCTACCGTATACATGTTTTATTAGTTTGTCTATGAATTATTTTATAATTACAGGGGAAATTACTTTATTAAAGACAGGGAAAATTACTTTATTGAAATTTTATATTTAGTTCTGAAAACCTTTAATTTATTCATCATAAAAGAGTTTTGATGAGTTTCCATAAAAGTTAGATTAAAAATGTTCTATAACGTGTGATATATTATTTATTCAGATGCCGAATTTAAATAATTTGAGCCTCGTCTTAAAGATGGGACGTGACTCAAACATGGTTGGTTCCACTTAAAATTGTATTCAGTGTTTTGATATATGAGCCGGCGCTAACGGTTTTTGGCGGTTCAGCGACGCGGTTCAAATTCTTTAAATTCGGCCTCCGATTAATTTTATATATAAGATAATATTATCTAAATACAATCCTAAACATTTTGAACTACGTCTGTTACATCTTTCATAACTCAAAGTTTGAAATTTCAAAAGTTTATTTCCGCTCAATCACATTCATTGAAATTTGGTGAATTTCTAAAAGTTTAAATTTGTTTGAAGTGAAAAAAATGATTCAGTTCCACATTTTTTTTATAATCCTTATTTATTTTTTATGTACCAGACCTTTGATGTTTTAAACTATGAATTCTGCAATATCAAAAATTTTGAAATCCAAATTTTACACCACATGGTCGCAAAGTTGTAGGGATTGGAAATAAGAGAAATCTATAATTTTTTATTTCTGTTAATCTTTAGGGGAAACAATTCGCTTGCCATCTATAGCTGCTCCCTCTTGGTGGCCGCAGATGCCAACTTCATCTGATAATAAAGAATAAAATAGGTAAATATATATATATGTATAAATTTAGCTAGTCTTTCTGTCTGTTTGTATCCAAAAACGTCGAAACGGCTTAATTGATCGGGTCGTGCCTAATTTTGGTAATTTCCTAAAATTTCATGGTTATCATATATATCACATGGATATCATTGGTCAGGTGGCCGCAGTGCCCAGCCCCCCCGCTTGTCCTAGCCGTGGCGCTCGGCCCCCTAGCCTGTCCTAGCCGCAGTGCTCCCCCCTTAGTCTGTCCTAGCCGCAGCGCTCGGCCCAGAAATAGCCTGAACCTAACCTAACCCTAAAATAAAAAGAAATAATAATAATTTTGCTGAAAAACAAGTGTTCATGTAATTACTGATATGAAATTAATCTGAATTAATTAGATTTAAAAAATGGCAAAAAATAGTGTTCATTTGTACAATGTTACAGTGGTGCCTTTAAAACCGCCATTTTTTTCATCGTTTTCCGATAAACATACTTTCGCGAATTTGTCTGGTTAAATTTGTGGATTTTCATAAATCTTAAATTTCAACAATTTCTTTTCAATTAAATTTTTCATCCATATAGCTTCCCTGGGTCATACGAGTTGCTACAAAAAATTTGGACTGGATTCGTTTTGCCGTTTAATAGAAACAATATATATAGAAAAATAAAATTATATAAATGAAATATTTTTAAGATTTATTTTAAAAAGTTTCGATATCGATTTACATTAATAAATAGTCATAACTTAAACGATTATTCATCGTTTAATTATTTTTTTTTTCAGCTGGATTGGTCAGATGTTTACTTGTAGATGAAATAAACCAGTTCTTGTTTGTAAACAGTAGAGGCTAGTCACCTTGCCGTACGTTAGGCCAGGTTTACCAGTGAAGATAATTTATTTAAAAGTGAAAAATGAAAATAAACATTTTAAAAAATCATGGAACACCGATAGTAGTACAATGTCATTGTCAAAAAAACCTGTAAAATCTTTCTTATCTTTCCAAGCTGACTTTTTAAACACCAAAAACCCATTTTTAATTGCATACAGTTTTCTGTCCTGAGGTTTGAAGTGTCAAACATATTTTAGAGAAAGGTTTTACAAGTTCTTTTCAGTCAATTTAGAATTCCCATCCATGTAAAGTCAAATCTAAAAACTGTGAACTAGGAAGAGAATACTCAAGATATGTTTTTAATTAGTTATTTGAAGACGATACACAGGAACTGAGCTTCTAAATATTTACTTTAAAACAGCATCAAGTTTACAGTGATTTCTTAAATGTCGTCTTCCTATTCCACAGTTTTATTTGTCTCACTGTATACAAATGTTCTCTTTTATTTTGGTCAAAAATTATTTACTAGTCGAAAGTATTTCGATGCTACCTATATATTTGTAACCTGGAAAAACTATGTATTTTTATGTAAAATGAAGAAAACATCTTATTACGAGCTTGACTTACTAGCTACTATTTTCTATTATTTTCTAATCCCTATATCTTTGCAACCCAATGTCGTAAACTTTAGATATTTCAAACTATGAGTTCTATTAGATTAGAAATTTTAAGTTTGAAATACTACAGGTTCACACCATCAGATATAGAAGTTGGTAAAGGGCCGGATTGGAAAATTTGAGTTTGTGGCAAATACTCAATTCCTTTAAATTCCATCTCTAAGGTTTATATTTTATTTCGAAATCTTTTTAACTGGTGTTTTCTTCAAATATTGAAAAAGTGAATACTAGGAGCTAAAACTACTCTGTAACAAAAATGACATTTTTTCTTTTGATAAAAAAGATGAAATAAACTTATTCAAATATTTTGTTTGTACAATTGTAATATATAAATAAAACCAAAGATTGTTGTAACAATTGACTCTATTCCATGCTTTTTGTTATACTATGCACAAAATATTGCTACTTACGTAATTGCTTCTTTCGTAATGAATATTGCTACTTACGTAATAAATATTGCTATTTTGTTCTTAAACATATATAGATCAGATAATAAACGTTTAGAAACATAAAGATAAAAGTGTTAAAATTAAGATACAGAATTAACGGTGTACCCATACCATTTATTTTATAAGTCGAATGAAACGCACGGGAATACAAATCTGTTTTTAACAAAATATTTCATCGGGCCCATTGGATTTTACGGCCAGAATAGCATTGAATCTAAATTAAGAAAACTTTAAGGAAGCCCACGAAGTAGAAACAAAATTCTTGAGTCTATTTTTTGTTTATATTGGTTTTTTGAAACCCCATTTTACAGTTTTGAAGGAAAAGAAAAAAAAATTGATAAAAATTTATGCCTTGAGTTGCCAATTAATGCTGGATTTTTGACTTCATAAAAGTCCAGGATATTTTAGCACGATACCAGCTTATGTGAATATCAAGCTAATAACCCACTATACATTTCTGTTGGTTTCCATTTCACTGAATCAAAGAAATTGTGGAAAAAGATATTTTTCTCATCTACTCCTCATAAGATCAGAAGTTCGAAATATTTAAATTTTTCCAATTCACACCAAACAATGTAGAGAAAATACAAGACAGTATTTGTTTTTCTTATTTTCTTTTCCAAAACTGGATCTACATAGAAATTACCAAAGAACTTATGTTGAGGACAACATAATAGTAAATATTTTTTTCTGATTTACTAGGAAAATCTAAAAAACTATATATGTAATGATTTTGTTTGCACAAGATATTGAAGTTTTATACATAAATATCTTTATAAATCTATCCGTTGCAATTTTTTCTTATGTTTGAAACTCATATTTATCCATTGCAGCAAAGTTTTAGTTGGATGACGTTTTATTCAATGCCTTAGGGCTACATTGTGGCGTTTTCTGCATTTATATATTTACGTTCCCCCTGAATTAATCAAAAACATTTTTAAATACAATTTTTCTTCTTGTAAATTATGAGTGAAACTCAGTCTAACAGAAATATAGTAAATATTTTATATCTCATCTATTTGTTTAACTCCCACAGGATAAAAATTCTAATGGTTCATTTATTAAATCTTCTACATTTAAATCGCAGCAAACAGAGAGGGGAGAAGGGGGGGGGGTGAAACACAACAAAGTTACTCAAATTAAACTAAACAGCATGTAAATAATTAGATAATACAAAATTAAACAGTTGGCGTAGGTCCGATATTCCAGTAGGTCGGAAAGTTAATAGGTCAGAAGTTCAGTAGGGGGGATGTTGCATATACCGGCGGATACCTCAATTATATATATATGTGAATAATAGAAACCTGGTAATTTCCTAGTAACAAATTTTTTTTACCCCCCCCCNGTAACTTTAGTATTTATTTAGGGTTAGGTTAGGTTAAGACACTTTCTGGGCCGAGCGCTGCGGCAAAGACAGGCTAGGGGGCCGAGCGCTACGGCCATGGGTTAGGTTAAGTTATGACACTTTCTGGGCCGAGCCCTGAGGTTATAGAACAGGCTAGGGGGGCGAGCGCTGGAGCCACATGACTTTACAACATTTAAGATCATGTACAAAATTGATAGGAGGGGGGGAGGGTCCAAAAATCGTTCTCTAGGAAATTACCGCCTACTTTTACCCTGGAATAATATAACATAAATATCAATTTAATGCTGAAAAAGAGTTTAAATTGCGTGCAAAAGGGGTGGTCCAAAAATCTTATATAAGGACTGCCCAAGACAAAACTTAAACAAAACCATTGTAGCACCATTACAATATTACCGAAAAACACAATTTGGCACGNCTTATATAAGGACTGCCCAAGACAAAACTTAAACAAAACCATTGTAGCACCATTACAATATTACCGAAAAACACAATTTTGCACGATAAATGATAAGTTATTATAGGTGCAAGTTTTTTCTTTTGGTTTCATAAATTGAGATATTGAATTTTTAAAAATCAAAAATATTTTATTTTCCAGCTGTTTTAAGATTTGTTATAATTGTTACCAATATTAATCCATGATATTATCTAAGATATTTTACATAGTTGTGCGAAAGAAAAAAATTTGAACCGTTAATTTGAATGCTAAATGATTTCATTGATAAAACGTCTTAAACAAACTTTTAAATTACTTTATCCAATACGGTTTTTTATGGATTTCCTTATTTCGCTTTTGAAAAAAACGTCAACTTAGAAGACAAGTTCGGATGTATTTACAATAATAAAAAGAAATTGAGAAATCGACAGTTTTATTTACAATGCCATTTGCTTTGTCAACATATTAATACAAATAACCATTTTCAGTTGGTGAATGTTTTTACTATTTTTTTTTAATGCTAAGAGGGAACTCACTTTTTCCGTCTATTCCATCAAATACTCTCAAACTACACATATAAATTATTTTTTAGAGCCAAAACCGGTATTTTTAGTGACCCAAAGAAACTGTCAACTATGATGATTTATTAAAGATACAATTTTATATTTTCGATGTCGAGATTTTCCCTTCGTTTTCGAATTTTAATTTAAAAAGTCAATCCACTAAAAATACCATCATTACACAAAAACGAACATTGATTGTTTACTATTTCAATATAACTTTATGTCAAGAATTGTTTCATTGTTTCACCAAGAAATATTTAAAATTAAGTAGTTCCAACTACTTCACTGTTTTGTTTAAGCTCAAAGTTTTGAACTTGCGCGCCAGCGGTATTTTACGCCGCAATTCAGAATGGGACCGAGTTTGATTTCATCGTCTTCTCTAACTAGTTTTTCTTTCGGTTTCATACGCGTAAATATACTAATTAGAAAAATGGTCGTAACAACGAGGTCAAAATCGCTTCCGGGGAGGTGTGTAGGAATATCTTTAAAACATCTCTGTACATTTATATCTTTTCAGATGAAAAATATCATAATGTAACCATGTAAATCTAGGAAATCAACAATATCTTCCACACTATTCATTCATTATAAAGTTATGCTTACAGCCTCTTTGTAGTCTGTAGGTATAGAAAATGCCAAAATGTTGGTATGAAGACTGGTCTTATCTTAAGTGATGAGCAAAAAAGATATTACCATACATGTTAGAGTTATTCTTTGTAGGTATAGAAAATGCCAAAATGTTGGCATGAAGACTGGTCTTATCTTAAGTGATGAGCAAAAAAAGGTATTACCATGTATTTTAGAGTTATTTTTTTGGTGTTATGGTAAATAATTTCCCTAAAGGTACTTTTCCAACACCAACTCACCCAGGCAAGTAATTTTGCCAAAAAAAATACCCAATTCCCCTGCCGTAACATTCTTTAATAAATTGAACAGCTGTTATGTATTAAAATATATTAAAATAATCTTTAATTTAATCAAAGATTTTTTAACAAATACACAAACATTTTATATATTAAGAATTTTTTATTTTCAATATTCCAACTTAAGATATGATGAATTCATTAGAATAATGGTAAAAACAGAAATAGTTTTATTATACCATGCACGGGGAAAGTGTTAAGTTGTGACTGGGTAAATCACTGTTTGGAAAATTGCCATTGGGAATTAACACATATATGTATTTTAATTTTCTTAAAGGGGGTGTTTACGAAAATTAAAAGGGGGTATAGGCTAACTTCAAAAAATATTCGATGGTGAGAATTATTAATCTTACTTCTATCTATTGCGTCTATAAGAAGAAAATTGTTAAAAACAAGAAAAAGAACGTAGTATCCATACAAATTTAGGAAGTTGTGATGCTTGATCGTAACAAGATCAATTTAAATCCAAACAAATAATTCAAATATTAAATCCTACACTCATCGATATTTTTTCAACGCATTCATGCGTAGTTGATATTCCATAATAATTTTTATTTATTATATATATTCTGTAATTTTAACAATGATTAGATGGCCACCAGTTGTCTCTGCTCTTGATGTTTCTGTGGTTCCACACACAAGGGAGAGACACCTAATGGACAAAAAATCGTTGTTTTAAGTGCATTGTATACAAAAAAAAAAATATATTATGAAATATATTATGATCTGATTCGACTATTGCAACTTTCTGAATTTGTATGGACGCTACATTCTTTGGTATGAGTCATTTGAACAATTTTCTCCTTATAGATGAAAAAATAGAAGTAAGATTAGTAAAAATCACCATAAAACATTTTTCGTCGTAAGCTTATGCCTCATTTTATTTTTCGCAAACACTCCCTTTAACAATACATAAATTTTTTTTTATAAAAACTTTTTATCTATTGTAGATCTGGTTCAAGAAAAAACTGAAAAGAATAGGTTCTGATACTTCTGTAGTTCCTATGTTACATCACAGGCAAGATACTAAATATTGTTCATATGGATTGCATTATTTTTAAATTGACAATTATCAAACATTGTAAAACATCGTAAAGTGGCATTTTAAAGTTTCGGAAAAGGATTAACAAATAAATACTTGGTTAAATACATCATTTAGCAGTACTTATTGACGAAAATTAGCATTATTATTTTCTCATGAGAAATCTTACTTACTAATAATCATTTTATTTATTTATTGTTTCCTAGATCCCATATTCCATCCAAGGTGAAAACAAATCTAAACTTAAAATCTGGCATAGCTGCCTTTTTTACTGATCTGGCTACTTATCGGTCAAACAACCCATCATCCAGTTCTCATCTTTCTCTCAAACAAAACTTGAAATCAACCCCAACAGTTCTCAGTTCAATACCTACACCAGTGATTTGCACCACCTATTCTGCAAAATGTTCTCCTAGAGCTTACCAGAATACAGAAACAGTTATTAGGTCTCTAAAGATTTATCCAACAGGTAAATTCAAAGCAATATTTTACATACAGTGATAACTTGAAAACTGATGGACTAGGAAGACAAGATAAAAGCATTACCTAAGTGTATCTAATTTCTTTAAAGTGATTGTTCACTTATTTGGGTAATTTCGGGGTAAACTAAACAGTAAACAGCCCATGCATTTGGTATTAGTCTTACATTTCACAGACAACTGTGCAGCCGGAGAAAAAGCTGATTTTTCGTTCGGAATTCGAGCGGAAAGTACCTTTGTCAGATATAGTATATTAGATGTTTTTTAGCAACAGTAGCCAAGTAAAATTTTAATTTATCATATTTTAATGTCACTATGTGTTAGTTAATATATACTAAAATATGAAAACTTTTGATATTTGAGTTAGCAAGAAATTATTAAACCGTCCCTTTATACAAACCAAATATATTTACTAGCATATAATTATATTATTTATCAATATTAAAATGGGTCATTTTAAAATACACAATTGGTGTGTTTCATGTTCATCGGACCAAAGTCAGAACTTGAGTGTAAAAATTGTCTTCCTATTCCAGAATTTTCTGGTTCTGACTGTATTTACTTTATGAAATTGATTTTTTTATTGCTCTAGATAAATTTGCTATAGTATTAAAAATATATGTACGTTTTTATTTATTCAACTATTGCTCTGTGCAAGATAAGCCCCTATTTCAGTTCAAAAGCTTTGGCTGAAAGATGCCAGAGTTGGAGAAGTAAATCAAGCTCTGATGAAGAAATGACTAAAGTTTACTTAGCAAATACACAAACGGTAGATTTGAGACATCCTGTCAAAATGGTGGAAACTATTCATAGTCAATCCTCTTACAGTTGCAGTTGTACAGGACTAACAATGTCAGATTTTTGCAATACTTCTTCTCAAATCAATAAATCAACTGATTGTCAGAGTATTGACACTTTATCCAATCCAGTTGTCAATGCTAATTTTGCAAGAGATATTGACAATCAGCCTTCTGAAGAATCTAACCTTTCACCAGAGGTTATTCACAGTACAGTTATCATGAATCCTTCACATATTCCAAATCTAACAGCAGAAGCCCTTGGAAATAATAAGTCCAAAAAAAACTATAGATCAGTTTATGGGAGGAAAAAAGAGGAATGTGCGGGAGGGTCTCATGAAGAATTTATGATGATTAACACCTCATTAGATGACCGCAAGCCAGAGGTATTTCCCAAAAATGTGTGTTAACTGTAAAATATTGTTTTTGACATATTAATTTCAATTTGAAATCATGTAATTAAACGGGAAACCTGTATTTAACAATTAAAGGTCCTGTAAGTCTAATTTCAAGTCACTCTCCATTAGGGTTTCCAATCTGAATTCTGTTGCGAGGAATTGCTCGGAATTGCACGCAATGGTTGCTTCCGCTTATGATATTTTATTGCGCTCAATTGCACTATAATTGCGAAAAATTAACAATTTAATATGTTACATTTTTCATTTGTTCATATTGGATAAACATTAAAATGGAAACTTTTTTTGGTTAACATTGTAAGGTTCTTTTCATCAAAATTAGATATTCTGCTACAGTTAGAACCAGAAAACTATGGTACAGAAAGACAATACACAGTGTATTTGTTGTAGTTACAAGTCAAAAAAAATTGATTAGTAACTTATTAAATCACTTATCCAGTTAAATGGGTCTGCTTCAGTCTAAATTGTCGTCTTCCTATGACAGAGTTTTTTGGTTACCATGCCTCAAATGAATATTACAAAAGATTAAGTTTAAATTCAATTTTCTTAGCATTTGAGACTGAAATGTTAGTGAAGTTCAGTTTATTGTATGCCACTACCAAAGTTTAAATTGACTTTTTTGTTGTTGAAAGGAATTACGCAATAATTAATTGCATTTAGTGTGTGCCATACAGGGGCGGACATAAGGATTCTGTAGGGAGTAAATATTTTTAATTTGGCGCCGAATTTTTTTTTTACCCCCCTAGAATTTTTTTACCCCCCCCTAGAAAAATATCATGAAGTATATCAAATTATTAGTTTTAATTGGGTTTGATTTGTATTTTCCACTCATTTCTGGGATTTACAAACTCAATCAATAAAGGCTTCATTACATGCCTCTCAGCTTTCACCTTGTTTAATATCCTTCATTATAGTCATTCATTTTACATTAACTACAAAGATCTGTAAAAAAATAAATTTATTTAATTTTAACTAAACTTGTTGGCAAACATTGACAAGAAAGGCAGTAATATAAAAAATGATAGTTTTACTCTAAGAGGAAAAAGATGTTACTTTTTTAAATCTTTAGAAAAGCTACTCTGCAAAACTTTGAAAAAATATGGTCATTACTCATTGTTAAATTTTCTTGTCGTCAATGTAGTATGTTAAGATCTTAACGAAATCCAATGTGGAAATGACATTATTTATAAGTAAAAATATTTTTATTGTCCATACAATTTTTTTCTATTAAAAAAACATTTAATTTTATAACATTGACTATTACTTTAGAATTTAGAATCATTTAGAATTTGTTGACTTAAAATTTGAAATATCTGATTCTGACGTATCTGCACAGTGCACATTTTAATTGTTTTCGTGCAAATTTAAAAGATATTCAATTTTGAAACCAACCATTTTTTAAAAACAAAAACAAAGTAACAACTCTTTCCTCCATTATAAAGTCGGCGTGGCTTGGCGCTTAAAAACTTGTTCAGAATGTCTTCATGTTTGATTAATTTTAATCTACTAGGATGGGAGTGCATGAGTGCAAGGCTAGATAGCCTTTCCGTTTTCATGGTGTTCCGCAGCCATGTTAGCAACCTAATTATCAATATACATAAGTTCCGTTTCTATTTTTTGTTTAAATTTTAAACAGTTTTCAAAGCTTATCAAATCAAAATCAAAACAGGGCCTGAATATATGTTCAGGGGTAATTACCCCTAGAATTCTAGGGGGGTATTTACCCCCAGGATTCTAGGGGGGTATTTACCCCCAGGATTCTAGGGGGGGGGGGGTAAATAACCCCAATAACCCCACTTATGTCCACCACTGGTGCATTAAGGTTTAAATTAAATTTTATCAAAAAATTGAAAAACACAAACGCAAGAAAGTTCGATGGAATTGCACGCAATTATTATGGGATTGCACGCAATTAACTTCACTTGTGTGCAAGGGCTCGCAATTGCGCGCAAGTAAAATCCACTTGCATGGGAAACCCTACAGTCCATGCAAAGAGGACAGTTTTCGATTTCTAGCAGTACCCTTGCCTGATCAAATATAAATTAGAAATGCATTACTTTGTTTATTTAATTTTTTTTTATTTGTGGTTTCTCTGCAAATATGCTTAGCTTTTGCTTTTACAAAATGATGGAGAAATTCACAGAAGTTAACACTTCTCAAGTCAATCATTTGTCATCTTTCACATTTTTTATAGGACAAAGGTCATAAGGGTAACCTTGTAAATGAAGCATTTCTATCTTTGCATAACAGGTCACTGAAAATATGCTTACAGTCTATTTATAAAAGGTAGGGAATTCTTTCTTGGATAAAATTATTTAAAAATATATGATGTATCATCATAAGAAGTTTAGAAGGGATCCATTCTCAGACAAGAATGCGAATTCAGGTACCATTTGGAAATCTCATAATTTGTGGCAGATTTATAAATTTTGTTTTCTAGTGACGGGGAACAATCCTGTTCACACTCACCTAAATCTTGAACTTCAGGTAACAATTGTTATTTATAATTGTATCCTCTTGAGCATAAGTCTCTTGATTTGTGAACTTTAGATTTGGATATCCTTAGATTAAAACTTTAGAATGGGATATCCTTAATCCCAATCTGTTAATTAAACTGGAGATTAATATCATGAGGAAAACAAGCAATATTTAATCTGGAGATTAAGAAAAAGAGTGAATCAAGCATTAATCTTGACATCCACCATTCTAAAGTTCCCATGCTCCAAATCCCGAGCTGAAATCTTTAAAATGGGATATCGTTAATCCTGATGGGTTAATTAATCTGGAGATTAATAACAAGAGAAAAGAAGCATTATTTAATCTGGAGACTAAGAAAAAGAGTGCATCAAGCATTTATCCTGAAATCCCCCATTGAAAAGTTCCCAGCTCAGAGCTGAAAACTTTAGAATGGTGGATATCGGGATTAATGCATGCTTAATCCACTTTTTTTCTTAATCTCGAGATTAAATATTGCTTGTTCTCCTCTCATTTTTAATCTCCAGATTAATTATCCAATCAGGATTAAGGATATCCCATTCTAAAGTTTTCAGCTCCGATCACTTAATCTGAATATCCAATATGGACACTTTTAATTTCTTGCTCTTTTTCTCCTTTTTTCACATCCCTACCAGATTTTGACCAATAAGAGTTCTCTCGTAAAATTGCTCTCTAAATTTCCAATTTTCCTGATTTTAATTGGCTGTTTGGGATTCTGCCTACACCACTCAATTGGTTGAATTTTGCAAACTTTTCAGGATACAAACTAAAGATTAAGTTAATCTTGAGATTAATAGATAGAGGAGATCAAGCATTGATCGCATCAACAGTTCTAAAGTTTTCAGCTCTGATAGTACAGTTTATCAAAGTAATCTTGGGCAGGTCTTAACTCTGTAGTAATCAGTTTGGGACTCAAATCGTGTTTTGTGTTTAGGGTTCACAAAGAAGTGTTCTTATGATGAAAATTCATGATCAAGATCTGTCCAAAGGTATACATTTTTTAAATAGATATATCCCTCTTTTATTTTGACTTTGAGAACAACAGTTACTAACTAGTTACCAACTAGCTTACCAAATTTTCAAGGTCTGCATTGGACCATGCATGGAAAGTTCCGATTTTACAAAAACTATTAAAAACAAGAAGGAATAATATATAAGTTGAAGAATTCGATGATTACGTAAGAACTGAAATGATAAATATGTTATATATATTTATTCAAAATGTCTTAAAAAATTAAACTACAACCTTTATATATGTATGTATATTTTGCTGTGTGAATAAATATAATTTTATAATTTAGTTTGCAACTCTGACACTACTCTGGAAAACAGATCAGATCAGCATAAAGTAAATTTAACACAGCTAAATTACAATCTGATTTTTGTAAACTCATAACATAGTGAACAGGGTAATTTATCATTTTTAAAATGATCAAAACACTATCCTTTTTAACTTCGTTTTTCGTTACAACAAAGAAATCAGTCGTTTTAACTTTTAAAAAATGAAAAACAGTACTATACGATACGATCGTTTAAAAAATGAAAAACAGTACTATACGATGAGATCGTTTTAAAAATGAAAAACAGTACTATACGATGCGATTGTTTTTTTAAAAACAAAATTGAGTTTTATGACAAATACTTAAATTTTTTTTTTCAGAAAGATAAGTTAATACATACGTTGTCTTACTTTTTATCAAAAGAAATTACCTGAATGTTTTTTGAACTAGGGTTTTTCTGATTAAAGGATTTTTCAGACCAAAAAATATATTTTGTCTGATAAAGAATAAACGATTGATCAAATTTTAAACAATGAACTAAAACCAAAATTTTAATTTTTAATTTTTTAATTTTAAAAATGATTCTTTTACAACACGACTGTTTTGGTTTTCGTTTTTTCTTCCTTGTGAACAAAACGAAATTATTTTTTTTTCCAAAAAAATAAAACGATTCCTTTCTGTAATTAACATTTTCACTGGGTAAATTGAAATTAAAAGACTCAGATATTTTGGAATATGTTTTGAACATTGGGGTTCCAGCTCTACTAAACCTTTATACTGCGGAGGAAACAAAATTCCTAGGTATGTAATTTTTGATAATAAAATATCTTGAAAACTTTTAACTTTATGCAAAACTTGTTTAATTTTATCTGGAATTTGATTCTCACTATTAGCACATATTTCTAAATTAGCTAAACTCCTTATTGTTCTTCCATATTTATCATTTAAAGCATACTAGATAGTTCAGTGATTTTAAAACACGTAGAAACAAATAGCACCATTTAACAAAACAGCTTATTATTTCAATTCAGGTTCAACCCTCTTATTCATTTTCTCCTTCATTCATATTTGCACAAAAATTTTACTTTAATTTTAGAATACCGCACTCAATGTTTCTGGACTAGTTGGTCAAGGTTTAACTTGGGCTCTCAGGTTATGAGTGTCTATAAAAAGTGGTGTTGCTTGGAAGGAGATCTTGCTCCCTGGATAATGATTATTTTTAATAAGCAATTAACAGAAAGACATGTAGGTAAGTAAATCCTCTGTTTATAGTTCTTTCATTTTGATATTTTCATCCAATTAAATCTTTTTCAGCTTTCATGGTTGAAATTGATGATGAGTCTAGAATAACGGAAAGTGATTGTATCACACTTCTCAGGTATACAATCTTTATCTTTGCGTATCTTTAAGTTTATACTTGTCTGTCTTTCTGTATGTTTGTGTCTAATAAACGTAGAAGAAAAGGATGTAAGGAAGGAGCCCAAAATTTTACAGGCAACTCACATAAGGTTTATGGCTGGTGGAAATTGAAAAATGTTGGCTGAAAAAATGTTGACATTAAATATTTTTTTTAAAGTGTACCAAATTTTGAGAACAATAAAAATGGCAACTTTCAAATTCAAAACTAGAATTGTTTATAGAAAATACAAAACGACGAAAAAACCTAGAACATTTAAAATTAAGCATATTTTTTCAGGGGAAATGTCAAGTCAGCTGGATACCTTTTTACAGCTTGAAATTACCTACAAAATGCAGAGGACCAAATGTTGAATGCCATGGGTAAAAAGAACTAACTTTTAAGGGAGTGTTCGCGAAAAATGAAAGGGGGTATAGTCTTACGGCGACAAATAATCCCTTTAGATCGTTACTAATCTTACTTCTATCTGTTGCGTCCATGAGGAGAAAATTGTTAAAAACGACTTTTACTGAAGTACATACAGTTCATACAAATTCAGAAAGTTGCAATATTGAACTCGGATTGTAAATTAAATAATTTAATTTCAAACAAATCATTAAGATATCACAACCTTTAAGTCATCAAATATTTTTCGGCGCATTCCTATCTAGTTAATATTTCATAATATTTGTTATTTGTTATATATGCAATGCACTTAAAACAACTTTTTTCTGCCAGGTTTCTCTGCCACTTGTAATCATTCAAAGCATCAAGAGCAGAGACATCTGGCAGCCAACTATTTAGGCGTTTTAAGTGCATGTATAAAAACGAATAAAAAAATATGAAATATGGTGTGAGCTCAATAGCTTGGAATAGGGATAGTTCCAGTGATGCAACCCTCTCAAGTCATACAAACCCGAGATAAACTCAGATTGGATAATTTCATTGATGTAACCCATTCAATCCTCACATGGACCCGGAGCTAAGCTTAGATTGCAAGTAGTCTGGCCTATTAACAGGACAACATTTTAGCTATAGGTCGGACAGAAAGTGGGGCGGATGATAAGTCGCCAATGTGGAGAAATATTTGTCATTAGAAAATGCCGACCAAGGAAACATGCTTTGGACACATGTTTTAACGCATGGAAAACCTAAGCCACCATTACCCCAGATCCTGGTTTAAATTCAAGCCAAAAGGCATGAACCACGGCTTAGAAGGATAAAATAGGATCTACCTGGGATAAACCTGAAATGGAGTCAGTATTCACCAAGATTCGGAATACTGTAGGTTATAATATCTGGGTGATTTGTTTGAAATTAAATTCATTTGTTTTACAATCCGAGTGGAATATTGCAACTTTCTGAATTTGTATGGACGCTACATTCTTCAGTATAAGTAGTTTTTAACGATTTTCTCCTTATAGACGCAACAGATAGAATTAAGATTAGTAGTGATCAAAAGCGATTTCTTTTGCCGTAAGCCTGAACCCCCTTTCATATTTTAAGTATGCATGACAGAGCTAGGGTTTCCAGCAAAATGGGAAAACACTTTGATTCGCCTAAAATTGCCATATTTTTGCATTTCTTTTGTAGACATTAAATTTATCTATTTGTAAAAAATGCAGAATTTTGTGGAACGGAAATTGTAAAAATTTCGCCAATATTAGTTCAGTCCTCAGAAAGGTTACTGCAGAAAGAAAATAGTAGAATTTGGTGCAATTATCGCTTGCACTTTTGATGCATGTGTATATCTCTATTTAAGTATTGATTGCACACTGGGCACTTAGAAGTTAGATTAGAATTTTAATGCAGTTTTGTTTCATAAAATGTAAGGTAATGCATCTATGCAGTCTGCATAATCATAATTTGAACTGATATATTATTTTACATATCCCTTTATTGAAGGAAGAGATGATCATCGCTTTGTGCCAAATGTTCCGCACCCACCATTAAAACGAATGCTTCTAGGAAATTCAAACTAATTATTCATTTTCATTTAACCTGAGCTGGCAACTTTTGATCAATAATCCTGATCGCTTTATCTAGTTATTCATATTGGGCACTTTTGAAGGTTACAGAAAATCTCTTTGATCTCTTGATTTTGGACATCCCTACTTTCTCTTTGCCTCATTGGTTGAATATAAAATTTCTTGGCTTCTGATTGGCTGTTCGTTTGCTGAACTTTAGAGGATTTTGAATAAAGATTAGCAAATAATTGAGATCAACGTTTGGTCTCGATATCCACAATTTATTGATTCCCAGCTCTAGATTCTTCAGACATACCTAAATTACAAAGTATTATTGATAACTTTACCTTTCTAACAAAGATCACTGTTTGAATGGGTGTCCTTAGAATTTGGTTTAGAGGAGGGAAAGAATACTCTCCTATTTGAGATTCTGGAAGGAAACAAAAACAAACCATTCCTAACTGATCAAAAGGTAATTGTTGTCCTTCTTTTCAACACTTTATTCATAAAATAATTCAAAAAACAGTTTTCAATATCAAATTTTTAACAAAAACAACAAAATTTTCTGTTTATGCTTATCAACCATTTAACAGAGGAAAACTAATTGGATAGAGAGTAAAAATACGCAAAAAATAAGTTTTAAAAAACCATTTTTTTGCTATTTCAAATAAGAGTAATTCTCACAAAGCTCACTATAAATATTAAAAACTGTATTATTTCATTAAAAGTTATCAAAATCTGACAACTAAAATTGGGTCAAAACAAAGATTTAGTTTCTTTCAGGAAAAAAGTAATTATTCAGGCAGTGTGCCTGAGGACGACATTTAGTATAAAAACCGTCTGCTTCTAGGACATTCTAATAAGAATACACGTTGATAATTAATCTAGAAAAACAAAGGATATTAACCCTATTCCTGCGGAGAGGGGGTCAAGTTGACCCCCCCCCCCTGTTAGTTTTTTTTTACATAACTCATAAAGTGTTGGTTCATTAGAAAGCTCTTGTGCTCTACTTTTAGAATCTGTTAGTTTCCTTACATAACTCAAAAAGTTTTGGTCTGAGGCTATTGACACTTTCTGACTTTTCCTAAATATCCAAATCCCTCCCTTTAAGCCTAAAACCAGCTTTCATAATAAATGCATGAGTCCTCAGACACACTGCCTGAATGACTGCCTACGAAAAGTTTAACTATGAGTTTAACTTTTATTCTTTACGCTAAATCTATCAGAATAATTTCTAAACATTTGATTTTCAATAACTTAACATTCTTTTATATACTCTAGTGGCAATATAACACATTAGTTAGATGACTGTTGTCCTGGGACTACCATTTTAAGGAGTGTTCTCGAAAAATGAAAGGGGGTATAGGCTTAATGCGATAAAAAAAGCACTTTTGATCGCTACTAATCTTACTTCTATATGTTGCGTCTATAAGGAGAAAATTGTTAAAGACGTTTCATACCGAAGAACGTAGTGTCCATACAAATTCGGAAAGATGCAACATTCAACTCGGATCGTAAACAAATCAACTTAATTCAAAAAAAATCATTCAGATATTACAAACAGTAGTCATCGATTATTTTTCGAGGCATTCGTATATAGTTAATATTTCATAATATTTTTGATTTAAAAAAAAATAATTTTCGCTGGCGCTGGATTTTCGAACATTCCTGGAAAATATGGAATGTCGTCTTCAGGGGCGTACGAGGGCTTTTGTTTAGGGGGGGGCACAATTTTGGGGTCCCCCCCCCTTGGCAACAGTATGCCCCCTCTTAAAAACCCATTTTTTGAAAAAATATTGATAATTTTTTTATTTTTTTGGCCCCCCCCCCTCCCACCTGGACTTGTTTTGTTCACATTAAAAATACCATGAATCAATAATCACAGATTCATTAAAAATTATATTTTTACTAATAAACGAAATTTCTTCTGAATTTTTTAGATAGAATTTATTCAATCTACATATTCACCAACTATTTTAAGCTACAATTTTCTGGGATTTGCTTGCACAAGCATTTCAATGATTTTTTCAGTAGAGAGCTCAGACAGCCTTTTAGGGTGTAAAGCTTTAAGTGCAAGATCGTTAAGTCTGCTCTCCGTCATAATACAGGTTATTGTCAGGTGTTACTTTTTAAACGTAGTTTCCTTTTAATTTTGTATTTTCCAGGGGGGGGGGGAAGTGCCCCGCCTGGAACTCCCAGGTCGTCTTCAGTATCAAAAATCCTCGAAACGGGAATAAATGTTTTCAAAAGTAACTCTCAGATCATGAAAAATTCAAAATATTATTAAATATCAACTATTTACGAATGCGTCGAAAAATAGTCGATGAATATTGTTTGTAATATCTGAATGATTTGTTTGGAATTAAATTGATTTGTTTACGATCCGAGTTGAATGTTGCATCATTCTGAATTTGTATGGACACTACGTTCTTAGGTATTAGTTTTCTCCTTGTTGACGCAACAGATAGAAGTAAGATTAGTAGCGATCAAAAGTGCTTTTTTATCACATTGAGCGTATACCCCTTTTCATGTTTCGCAAACCCTCCCTTTAAATGCTATTCGTTCTAAATTATCCTGTGCAAACTTTGCAATTTCAAAAATAAAACACACTGTTCCAGAAAAAGTAAAATTATATTATCAAATCAAATCAAATCAAATCAAATCAAATCAAATCAAATCAAATCAAATCAAATCAAATCAAATCAAATCAAATCAAATCATTTATTCCAGCAGAAAACAGGTTTACAATCTAATATTCTAGCAAAATATATAACGTGTACAAACAGAAAGAAATCAGATCTGGACTCAATAAGCTAGGGCTGTTTAAGCAAAACGAAATTTTTAATTAATAAAAAAATGAAAAAACGTATTATGAGAATTTGAGGAGAAATTCACATACCACAGAGGTTTACAGTTTGCACACAAAATATATATAATACAATATACAAATATAACATTTAGCGCCGAGCTATACCATAGTTTCATTGGTTAAAAAAGGGTTTTACTTCAAATTCTGTTATTGCATTGGTGATAGAAATGGCGCAAGAGCCTAGCTTAAAGTTGGTTTATAAGTTTTCTAAGTTTTATAGGTTTGTGATGGCTTTACAGTGTAAAGGATTAAAGTATGTAAAGAATGTATTTTCATTGCCAATCTAAGATAAATGTTCAGAATTCATGATTTTTTAGATTGTGAATCTTTAAAGTTAAGGTTACGAGCACATACAGAAAGACAGAAGTGTTTATGATTTCAAAGATTGTTCTTTATTTATGCATTTTATCAATATACTTCTGAAAGTGTCACATGTACACAACAAGGAAATTTGCATATTTTTAGTTTTCCTTAACTAAACATCAGTTTATTTAAAATTTTGCAAAAAATTTTGCATATTTGAAATGGCATGGTCATGAGGGCTTTTCTTAAATGTATTTTTTATTAATTTTTGGACCATTTTTTTGCAAACATTTTTACTTTATAACTAGATTTTGCCCTTTTTTTGCAGATTCTAAAGTAAAACACAAGACTTTCCAATGGTGTATCAATATTTGGACATCAAACATGGGATTCAGCGAATCCTGGATTTCAAGTACCCCAGCAGAGATAGGGTTAAGTAATATCAATGGACTAAACAACTTTTTCTTTTATAATCATAATCAAGATAATTTATAATAACTTTAGACCTAATTGTTAAGTTTATACTAGATCATAAAGATAATACTTCAAAAGGAGCCTGGCTAGAACTGATATCAAATGAAACTTTTATTTAAAGAAATACTATATGTAGATGAAAATAATCTCTACATACATAAACAAAATATGTACAGTACCATGCACATGTTTTACAAATGCTTGGGAAGAATCCCTGGAATAGGCAGGTATATAGTGTGAGAACCCGCCTAGTCTAAAATAAATACTAAATTGCAATACAGAATGCTATAGAAATACTAATATGCACAGTCCAAACAGAAACGATGCTTAAAATTACAAAAATGTGCTAGATTTTTAACCATATTGATTATTTTTATTTATAGATTCTACTAATAGTTGTACATATACACAAACATTTGAATTGCACATTTTAAAGAATAACTATCCTTAATCCTATTCTGACTGAGGGGGGGGGGGAGGGTCAGACCCTCTTATCTTTTTTTTGCAAAACCTCAAAAAGCATTTGAGCTAGAAAGCTCAAATTTTTTGGCCTTTCTAATTATCACATGCTTCTAACTTTTTTTTATACCTCAATAGAGAGAGAGTCGTCAATTTTGATAACGAACAAAATTTTGATAACAAACAAAATTTTGATAACGAACAAAATTTTGCATGGAAAATGGTTTCATTCAGAAAAAAGAAATGTTGGACGAACGATTTGTATCATTGAGATAAATGAAATATTGTTAGTTTTTTTACTGAACAAATGATTTTCTAGAATAAACTTTAAAAAAACAATGAATGAATTCGACTTTGTTGAACAAAACATTTTACTGAACGAATAATTTTACTGAACAATCTGTGAGAAAAAGAACAAAAAAATTGAAATGAGCAATATTTTTTTGAACTTACAAATGGACGAAAGAATTACGAAGATATGTATTAAATATTAAGCCTATACCTTTTTAAATCACATGATACACATCTGTAAATCTAAATGCTCTTGTAAATAATTTCACAAAACTTAAACTAAAATTAACCTAAACTAAATACGTCTGTAAATAAGTAATTCATTCCCTATTGTGATTAGCCTAACTACACATTTATACACAAGGATGCAAAACTTGTAATTAGGTTTATTAATAGCCATAATACTCCAATTTGATAACAGTGTGAGAGTAATTGTTTCTTGGTTAGGGAAAGAAAAGCGTTCTGAATCACTTTCTTGAAAGGTAGATATAAATTGGGATATAAATTGATTGTATCTTTAGGGCAGATACCTGGGAATACAGACTGAGTTGTATCCGGATTGATATTGACTATAGAATTTGTCTGAACCTAGAGTTCTTGATCAAGATGTATCTGTAGGAAAGATACCTGAGAATACAGACTGAGCTGTAATTGGATTGATATTGGCTATGGTATTTGTGTGAACCTTGAGTTCTTGATTGAGTTATACCTGCGGGACAGATACCTGAGAATAAAGACTGAACCATATCCGGATTGATATTGGCTATGGTATTTGTGTGAACCTTGTGTTCTTGAATGAGTTATATCTGTAGGAAAGATACCTGAGAATACAGACTGAACCGTATCCGGATTGATATCGGCTATGGTATTTGTGTGAACCTTGTGTTCTTGATTGGGTTATACCTGTGGGACAGATACCTGAGAATACAGACTGAACCATATCCGCATTGATATTGGCTATGGTATTTGTGTGAACCTTGAGTTCTTGATTGAGATATATCTGTGGGACAGATACCTGAGAATACAGACTGAACCGTATCCGGATTGATATTGGCTATGGTATTTGTGTGAACCTTGAGTTCTTGATTGAGATATTTCTGTGGGACAGATACCTGAGAATACAGACTGAACCATATCCGGATTGATATCGGCTATGGTATTTGTGTGAACCTTGTGTTCTTGATTGGGTTATACCTGTGGGACAGATACCTGAGAATACAGACTGAGCCATATCCGGATTGATATTGGCTATGGTATTTGTGTGAACCTTGAGTTCTTGATTGAGATATATCTGTGGGACAGATACCTGAGAATACAGACTGAGCCCTATCCGGATTGATATTGGCTATGGTATTTGTGTGAACCTTGAGTTCTTGATTGAGATATATCTGTGGGACAGATACCTGAGAATACAGACTGAACGTATCCGGATTGATATTGGCTATGGTATTTGTGTGAACCTTGTGTTCTTGATTGAGTTATATCTGTAGGAAAGATACCTGAGAATACAGACTGAGTTGTATCCGGATTGATATTGGCTATGGTATTTGTGTGAACCTTGAGTTCTTGATTGAGATATTTCTGTGGGACAGATACCTGAGAATACGGACTGAGCCGTATCCGGATTGATATTGGCTATGGTATTTGTGTGAACCTTGAGTTCTTGATTGAGATATATCTGTGGGACAGATACCTGAGAATACGGACTGATCCGTATCCGTATTGATATTGGCTATGGTATTTGTGTGAACCTTGAGTTCTTGATTGAGATATATCTGTGGGACAGATACCTGAGAATACAGACTGAGCCGTATCCGGATTGATATTGGCTATGGTATTTGTGTGAACCTTGTGTTCTTGATTGAGTTATATCTGTAGGAAAGATACCTGAGAATACAGACTGAACCGTATCCGGATTGATATTGGCTATGGTATTTGTGTGAACCTTGAGTTTCTGATTAAGTTGTACCTGGATTGATACGGGTCTAAAAGCAGTTTTATGAGTAGGGCATTTGGTTCAAAATATAATTTTATTTGGCTGGTCTTAACATGTCTAAAGGAAACTCAGGGTTTCATTTAAGAACATTCTAATAAATTTTCGCCTCAGGATTATATGAAGATAGTTGATTATGTTTCTAGATGTATTTTCTGATGACAGGGTTGGTTCTGTATAATCCTGAAACTCCTGGATTACAGGATAAGAAGATGGTTGAAACTATTCAAGCTGAATACTCATCTTTACTAAGGTAAAGCAGGATGAAGCTTATTAATAATAATATGTATACGGTCTCCAAACTTTAAAACGGAGACCAAAAATTTCTTTTTAAAATTTGAATTGCATGCCCATGGCGTAAGGGACTAGAAACAGCTTAAACATAATACAAACTGGACAAACACCAGGCTCGAATATATTATGAAGACGACATTATATAGGTCCATTGATGCCAAGAGGATACATATTTGTACAATTAAGATACATTTTTGTGTCATTTTATAACGTAAATGTTTACAAAATTCTGTTTTGTTCACTATTGCCTTCAGCATAGTTGTACTATTACATTTAACATGCAATTAGTTTTACACAAAAATTGGACCCGATCGGTTTAGCCGTTTCCTCGTTTATTGGATACAAGCAAACACACAAACACCAAGACACCCAGACAGACGGCAAAGTATATAAATAGATTAAGTTTATTTTCTCACAGTAAGATAAAATTATTATTTTCAATTTATCAAAATCTATAAAATCTAAAATGTTTCCATGATGATTTGTAAGAAAATTGTGATATTAAAAATCTTCAGTACAACAAAAACGACTCAATGTTTTCATATTAAATAATCTATATATAAATTTGGCTTGTCTGTTTGTTTGTTTGATTCCAATAAACGTCAAAACGTCTGAACCGATCGGGCCCAAATCGTAACACAGGGAAGGTTAATGAATGATCATAATTTAAAAAAATGTGTTAAAAGTTTTTTGTTTTTGTAAATTTTTAAGTTTTTTTTTCAAAATCCCAAGTTATTTTGTAAAATCTGCGAAATTTTTTTTCTTTGTTTTAAAATGTACACAAAGAGACCATGTTCAAAATTTAAATAGAAGATGAGCGCGAAGCGCCCAAAAAGGATATTATGTATAATTTTAAAAGAAAACCAAATTATGAAATAGGCTGGTTTCATAATTGACAAATGATCATTTCACATAGATTCTATGCCTTTTACTTTACAAACGATGTTTTTTATTCACCTAATTCATTATAAAGTTTATTTAACAGCTTTAAAAAATTCTAAATTGAAATGGATAGTCTAGGAACATATTGTATTAATGTGCTTCATATAATTTGTGAACATTTACATGATTTGTACCCTTTGAAATCCCTTTCAGGCTGAAAGGGACTGAAAAAATTCATACCGAAAGATTTTCTAAATTCCCCTCTAATGTATATTCTATTCTCTTTGTTTGCATGCCCATGGCGTAGGGGATAGAAACAGCTTACACATCATACAAACTGGACAAACACCAGGCTCGAATATATATTATTAGAAATTCAGGGCGCTTCGCGCCCTTCTTTCTAGGCTTTTAGGGCGCTTTGCGCCCATCTTCTATTTAAACTTTTAATTGTGGCTTTATCTGTGAGCATCTTCTCTTTGTACAGTATAAAACAAAAACAAAAAAGTTTGCGTATTTCATAATATTTTTTCGCACATTTTCAAAATTTTACAAAAATAAAAAACTTTTAAACACAAATCTTTAAAATTTCAATCATTCATAAACCTTCCCTGGGGTCCCTAGATGTCCCACAAAAAATTTGGGCCCGATCGGTTCAGCCGTTTTGACGTTTATTGGATACAAACAGACAAACAAACAGACAGACAAGCCAAATTTATATATAGATGAAGACGACATTCTATAAGTCAATTGAAGCCAAGAAGATACATATTTGTTCAATTAAGATACATTAGTACCCCTTGCAATACAAATGTGTGTCATTTTATAACGTAAATGTTTACAAAATTCTGTTTTATTCACTATTGCCTTAATTGTATAGTTGTACCATCACATTTGTGAACATGTTCTTTTTGTGTACATTGTAAAACAAAACAAAAAAAATTCGCGGATTTCAGCAAAATATTTCGTGGATTTTTTAAATTTTCAAAAATTTATTAAAAATCTAATTTTGATGGGGGAAAATTTTCTTAATTTTGTTCATTCATATAAACCTTCCCTAAGGCCACGTGAGGTTCCACACAAAAGTTGGGCCCAATCGGTTTAGCCGTTTCCACGTTTATTGGATACACACAAACACACAAACACCAAGACACCTAGACAGACATGCAAAGTATATATATAGATTAAGTTTATTTTCTCACAGTAAGATAAAATCATTATTTTTATTTATCAAAATCTATAAAATCTATAATTTATTTGATGTTTCCATGATGATTAGTACGGAAATTGTTATATTAAAAATCTTCAGTACAACAAAAACGACTCAATATGTGTATTTGGCATTTTTTGTTTTCATATTAAATAATCTATAGATAAATTTGGATTGTCTGTTTGTTTGTTTGATTCCAATAAACGTCAGAACGGCTGAACCGATCGGGCCCAAATTTTGTGAAGGACATCACATAACCCAGGGAAGGTTAATGAACGATCAAAATTAAAAAAATTGTGTTAAAACTTTTTGATTTTGTAAATTTTAAATGGTTTTTTCAAAATCCACAGTTTTTTTTATAAAATCTGCGAAATTTTTTTCTTTGTTTTAAAATGTAAACAAAGTTCAAAATTTAAATAGGAGTTGAGTGCGAAGCGCCCAAAAAGCATAATATGCATAATATATGAAATATACAGTTCAAAAATTCAAATTTATATAATCTATTAACTTTAACTAATTTATTTTCTAAATCCATTTTTTTTTCTCTTAAAAGTGGCTCATAATTTGATGTTTTTTCCACCTCGCATAGTTTAACTGTAATGCTTACCCCACATCTGACATTTATTTGTCAAAAGTATTAAGGGTACTGTTGTGAATCATGAATCAAATACACCACACATGCACAACAAATAGAGAATCACTTAAAATTACACCTACAGTCCATTTAAGTTTCTTCATTATTTAGTTTATAAACATTTTCTTTTTGTTTAGGCGGCATCTCTCCCAGTTTTCTGAACAGTCTGTTGAGCAGTCCATGAGGGATGTGCATACATGTATTCGTGGATTACCTATAATACAACAATATATGGAATCTGTTCAAAGGAGGTCGTCTTGAGTGAGGAATCTGCCCTAACCGGCCATTTTTAGTAGTGTAGTAGAGTAATAACAATACAGATAGAACACTAAATATCGTCTGTTCAAGATACATGGGGTTTTTGTTAACAATAACCAAAGGCAGAAGTACAAAGGAGTTACGCGCATGCTCTTACTCTGTCTAGTAATTCAACGCGGCATATGGTTAACTCCTTTGGTGCTGCCTTATGGTTATTGTGAACAAAAGCCTCCAATTCTTAATCTGATGTTCTATTTATTTTATCATTAATCTATGTGATAGGCAACTACTTGTTTTTTTGGAGCTTTTGGACTTACCAATGGCACCACACAAATTGTGTTAACTGTGTATATTCCAAAATTTTTAATTTATATTCTGTAAAACTTTGTGTTTATTAACCTATGTTGATCATACAAGAAAAACTAAACAAAAAAGTGCATGGAATGCAAATGCATGTTCAGCACACAACTTTGTAATTTGTAAATTTAAAGAACTTCTCAGAAATCTGTGTATAACCTTTAAAAGTCTAAAATCCGAACCAGGTTTTGTTCCCATGACTAGATTAATAATAATAATAAAATAATAAAATAATAAAATAATAAAATTCAGATCAACAAATCATAAAATATTAAAACAGTAAAAAAATGTATGTAAAAAGGCTTTGTAAAAACTTTTTTATTGATTGCTTTTGTATTTTTTAAATTTTAAATACATCAAAACATTACTGTACAACTTTGGGATGCACAATTCGTTGTAATGAGGTTTAGGGGTTTTTGGGAATCGTTGATTCCTTCAGCTGGTTGTTTGTTTCACCCCCAGCCTTGTTCTCTTCCATTCCTTATGTTTTTTTGTTGTTGTTTTTTTTGTTCTGTTTTTTTTTATCGAGAAGAGATACAGTGTATAATCGTTAACAATAAAGCTTGGTAACTATTTTGATCATTCCTTGTTTAAGAGCCTTCAGCGAATATCGTCCATTTTTCCGACATACTTTTGGATTTTTTTAAACCTCTCTTCCACCATTACCATTAAAGTTAAGAGTCTATTTTTTACTGAGCCAGCAGTTACATTATGGTTCATCTTCCCACATATTTATATGTTGTATGTCGATTGATAGGTTATTGGGCACGAGAAATTCATTTCCGAGGTCAAATTTAATATTGGATCTTTCTGACACGCGCGCTAGTAACCAGCAGTTTCATTATGGGTCATCTTTCCACATATTTTACATGTTGTATGATGATTTATAGGTAATTGGGCACAATCAGCCAGCAGTCACCTTCTGGGTCATCCTGTCATATGTTTTGCATGTAGTATGTCGATTCTGGGGTACTAGAAACAACAATTCTCTTTCTTAGGTAAAAAAATTAAGTTTATGTGGGAAGATGTCCCATCACGTAACTGCTGGCTACTAGCGCGCCGTTCAGAATGCTCGAATATTTATTTTGAACTCAGACATGAATTCCTCACGCCAAATTACCTGTAAATCGACATACAACATGTAAAAATGTACTAAGATGACCCATAATGTAATGGTTAGCTACTAGCGCGCCGGTCAGAATGCTCCAATATAAAATTTGACCTCGGAAATGAATTTCTTGTGCCCAATAACCTATAAATCGACATATAACATGTAAATATGTGGGAAGATGACCCATAATGTAACTGCCAGCTACTAGCGCGCCGGTCAGAATGCTCGAATATTTTTTTTACCTCAGAAATGAATTCCTCGTGCTAAATTACCTATAAATCGACATACAACATGTAAAAAATGTGCTAAGCTGACCCATAATGTAATGATTGGCTACTAGCGCGCCGGTCAGAATGCTCCAATGTCTATTTTGACCTCGGAAATGAATTCCTTGTCCCAATTTTGCTATAGTTTGATATATCTCATGCAACTGTGATTCTAACTTAGGCCAAACTTAGCACACAAATATTCAAAGATATTTTCTTTTATTGCGCGCGCACGTGGACATTTAAGCCTTCGGAGGTGAATTTTTTAGCGCATATTTGTTTCAAGTGTGTCAGGAAAAATTGTCAAGTGCAATTAATGATGTTAACATTAATTTACTGTCAAAAAAGTCGCATTTTTTCACAAAAAGCGCGCGCGCGCACTTTTGCTCAGATTCCTTCAAAACCAAAAAATGCATGTAATATACATGATTCTGAGTTTGCATGCAAAAAATCAGCCTCCTACGACAATTCTGAGGTATGTTTAAACACTGTTTAAAATTTCCGGAGAGTAATACGTTTCGTGGCGGCCACCCTTTCGAACCATTCAATTGTGAGCTCCATACGCCCAAAGGTTGTAAAGAATATATTAAAAAGTGCAAATCTAAAATCCTCTCCAGGCCCTGATGGAATCCCGTATGAGATATTATTCAAATTCAATTGTCTTCACCACATACATGTTAGCCACCCTGTAAAATAAAGTGAATGTTCTAGGATCTCCTCCCCCTTCCTGGTCACACAGCGTGGCCAAATTACTACACAAGAAAGAAAATTTTCGCATGATATCTCTTACATCTTCTATTGCAAAAACTTACCATCTACTTCTTGCAAAAAGTTTTTATCAGTGAATAACTATATCGATGAGAAAGTATAGAAGGCCTCTCTTCCGGGCATTAATGGCACTATTGAGCATAATGTCGTCCAAAAAGAGATTATAAGCCAAGCAAAGACTAACAAGAAAACGGTCCATGAAAATCTTTTGATTTAGAAGATGCATTTGGCTCAGTGCCACACCCTCTCATCATACATGCCCTTAAAAGGTTTGTCACACAATTCCAGTCTTCCCGAGTCAAGATTAACTACAAAAAACGCACTGTATTTCTGTCTTCTCTACCCAGGGTTTAAACCAGGTCTCTTCAACGCGAGGTTTTACATTTAACTAACTATTTATTGAAACATAAGGTTACATGTCAAATAGGGTGACCAGCGTGATGGGCACCCATATATATATATACATGAGGTTCATGAACGATAAAGTTAATTTTTTATTTGGTTATGAAGTGTGCATAAAATGATAATAGTTATTAGAAGGAATATAGATCAGGTATCAGGTTTCCCTGATATAGTACTCAGGGATATTTGTTCCAGGTTTATTTAAACACCCTGTATATTAATCAACTTTCTCGTGTATTTACGGACAACCTCTCACTGATGGGTTTCCCTGTAAAAGAGGAGTATTCCAAGGTGACCCGCTTAGTCCCATCATATTTCTGATGGTTTTCAATCAAATCATTGAATCATTACAGAGTAAGAATGATTGTGGATTTAATCTGAATGAAGAGAAAATTATTACTCTGCCTTATGCTGACGATTTTTTGCCTGATAACAACAGATCTGAGAAAACATCAAAAAATTCGAAATGAAATAAAATCCAATATTGAAAGTATGGGAATGAGATTAAAACCAGCAAAATGTAGATCATTTTCCACAGATCAGGTGTACCTAGCAGAATAAACTTTACTATTGGTGAAACTGAAATTCCAAATATATTTCAAGAAGAGCAGAAATTTCTTGGCAAACTTCTATTTCCTACTGGTAAACTTAGTGATGCGTTTGATTAAATCAAGAGTGAATTTGAAACAAAACTCATTAATATAAATGCACTTCTTATTCGGGATGAATATAAGACTGGATCTACAAACATTATTTCATTCCTCCTATTCGATTTCTGCTCACTGTTCATACAATATCACAGAGTCATCTGAAGAAACTAGACACATGCACCGATTAATTTATGAAAAAATGGACTGGATTTCCACCCTGTGCAACAAATTCTGCTCTACACTTGAAACCTGGCCTAGAAATCACTTCAATATCCACCCTGTACCAAACAACTATGACGCAAGCATACACTAGGATAAGAATACTGGGTGATGAAACAGTTAACTCTGCCTTACAATCTAAATTAGACAGGGGAAAAAATTGACTCCGCAAAAATTCCATCACAGACTATGCAGAAAAAATGTTTCAACAAGCCACGTTAGAGAACTATGGTCAAGCAGAAATGCCTGAGTGGGATGACCAAGCTTCCAAACATCAATGCTATAAAAAAATGAAAACAACTGTCAATGAAAAAGTATCTTTTGAAAATGAAACTTTCTGGAGAGAACATACAGAAACACTTATAAAACACGGACATTTTCTCTGCCTGGTAATGCTTGAAAAATCTGACATGATCTGGAAATCTTATATGTTCAATCTGAAGAAAGGTACACTGAAATTCCTATTCAACTCTTATTTGGACACCCTGCCAACACAAACTAACCTTCTACAATGGGGAATTTCTGCATCAGATCTCTGTAAACTATGTTTACAGGCAGGCGCTGAATTGCAAGGTAGAAGACAAGAAACTACAAACCATATTTTGAATGGCTGCAAGGTTGCACTACACCAAAAAAGATATACTTGGAGGCACAACAATCTTATTGAATATATTTACTGGATTAATTGATATCGACCGATTTTTGATTTATGCCGACATCCCGTCCCATACCCTTCCAGGGGGAGGTACTGTTCCCCCTCCCCCCACCTCCTTGTGACCGCACTGAAACCAGATCTAGTAATTATCGATAGAATGGAGGAAAAGATGGATATTTTTGAGCTTACTGTCCCATTGGAAACAAATATCAAAAATGCCAACGCTCAAAAGATGAACAATTATGAACATTTTATCACAGATATAACAACTAGGGATGTGTCTGTTCACCCTTTTGAAATCGACTCAAGAGGATATATCTCACTATCAAATAAAGGAAATCTAAGAAACTGCAAACCCATGGTGTTAGTTTCAAAGCAATTTGTGAAAATCTATCAAGCCTTGCAGTACTGTCATCATACCAAATTTTTAGAAAACAATAAACACTAGACTTTTACCAACAAACTCCATTTCTGGAAACCACATCTGAATAACTAAACTTTACTCATGCTAAAAGTCTTGTAATGCAGCTGTTTTTTTTTTGGCAAACCCTGTCAATTATAAAATGCGATATCCAGAGAAAAGAGTATTAGTATGAAATTGTAAACTTTCATATTGTTTAATGTAATTTTGCTTAAGACAAATATAAATGATGAATATAGATTGTAACTCAAAATTTCCAAACAATTTCCAATGGAGAAAATAAACTTTTGTAAGCTAACAAGTTTTTGTTTGCACCACTAGATGATATGATATGAGCAAATATAACTAAACAAAAATACCTTTAATTAAATTAAATTAAATATATATTTATGTTTTTAAGGACTGATTATTTCATTTGTGATGTATCTTCAAAAGTGCTTTGCACATTATCACATTAAGTTCATCAGATTGAGGTTTTAGGGTACCATTTTGAATCAGGCATGCCAGTGCATGTTAGGTCACTGAAAATTCCATCGGCCATGATTGAGGATCTCTTGAAATTATAAAATACAAAATAAGTTTACACAAATTCAAGAATTTTGATTAAAATCATACTTTAAACCCTTTCTCTTTCATAACTGGATTTTTTTTAGTTTATAAGCACAAATCAAAAGAGTTTTATTTTTCAATAAATGATACAATTTAAACTAATGAAATATCTAATATATAATTGTATTACTAATAAAATATTTCTAATGAACAAACAAAAACTGCAAAATAATAAAGTCTAAACCAGAGAACTCTTTTATCAGAAATAACCCTAATAGGTCAGGTAAGGGGGGAGCCAGGGGGGTGGGGTGGTTTAGTAGAACTGAGTTTACACCATAAACCCCTTATTCTAATCAACTAGGCTTTTAGGGCGCTTCGCGCCCATCTACTATTTAAATTGTGAACATGTTCTTTTTGTTTACATTTTAAAACAAAGAAGAAAAAATATTTGCGAATTTTTGAAAAAAAAATCGCGGATTTTCAAAACTTTAAATTTTTTTTTACAAAATTAAAAACCTTTCAACACATTTTGTTTATTTTTTTCATTCATAAACCTTCCCTGTGGTTCAGCCGTTTAGAGGTTTATTGGATACAAACAAATAAACAAACAGACAAGCCAAATTTATATATAGACTAGGCTTTTAGGGGCGCTTCGCGCCCATCTTCTATTTAAATTGTGAACATGTTCTTTTTGTTAACATTTAAAAAAAAAAAAAAAAATTTCGCGGATTTAAACAAAAATTCGCGGATTTTCAAGAATTTAAATTTTTTTACAAAATTAAAAACCTTTAAAACACATTTTTTAAAATTTTCATCATTCGTAAACCTTCCCTGTGGTCACATGATGTCCCACAAAAAATTTGGGCCCGATCGGTTCAGCCGTTTTGACGTTTATTGGATACAAACAAACAAACAGACAGACAAGCCAAATTTATATATAGATTAAGACTTGGCTGAAAAGTTGATATTTTGAACAATTTTAGCAAACTGTGAACGAAAGGTTTGAAAAAAAAATTCTGATTAAAATCTCACTAGGAGGGGGTCATTCCTTTGGCTCACAGTCCCTGTTTGCCTAATTATAGTTTGTAATTGTAATGTTGTTAACCATTAACTTTAAGACCTCTGGATAATGTCGTCTTCAACGTAAAATTTCCTCTCGGAGACAGGCCAAACCAAATTATTTCAGCCCGCATACTCTTTGTTCTTTGTCCCACGGAACTTCAACCATTTTTGTTATTGTGAAATCATTAAAGTTAAACAAAATATTTTCATATGAAGCATTAGTGAATTTCGTAAAATATTCAGCTGTAATTTTTTCAGAAGTTTAAAAATAGAATTTCAATACTGACCAACAATAAGTTTCCCCGAACCATGGAAAAATAAATCGTAAGATTTTTTCTATTATTAACATTTATTATAACATTGTACAAGTAACCATGACCTATAATTTATGTTATTTTTTTGGGAATTCAGGTTTTTGTTATCGATTTCTTGTGACGGGGTTACTCTGTGGTGTGTGTTTGTGGCCGATCGACCAAGGAATTATCCGGACTGTATTTAGTTACCTACCCGGAGTTCAGACGGGCCTTAAATAAACCAGTTCATCTGTCGTGTCGCTGTTATCTGTCAACAAATGTACACCTTTAAGCTGCATAAAATTATGCCCGGTACTTGAAATGAACTGGAATTTAGAGTGGATGTATTGATTTTGTTCACAAAAATTAAAATACTAAAAACCTAAAATATGTTTAGCTCTCTGCCGGAGCTCGAACGAACTGTAAAGGATAAGTGCTGGTGTTCCTAGGCAATGGGTCAAATCCATGAGGAAGGAAATATAGAACTGACGGGTCTCTAGAATATACAGCTGTCAAATTGGTAAAAATGGCTATCAAACTGAGTGAGAATTGTGTGACCGTAATAGAAAAGTCTATCAGACTGATAGTAAATGATATAAAAATGAAAGAAAATTTGGAAAGATGATATAATTGTATCTCAAAATGATTGGAATAAATACAACAATTTTAGAAATGACCATCAATCTGATAGAAAAAGCTATTAAATAAGTCGAAATGACTACTAAATTTATGATTTTACAGAGTTGAGCTGAAAATAAGGAAAAGAAGGAACAGGAATATATACACCCCCAGATGTAAACAAATAAATGTGAACCTCAGATGTAGTATTCCTAAACAAGTTAATAGGAACCTTAGATGTTATATTCCTAAACAAGTTAATGGGAACCTCAGATGTAGTATTCCTAAACAAGTTAATAAGAACCTTAGATGTTATATTCCTAAACAAGTTAATGGGAACCTCAGATGTAGTATTCCTAAACAAGTTAGTAGGAACCTCAGATGTAAAATTCCTAAACAAGTTAATGGGAACCTCAGATGTAAAATTCCTAAACAAGTTAATGGGAACCTTAGATGTATTACATTCCTAAACAAGTTAATAGGAACCTCAGATGTAAAATTCCTAAACAAGTTAATGGGAACCTTAGATGTATTACATTCCTAAACAAGTTAATAGGAACCTTAGATGTAATATTCCTAAACAAGTTAATGGGAACCTCAGATTTATTATTCCTATAACACAAGTTAATATGTACATTAGATTTATTATTTCTACACAAGTTATTATGAACATTAAATGTATTATTCCTAAACAAGTAAATATGTGTACCTCAGATGTATTATTCCTACACAAGTTATTATGAACACTAGATGTTTTATTCCTAAAGAAATAAATGTGAACCTCAGATGTGATATTCCTACACAAATTAATATGAACATTAGATGTATTTTTCCTAAACAGACCTCAGATGTATTTGCTAATATATTTCGGATTATTTTTGTATTAATTTGTTGTTAATATTACCGATCTTGGCTGGCAGCAGATTTTTCTTCCTGTCCGCCATTTTGTCTGCAGCTGAAATCAGAAAATGATAATTTTTTTCACAGCTGAAATCAAAAAATGATCAATCCTAAAAAGGCCAATGAGTCTGGTATGTAGAGCAAAGCAAAAGGCCATGAGTAAAGGTGTGGAGATAAAATATATGGCCTAGCCCAATTTTTCAAGACGGGCTCAATTTTGGTCAAACCTCTAACTGTTTACTTTTAAGAAGGGTGCTATACTGTAAACTCCAGTTAATTTCAAGTACCAGGCGGACTTTTAAGCATTCAGGGCAATTAGCACACCCAAAGACTACACATATTAGGGAAAACAAGACAGTACACCACATGAATCAGTCCCTTCTATAATAAGAATTAGCAAGGGGGGGGGGGTTCCCGACCCCCACCCCTCCAGCACATTTGGAGTTAAAAGTTTGATTTTTATTTATAAAAAAATAGATTACCTTTCAGCGCAACGTTTCTCTCAGTCATATTTCTCAAATAGAAAAATATCCTAAAATGAAATTCTCATTTTTGCTTAATATCTTTGCAACCTGATTGTCTTAGTCGTAGAATTTACTTTTAAACTCTACTAGACCAAAAAATTAAAGTTTGAAATATTTAGGTCTACATGCATTAGGTTGCAATAGTGTAGAAATTAGAAAATTATAGATTGAGACGAGTGTTTCTTAAAATAAATAAGTAATTTTTTTTCGGGAGAGGTAGCAAGGGGGAGGGAGGAGGGGGGAGGGGGTGACCTGAGATAGGAGATTACAGTTGTTACGTTGAAGAAGTTTCCAATGATCCTAAAAAAAAGTTAAATATTAATAATAAGTATTATAAAAAAGTCGAATTTGACGAGTTTTGCAAAAAAATGAAGATTTAATTTTTTTTTAATCTTACACCAAAAACCCCAAAAAATATAAAGAATATAGTTACAAAGGACACACAACGCTTTAAAAGCCTTGAACATCATAGTTTGTCATGAAAAAGTAAATCCCAGTGAATGTTTTTAAAACAATTCAATATATTGATGGATTTAATGAAAATATTACTGAACACTTAATTCTTTTATAATTTTATTAGCAAATACACCATTCAACATGAATAGATGCTCTGTTTGTAAATTATATCTTTATTTATAATAATAATAATAATGCAGCTCAGTAAAGACAGGCTCTGACTGGTTATTTCCTAGTGGATACCAGTATCATTATTCCCAGCTCCATCCTCCTCTACAACTTCCAGAGTCAGGCTACTTACAGCAGACGATTCAACAGTTTCTTGCTCAGGTTTCAGGATTATTCCTTTACGTTTAGGTTTCTGGAATTGTTCCTAATTATTTCAACTAGCTCCAGTCTCTGTTCCAATCTTGGGAGCAGATTTCGTCTAGCATCATGATCTTAGTGCGAATGTAAAGGGTCAGAAGGTGTTTTCTAGCTCCTCTATTAATGGTTCTGTGATAGATTTACCTTCATCTGTGCCTCCACCATCCTACACTCTGCATGCTGCTTTTTTTCTCCCCACCCCTCAGCGTGTTTCAGACCTCTTGCAAGAGTTCCCAGACTTACTTCAATCTGATGGGTTTACTTCTGCTCCACCTCAGCAACATCACATTCTCACTGTTGCCTTGATCCTGCCAAGCTTCCTGATGCCAAGGCAGAGTATTCCGCCATGGAAAAAGCAGGGATTATCTGCTGTTCTACTTCTCTATGAGCCTTTGCTTTCCACATGGTCAAGAAGAAACATGGAGGTTGGAGGCTGTGTGGTGATTACTGCCGGCTCAATACTGCCAAGGTTACTAATTGTTACCACCTTCCAAACATCACCGACTTCACTTCTCATTTCAGTGGTTCTATTATCTTTCTAAGCTGGATTTACAGAAGGAGTGTTACCAGGTGCCAGTCATGCAGGAGGACATCCAGAAGATGGCCATCATCACCCCCTTCAGAATGTTTGAAATTTTGGTGATGCCGTTCAGTCTCAGGAATGCTGGTAATACTGCTTTGTGTACATGGACGACATCCTCATCTTTAGCGACTACCTCACCTCTCATGTCAAGCACCTCTGGGAAGTTTTTCTCATCTATTGTGAGTAAAGTTTAAATATTGGCATGCCAAGTGCCAGTTTTTTGTTCCTGTTCCGCCATTCCATAGCCAACGGACAAGCCTCCAAGTCTCCAAAGGTTCTTATCCCTATATCTTTGCAACCCACTGTTGTAGACCTTAGATATTTCAAACTATGAATTCTACAAGATCATACAGTTTAATCGCTATATCTTTGCAACCTGATGTTGTAGACCTTCTAAATGTTAACTAAGTTTAATGTATATATATATATTTATATGCATATAAATAAGGAAACAATTTTAAACAATTGCATTGATAAGAACTTACGTAACTTTACAAAAAGTCTCTCCTCCTTTCTAGTTGTTATCATAATCAACGATGACAGTCATGTACTGTTGTATGGATACTTTCTTTTCATAGTTTGAACCCAGGCTTTTTAAATCTATTCTTCTTTGATCTCTTCCTAGGTTGCGACTGGTTGTGGCTGTTGCTACATTATTCTGTGGTCCCAGAAGAACATCTCTCATCTTTCTATCATTGGAGTTTTCCTCTGTTCTCAACTGCTGGATCAAAGCCCAAATGCTGGCATTATTGGGCAAAGATAAAGCAAAGGCAGCATTGAACCCCTCTGCAGCATTACTGGTTAATGGGTCATCTGAGAGAATTGTCTCATACTTGTTCTAAACTGCATGGGGTAATATTGGATTCCTCCTGGCTCCTGTTCTCCAGTTGAGTGCTCCTATCCATGTCTTCTCAAAGTACTCTAAGAATAAATCAACCTAATCAGAATTGTCTTCAAAGCTTGGTTTCAGTTCGTCATAACGAGAACTGATCACATCTTCCCAGGTTCTAACAATATCCTCTTCTGGAACTAAAGAAAGAGCCCAAAGATAGTGAACCAGAGTTTGGAAGTCTACATTATTCTGGTACAAACGTCCTAATCCAAGCTCAGTTGAAGTCAGTTTCCTCCTAATGGCTCTCTTAAAATGGGTGTCACAGCCCATTACAGGCACGTCGGGATAACAGTTCAGGAATCCTCGCATGATTGCCTTCTCAAAATCTATCTTCAAACTGCCTGGTGGGGTTACATTTGCATCTTTAAGATACTGGAAGACTCTTTGGTAGCTTGAGGTCTCCTTGTTTGGAAGGAGTGCAAAACAACAGGGTACAGTGATACCTGTAGCTGTGACAGCAGTGATAATAAACAATTGATAGAACAAGGTTTTTTTCACAACATCAAAAGTACCATCAGCCACCCAGTATTTTGTCAACTTAAGAACGTTACGTTATGTTGCTCACTGCTGCAAAATATGATGATTCTCATCTCCAAGATGCTCATTGATTGCTAGAAATCTGTCTCCACGGATTGTTGTCTCAAGATAATGAGGTACAGACATATCATTCCAGCTTTTGGGGACCTTGGTAAACCCAAAATGTTCTACTCTTGCTCTCTTGACTGCCTGTACTAAGGTATTTGACTTCCCCATGGCACTCACCCCTTCGTTGGTAAGTGTGCTTACCATGTTGGTCATGTTTCCAAGAACAGTTCGTGGACTTATTGCTATATTTCCAGAGCTTTCTTTAACTACTTGTTTTTCTATTTCACGTACTCTTTTCTTCAAAAGATCACTGTCATGTGAATGCTCTCCCAGGAAACTGATAATCTTGTCATTCTCATTGTTTACAACTGCTCCTGCAGGACAAGAATTGTTTTTCCTTGAATGCATTGGTAATAGGTTTTGTTGGGTTTCTTCTTTGTAACCCTGTATTCAAACTGATTTGAATCAAGCAGGTGCCATCCCCCTGCTTGACCTCAATATAGTTAGCAGTCTCCTCGTCCATGCATCCAGACTTTGTGAGATTGTGAATTTTTAACAAAAGAAATTGGGAATTTTTTTGAGATAAAATTGTGAATTTACAAGAATTTCAATCTGAAAATTCAAATATATTTTTTCCTCCTTGGTCCGACGTTTTTCCTTATAAATGTACCCGTCCGACACTTGTACTGGTCCGACGTTTGTACCAGTCCGACATTTGTACTAGTCCGACGTTTGTACTGGTCCAACGTTTGTACTGGTCCGACGTTTGTACTGTCCGAAGTTTGTAAGTCTTATGTTTGTACCGTCCGATGTTTGTGGGTCCGACGTTTGTACTGGTACCTCTTTTACGTTTGAGAGCTACACCAAAGGAGGACATGGGCCTCTCAGTTTCCAAGGTCCTTCATGGATCTCCTTTACCTTACCTGTGGCCGAATTTAAAGAATTTGAGCGGCGGTTTAGATTTAAGCCGCGGTTTAAATATGGTTGGTTCCACTTAAAATTGTATCAAATGTTTCAATATTTAAACCGGGTTATGGCGGATTTAAACCACAGCTCAAATTCTTTAAATTCCATCTCTGGAGAACTAGCATGGATGATCCAGAGATGCCACAAGATACTTCCTGAGAAAGGTGGAGAGAGCAACCAATGGTTTTATTGTTCCTCCGCCCCATCATGTTTGACCAGTTCCTCCTTCTCATCTCCCTGCAGCCAAGTTTATCTTTGTTCGCGATGATGCAGTTTTTCCTACCCTGGCACCACAGCGCCTTCAGATTGGATCGGAGCAAGATTCGGTTTCAGTGGATTGTCTAAAACCAGCCTTTAGTGATGATCCCACTTGCACAACCTCCAGGCCTTGAGGAAGACGAAGACCTCTCTGCCGTCCCATGGTGCTTTCTTCAAATCCTCCACCTTCCTCCGCTAAGAATTCAAGAAGACACAAGAGAGTCCGGTTCAAAGTTGGTTCTCAAGTTCCTCCGCCACCTGTACCTGTTTGTCAGAATCCCTACAGGTCTACTAGAGATAAAAGGCACTGCTCAGGATTTCTCACTGTTCCTTCTGGAGGGGGGGGGGGACTACTGTGGCGGTTTTGAATGTCGTCTTATATCCTCTGAAATCCTAGCAGTAGCTAGTCCAGTAGGGGAGTTTTTAGAACACAAGATATATATCACCAGCCTCAAAAATAACTTTGTATCTTAGATCAAAATATAAGTTAGTTAGTCTGAACCCTTTGTCATTATTTACCGGGGCTCTAAAATATGAGATTAAACAATTATATTTAGTGGAAAAACTCATTATCTTTCCAAATGTTTAATTATAATGTTAATATTTATGTCGTTTGGATTGAACAATCTGGTAGACAGTCTTTAACGGCGCTCACACCAGTATTTAAAAATTGTAAAACTTAACTCCTGAATGGGTATTATATGCAACAAGTGGCCGTATGATGGCAGTCAAAAACATTTGAGCAAAAGTAGCATGGGGTTGCGGGACAATTCAATAGGCTGTGGTATAGGATTTTGTGAGATTCTTACCATATCAAATTGAGCCCTGGCGCAAGGTCAAAACTCTTTTCTCCCATGCAAGCTAAAAAATAGTTAGATTTGATAAAATGGTAACAAAGCATCAAAGAGACACTCCATGTAATTTCGAGTTATCTCCTATTTGGTGTTGGGCCATTTCATAGAATGACAATTAATAAATAGGACATTTCATAGACAGCGAATATTTTTATAGATAATTTATAGAATCTTGATGTAGAAATTTTTTTTAGAAAATGTTTGGCTGACCCTGTTCAGAAGAATATGAGAAATTGAGGAAGCCCTGAGAGGAAATAGTATATGCCAAGGTTGTAATGCAAGGAAAGTTAATTGCTGTTGCATATTCTCCGCGTACATATTGAAACCAGTTCTCTCTGGGCAGAATTTGTAAAAAAGAATAGATGCATCAGTGTTCGTTTAGTATCCGAGGATAGGGCTGGGCGCGTTAACGGTGGAACGATCGTTCTTTGCCGAGAACGAACGGAACGATCAAGAACGATCCCATCGAACGCTTAGAACGCGTTCTTAAAAATATTGGAACGATTAGTAAAAGAACGGAACGGAACGGAACGGGAATTGCTTGAAAAGAACGGTTAAAATCGTCAACGCGTTCTTATTATCAAGAACTTGTTCTAAGTTGGGAACGTATTTTAAACCAGGAATGTGTTCTAAATCATCTAGAAATAGTTAAAGATTTTTTTATTTAATCACCCTCTAAGAACGCCAAGAACGGAACGTAACGGGAAGACCGTTCTTCTACTCAGAACGGAACGGAACGGAACAAGAACAGAACGATAAAAAAAGAGGAACGTGCCCAGCCCTATCCGAGGAGTTTAAAAGCATTTAATTTTGATAATTTTGATAATTCACATAATAGGTTCCTATGACCAGAACATTTCATTGATTTTTTTATCACCCAGAGACAGTACACTGCAGTACAAAAGATGCGTACACTTCTGAAATAACTTTCCTTGCATTACATCCTCGGTATATGCGGCCGGATTTGACTTGTGCAGTACACATTTTATCGTACATAATTCGTACATCTTTGTTGTCGCGATTCAGTTCATTTTCAGTTTTTGTTTTGCTTCCTTAGGATAAGGATGGCAATATGTTTTAGAATTTTTGTTCTTTTGTACACAAATTTCGGCGCACATGTTTAGATGTAATATTTTTGAAGTATTTCTTCAGCATATTTGTATTGTTCGATGTTTAAGGGGGGGNTGTTCTTTCAACGATTTCTCTGATTTTTTTCTTCCAAGTAATCTTATCTAATAAATCATTCCCTGTTCTTTCAACGATTTCTCTGATTTTTTTCTTCCAAGTAATCTTATCTAATAAATCATTCCCTGTTCTTTCAACGATTTCTCTGATTTTTTTCTTCCAAGTAATCTTATCTAATAAATCATTCCCTGTTCTTTCAACGATTTCTCTGATTTTTTTCTTCCAAGTAATCTTATCTAATAAATCATTCCCTGTTCTTTCAACGATTTCTCTGATTTTTTTCTTCCAAGTAATCTTATCTAATAAATCATTCTCTGTTCTTTCAATGATTTCTCTGATTTTTACTTCACAATACTATTCATATTTTTCCTTTGAACTGATAACATATCATATTGTTGAGTTCTGGGAACATTTTCAAAAATGGTGATACTTATTTAGACACCCAAAACCTTGAATTGTGTCTGAAAATTCTTCTCTGTCTACGAAATTGCCTATATATGAAAAATCTACTCGGTCTATGAAATGTCCTGTCTATGGAAAGTACTATTTAGGAAATGTCCTATCTATGAATTTTTTTTTCTATGAAATGTCCAATCTATGAAATATCTTGTCTTTGAAATGTCCTGTCTATGATTTTGTTATCTATGCAATGTCCATCGATGAAATGTCCTATCTACGATTTTGTTATCTATGAAATGTCCTATCTATGATTTTCCAGTTATCTATGGAATGTCCATCTATGAAATGTCCTATCTGTGATTTTGTTATCAATGAATTGTCCATCTATGAAATGTCCTATCAATGATTTTGTTATCAATGAAATGTCCTATCTATGATTATGTTATCTATGAAATGTTCATTTACGAAATGCCCTATCTATGATTTTGTTATCTATGAAATGTCCATCTATGAAATATCCATCTATGAAATGTCCATCTATGAAATGTCTATCTATGAAATGTCCTATCTATGATTTTGTTATCTATGAAATGTTCATTTATGAAATGCCCTATCTATGATTTTGTTATCTATAAAATGTCCATCCATGAAATGTCCTATCTATGATTTTGTTATCTATGAAATTTCCATCTATGAAATGTTCTATCTATGATTTTGTTATCTATGGAATGTCCATCTATGAAATGTCCTATCTCTGATTTGGTTATCTATAAAATGTCCATCTATGAAATGTCCTATCTATGAAATGTCCATCTATGAAATGTCCTATCTATGATTTTGTTATCTATGAAATATCCATCTATGAAATATCCTATCTATGATTTTGTTATCTATGAAATGTTCATCTATGAAATGTCCTATCTATGATTTTGTTATCTATGAAATGTCTATCTATGAAATGTCCTATCTATGATTTTGTTATCTATGAAATGTCTATCTATGAAATGTCCTATCTATGATTTTGTTATCTATGAAATGTCCATCTATGAAATGTCAATCTATTAGAAAAAGTCTTTTAATCTGTTTGATTTTCCTTCCTTATAAAGCATGCTATAAAAAGGGGTATCTAGCGGGCCGGATCACAGCTCCCCCTCATACTTTTTTTTTGCATTTAATGCTAGTATCGAGTCCAATTTTTTCGGTCGACGTTCGTTAACCACACATTTTAAATCTTTTTTCAAATCGTTCTTTATTTTTGTGGAACAACTGGAGAAAGGTTACACCATCGTTACAGAAAATGATGCCCATCTCTATATATTACCAACCCTTTATGATTATTTTATAAAGCCATTTATTTCATAAAAATATGAAATTGTAAAAAAAAAACTTACTATGGTAAAGAACACCCTGGTCTGGCGAGTTACAGGTTAGAACTAGAACAATCAGCAGAAACTGAGCGTAGATTGAACATCTTAACAAACATATTTCATTAAAGGTACTGTAGATTGAACATCTTAACAAACAAATTTCATTAAAGGGACTGTAGATTGAACATCTTAACAAACATATTTCATTAAAGGAACTGTAGATTGAACATCTTAACAAACATATTTCATTAAAGCAACTGTAGATTGAACATCTTAACAAACATATTTCATTGAAGGTACTGTAGATTGAACATTTTAACAAACATATTTCATTAAAGGAACTGAAGATTGAACATCTTAACAAACATATTTCATTAAAGGGACTGTAGATTAAACATTTTAACAAACATATTTCATTGAAGGTACTGTAGATTGAACATCTTGAACATCTTAACAAACATATTTCATTTAAGGTACTGTAGATTGAACATCTTAACAAACATATTTCATTGAAGGTACTGTAGATTGAACATTTTAACAAACATATTTCATTTAAGGTACTGTAGATTGAACATCTTAACAAACATATTTCATTAAAGGGACTGTAGATTGAACATCTTAACAAATATATTTCATTAAAGGGACTGTAGATTGAACATCTTAACAAGCACATTTCATAAAAAGAACTGTAGATTGAACATCTTAACAAACATATTTTATTAAAGGGCACACACACTGCAAATTAAAGATATCTCATAAGATGAAGGTGTAAGGTTCCAGGGAGGAAGGGGGGATTTCCACAAAGTCCTCATACACAGTTACGGCCTTGGTCTTTAGATGCCCTTATACAAAGCATTTGGATATACGCCCTATATACGACTGTACAGAATTCATACAGTCTGTTCCACAATTTTCTTGATTCTTGTCTTTACAATCTCATCTTCTGTGTGTAATAATCCTGTATGTACAAATTTTATTTACCTGACCGCAAAAGATGTTTTGTTGTACGATATTCCATTGGCCAAGTTTGTGCTAGATCTATGTTTAAAAACAAATAATTTTTAATGCGTAATTTCCTTAAAGTGGACTGTAAGTGTAACTCTAAGTGACCCTCCATGAAAATATGGCAATGCCTGAATTATGCAACAGTACCTTTAAAAGCATTATCCGATGAAAAATTTGGAAGAAAGTCCTAACAGTGTTTATTTGTGTGCAAGCAGGAAATGCGCAAGTCACTTTCGCAAGGAAACCTTAAAGGAAAATAAACCGTAAATGCATCTCTAATTCACAATTGATCAGACAAAGCTTTCAAGGGTACCGTTGTAAATCGGGAATTAGAATTTTTGCATGGGGGGGGGGGAGTTACTTAAAATTACGATTACAATCCCTGTAAAGGGAGTGTTCTTGAAAAATTAAAGTGGGTATAGGCTAACGTTGGATCTAATTAGATGGTGATCGCTTGTAATCCTACTTCTATCTCTTGCGTGTATTAGGAGAAATAAGGCTAAAAACGACTCATCCCGAAGAACGTAGAATCCATAAAAATTCACGAAGTTGAATTGTTTCACTCAGATCGGAAATAATTCAATTAGATTTAAAACTTAACATTCAAGCATGATCACCCATGTACATATCGGACATAATTCGATGCAATTCCTATAAAGTTGATATTTTAAAATATTTATGTATGCGATGTACTTTAAACTGCGATTTTTGGCCAATAGGTGTCTGTCCCACGTGAAACTCCTGTAGCGTCGAGAGTAGAGACGCCTACTGCCTAGCCGCCAAATAATCGGTGTTTAAAGTAAACCATGAATAAAAAAAACATATTATGAAATATCAACTATATACAATTGCGTCGAATAAAATTCGATGATTATAGGTTGTAATATATCTGAACGATTTGTTTGGGATTAAATTAAATTATTTACGATCTGACTCGAATATTGCAACTTTCTAAATTTGTATGGACGCTACGTTCTTCCGCTTGAATCGTCACCGTGTTTAACAATTTTCACCTTATAGACAGATAGAAGTAATATTAGCAGCGATCTCCAGCGAATTATTTTCGACATAAGCCATACCCCCTTTCATTTTTCGCGAACACTCCCTTTTAGTTAAAGCACGTATACTCGTAACTGTTTAGATAGATAGATAGATAGATAGATAGATAGATAGATAGATAGATAGATAGATAGATAGATAGATAGATAGATAGATAGATAGATAGATAGATAGATAGATAGATAGATAGATAGATAGATAGATAGATAGATAGATAGATAGATAGATAGATAGATAGATAGATAGATAATAGATAGATAGATACTCTGTAAGTTAGCGTGTGAAAAGTATTTACTAAGACTATCTATCTATCTATCTATCTATCTATCTATCTATCTATCTATCTATCTATCTATCTATCTATCTATCTATCTATCTATCTATCTATCTGTATGTCTATATATCTATATATCTATCTATTTTCCTACCTAATAAGCAGACATCTAGTAACTGCAGCCATACAGTTATAAACGAGGTTTCCCAACTGAAATTAAACAATTCTCATCTAATTAGCTAATTTTCTTGCTAAAATATTTTATCTTAAAAATCTGTTTTGTTTAGGAAAGAGTTATATAGGGTGAACCAAGAATACATTGAAATTAAGATGTATCGAAACAAAAATACATAAAAACCTTAAAGTTTGTTTAATTCTCAAACGGTGATTATGTAAAAATAACGCCACCCTGTACGTTTGCAACATATAAAACTTCAAACTTAAATATTTTTAAGAAATAAATATCTAAATATAAATTGAAGATACGTCTTTGATTTCCGATTTTTAGGAGTATATGAAAAATGTTTTGTAAGTTTTCTGAGCTATAGGTGCAGTCTTCATCCTTTATACCCTTAAAATTATTAACATCAGGATAATTTTGACTGCAGGGGTCAGCATATATATTAATACAGTGTTGATTACTGAAATGGTGAATTACAATTTTAGTACCTGATAATTTGTCACATTGAACTTTTGTCATACTTTTTTAAGATGAACAAATTGACATTTCTTAGAGTACTTTATATATACTGTATTAAAATTTATGTCAGCCTCTGTAAATTTAGCAAATAATTTCTTTTGATATTCCTCAATGACTGCAAATTGTAATCTTTAATCTACAGTTTAACCAAGAACTTCGGACACAACGAAGACTTTATAAAATGTCGTCTTCTTATCAACTTTTAATGGATATTTAGCTTTTTTAATTGAATAATTATATGGAGCTCTTTATAGTAATTCATTTAATTTTACAATTACTGAGATTTAAGTGTAAAAGTATAAAACCCAGAGAAAAACTGTAACAGTTGTAAAGCAACGAAAATGACAGGCAACATTTTAGAATGTTGACTGTTTCAATTAGATTACTAATTTAATAACTGCCTACATGAAAAATATAATAGATAGTTAATTCCTAATTTTATTGGGGCGTTATACATTCCTCCTTAAACTTACGTTGACATAAAGGACCGAAACGAAGAGGAGGTGGCATGACATTTCACGTCCAAGTATCCCTTTACACACGATAAATATTGAATATATAATATAAAACGCATATAGAACTAACTTTATTTTATGTACTAAATTCTCGAAACTCTGTTCGGCAAAAAATACCAAATAAGTGATCATATTGAGTTTTCGGAAAAAAAATTTCTGCGAAATATGATTAAATTTTTTTCTGATATAATTGTTTTAGAATTCTAGTATTGATATCGCAAATATAACAAATTATTTAGAAAACTTTGAAAATTTAAAGATTCAGAAATTCAAAGATGAGGGGGACCGGGGGGGGGGGGGGGGTGTTTGGGAGGCTTCAAGAAAATGTAGTTGTAATCAGAAAACAGTGAAATGATTTTCGTCGTCTTTTCGATTTTTTTTACTAGGAAATGTCAATTTTATCACTGTAACTTGTGATTTAATTCTAAACATTCACAAATCTTTAGCAACATTTTAATAATGAAAAGAATGACGATGACAATAATTCCACTATTTTCAGGTTATCACTGTAAATAATGTGCACATTAATCATAATGAAAGGGAATTATTTATTGAGTGAACACTGTACAGTCCCGTTTTAACTTATAAAGTATTTTTTTACTTATACTGTACAACTTGCGTCTTCCATTGGCTTCCGTACAATCCAAACTCAGAATGTCAGAAATTATGAAAGCTCTACTATATTCGTACCGGTCCGACAATATCCTTGTTCTGTATTGGGATTAATTCGGCCCCTTGATTGACTATAGTAGCAATATTTCATTAAAAGTATGACATTTAAAATATTTGTAAAATATTCATTTTCCTTGGAACCATGGGTGGACCAGTAGGTTGTAGTTCCTTACAGGAATAATTACAGCTGTATACAGTAACCTGGAACATGAAAAGTTTACATGGAACACATAGAAAATACATGGGACACGTCAATAAAACATGGAACACATCTAGAAAACATGGAATACATTAAGAAAACATGGATAACATCAAGAAAACATATGACACATTATAAAGAAAACATGAAACACATCCAGAAAACATGGAACACGCCAAGAAAACATAGGACACAATATCAAGGAAACATAGGACACATTATAAAGAAAACATGAAACACATCAAGAAAACAAAGGACACATTATAAAGAAAACATGAAACACATCCAGAAAACATGAAACACATAAAGAAAACATAGGACACAAAATAACAAGAAAACATGGAACACATCAAGAAACATAGGACACATTATGAAAACATGGAACACAATATATCAAGAAATCATGGAACACATCAAGAAAACATCTAACAGATATACCATTAAGTAACCCTTCATTTATAGAGTAGCATATCCTAAGCACAGCGGTACCATTTTTAACCTTTGTCAGATCATTAACGGCAAAGAAATCCGTGTTTTTCTTACTCAAAGGTAAAGTGTAGAGTGTGAGCATTCAGCAGATGTTGACATCACTAATTTCTCATAAATACAAAATATTCTAAGTTAAAAAAAATGAATGATAAAAGTAATTTCCTCTGACTCCTGGAAAATAAATTATGATGTTTTTTTTAACTGAAATAATTTATTTTAATAAGTTTTACAATTTTCTTTAAATATTTATATGATATCAGATGAAAATATCATATTTTGGCTAATTTGAAGAAAAAGATTTTTTTTTGGATATCCTCTCAGTATGCCACTCTGCAAGAAAGAACTATTTCTAAAAGATCTTGCTTTTTTTCTGAACTCTGTATTGAATTGCGTTGTTCTTTTTTCTTCTTGTTAAAAAGATTAAAATTGTGCCGTTGTGAGTCGGACATGCCACTCTAAAAATTTAGGCATATCTTCAATCCCTTTAACCTGTGCAATCCCTCCAGACAGATGAATACATTTACCGAGGTGTTCAAGTTCTTTCTCTCAGTGTAGAATCCGTAGATCTACAAGAAGAAAAAAAACTAAATTGATTTTGCAAGAACATGTCACTTCATTCCCGTTTCACTTCATTGAAGGATCAACTCCATTAATTGTTTACTTTTTGGAAACATGCTGATGAATGGTTTTACCGAAACCTTTTTTTAAGAATTGTTTTTTGTTTCTCCTTCTGAAAGGAATTAAGTCTTTGCTTTAATGGTCTAATCCCTTTCTATTTTGAATTACATGTCCTTAAAAACCCTAGATTTTTTAAAGCTATGAATTCGTTCATGCAGATCAAAAAATGGTCAGAAAATTTGGGTTTGTGGCAAAGACTCAAATCTTTTATTACTTGCAAAGGAGAAAAGTTCCTTGATTTTTTGTGCTGTAGAAATTCTTCAATTGGAGCTGCCATGACAAAAAAAGGTAAGAAAGTAGGAAAAATAATTCATTTCTACTATTCTTAAACAAAGGTACATAGTGAATTAATCAACTTTGGTATCAATAAACCATGATTTTTTTTGTACTCTTTGATAAGGCCAAAAAATGATGCATTAAAGAGAAAAATATTAAAAATTAACTTACGATAAAGACGTTTAGAATTGTCCCAATACAAGAGAGAGCACTGGAAATATGCCAAATATTCTTGTCTAAAATATTCTTGTCTTAAATACTATTGTCTAAAATATTCTTGTCTAAATTATTCTTGTCCAAATTACTATTGTCTAAAATATTCTTGTCTAAAATATTCTTGTCTAAAGTATTCTTGTCTAAAATATTCTTATGTTAAATAGTCTTGTCTAAAATATTCCTGTCTAAAATATTCTTGTCTAAAATATTCTGTCTAAAATATTCTTGTCTAAAATATTCTTGTCTAAAATATTCCTGTCTAAAATATTCTGTCTAATATATTCTTGTCTAAAATATCCTTGTGTTATTTCTAAAAATCTAATATTTTTAACAGGATGTTTCTCTACAAAAGTGACTTTAAAATAATGCAGGCAAAGAAAAAAAAAATGACAGAATTCAACAATTTGTTTCTCAATCAGAGAAATAACTAAGGTTACAATTGTAAATCGGGCTTCAAACTTTTTGAATGGTGGGTCACTTCGAGTTTACGTCTACAGTCCCTTTAAAATGAATTGTTGAAATTGTAAATTTGCTGCAACATCCTCTGTCGATTTTAACCAAGTTCTAACATTTTGAAATATATTGTGTAAATCATTAAATTTCAAAAAGTTACCTAAATCCTTACCAAATCTCGGCTAACGAAGACTAATATTTGACTAGGGTTTCCATTTTTCCGGAAAAATTGCCATTTTGGAAATGGAATGATCCGGAAATTTGTTGCGTAAACCGGAATTCCGGGATAGTTCCGGATCAAATGGAAACAGAAATGTTTACTGTTTACGTCACGTAAACCGGAAATTTTTCCGGTTTACGGAATGGAAACCGTAAAATTTCCAGTTTCCATTTCGAAAACCGTATATTGTTCCGGTTTACTTAACGTAAACCGTAAAATTTCCAGTTTCCAGTTTCCAATTTGTAAACCGGAAATTTTAACACAATATTAGACATAGAAAGCAATGTTAAAACATATTAGTTGACATACATTAAATACGCATTTAGTTCTACAATTATATATATACATATATTTCACTATAGTTCATCATGACTATTTTACAGTTTCAGTTTTCACTTTCCCCACAATATTTGTTGACAAATTAGTTTATATTTTTCAAAAGGGTCATCGGATAGGCTTATGCCACCCCCCCCCCCTTCCCCTCTGTATTTGATCAGGATGGGATGAAATGAACCACATAAATAAGAGTTTTTAGAAACTAGGCTTTAAACTGGTGAATTAAAAAATAATAAATTTCGACGTTTTTCCCGCATAAATATTTAACTAGCTTTAAACTTTCCCTTGGGCCATGTGAGTTGCCTCACAAATGTTGGGTTCGGTCGGTTCATCTGTCTGGACGTTTATTGAATACAAACGGACAAACAAGCAGACAAGCAAAAGTATATAAATAGAGTGAGAACCAGAAAACTCTGGAAAAGGAGGACGACTTTTATCCTTAAATTATGACTCTGAATAGTTCAATAAACATGAGACACGGCAATTACGTAGTAAAAAAAGCTCTACGAGTTCTAGCAGATAATGGTTATGCTGCACACGCAGATCCACTTTTTCTGAAACTTGAAATTCAAAAAATAAAAGACATGATCAAATTTAATTCTGCTGTTTTTATGTTTAAATATATGAATGGCAAACTTCCATTATCTTTTAATGGAATGTTTTTAGCGTTAGCAGAACCAAATAGAACGAAAAGTTAAAAATTAGAATTATTTAACAATAAATATCTAGAAATCCTACGGTTTTTCTTCCGAGGACCTGGAACTCTATTCCATTGGAAATAAAATCATTAGGCACCCTAAAACAAGTCTTAAAAAAAGTTTTCTTGAAGAATATAATATTTTTCGTTGTATAAATTGAAATTGCTTTTCTTGCTAAATCTTGATTCTATCCCAACGAGGTTATAGTGTATAGAGTGATGATGTACGCTAATCCTTTACTAATTTTACAGGCTATAAACAACGAGGTTATAGTGTATATAGTGATGATGTACGCTAATCCTTTACTAATTTTATAAGCCATAAACTATAACAGAGAGCGTACTGCATATTTGTTTATTATAAGTTGATTCTGGCCTAACCTATAGTATAACAATATTAGTAAACAGTTGTAAGTGTACAGTACAGCTAACTGAGGACACAGGTAGAGAACTCTCATCCCTCCTGTTCTATCCCCTTTCCCCTGTTATTATAACAAAACAAAATAAAACATAAACATTATAAACTTTGTGTGCTGGGTTGTCCCCCCCCCCCCACGATCCATTCTTCTTCTTTTCCTCTCTATTCTTTAATACCTTTCCTCTATCTACTACTTTTCATTTTCCTCCTTTTCCTTTTGTTCTAAATTGTTTTTGTTTTATTTGGTTTTATTTTGAATTTGGATGTATCGCTACAGAAGGGCATCTCATTCAAAACAACCAACAATGGTTAGAGAGGCCCTGGCTAAATTAAAATGTAAAAACTGTGAAATTTAAATTGTTTTTAATTGAATATTTAGTCAAATACATATCTATCTATCTATCTATACTATACTGTATACAGACCAATTTAAAAGTGATTTTATAAGATACTATTTAATTAACCTATTTGTAACATCAATATTAGACTCAAGGATTTCTATACATGTCGTCTTCCTTTCCACAGTTTTCTGTAGATGAAATTATTTTGAGACATGGCAGTCAGGATTTATATTGTTCATGATAATTCACAGTAGTAATTACTTTAAATACAGGTACACCAGGCGCACATTCTAGTATTCTGTAGATAGCATTACTTACTGGTTTTATCTTTTACATAAGTTTAAGATGTCTTCAACGTTTTCCGGAACCTTTTTCCGGAAAATTCCGGAACAATTGTTCCGTAAACCGGAATTTTCCGGAACACTTTTCCGTAACGTTCCATAGTTCCAGAACAACGTCCCGGAAATTTCCGGTTTACGAAAAAAAATCGTTTCGGATATCGTTCCGGAATTCCGGATTTCCGGAACCTTTTCCATAATGGAAATAGAAAAAATGTCCGGATCATTTTCTTACGTAAAAGGTAACCCGGAATTCCGGTGGAAACCCTATATTTGACTAAAGACTAGAGAACTTTAAAGCTGTGTCAGCTGATCGATAAGAAAAAAAGGCATTCGCTAGAGGGGCACAAATAGTGGTTCCATAAAGCAGATCAAATGAGATACAGTGAAACCCTTAATAACGAATACATCGGAAGAACTTATCAAATGTCGTCTTGACAATTTTGCAATGAGTTTTATACTATTTTACGTAAATTTCAGTATTTGCGAAAATAAATAAATAGCCATGAATATGCGGGAACAGTTTTAAAGAGTTCCATATAATCATTTAATTAAAAAACTAAATATCTGCAACATTCCATTATCAGAAAGTGAAGAATACGACATTTGATGAATTCTTTCGATGTATTCGTTATTAAGGATTTCACTGTAGATTCGGAGAAAATTCTCAAGAATAAATTAAGAAAATCCTCAATTTTAATAATAAACTCTGTTATGCGTATTTTCTTATTATTTGAATTTATATAGACCTTTTTACCTATCTCACAAATTCAGATTATAAAATGAATTTAGAAAGAATAAAAATCATCATAATGATGATGATCTAAATTAAATTTTGCGTAAAATGATGATCATAATTTAATTTCGTGCATTTTCTCCATAACAACACCTGATCTGTTTAAGATTTTAACGGGTGATAGAAATAATATATTCCAGCACTTTTGTTTTTCTACTCATCTAATTTAAAGTAAAAAATAGTTTCACGAAAAAGTTCAAAAATGTTATGCATATTGGTTAAAAAAAAGAGATTACCGAAATAAATTCTTTATTAAATGCAAGATCTTGCTATTCACCCTCTTTTTTTTTACTCACCCTGTACTTTTCATTTTTAGTATGCAAGTTTTTTAAGAATCATAATTGAGATGCTTCTGCAAACAAACACTTTCTTGAAATCCAACCCGTAAAATTATATCAAAATAAGGAACTGATTTGTTTACCCGAACTCCAATTTTTATATCCTTAAAGGGAGTGTTCGCGAAAAATCAAAGGGGTAGAGGCTTAATGCGATAAAAAAAGCGCTTTTGATCGCTACTTATCTTACTTCTATCTGTTGCGTCTATAAGGAGAAAATTGTTAATTACGTCTCATACCGAATAACATGGCGTCCATACAAATTGAGAAAATTGCAACATACGACTTAGACCGTAAAAAATCAATTTAATTTCAAACAAATCATTCAGATATTACAACCTATAGTCATCGATTATCTCTCGCCACATTTATATATAGTTGATTTTTCATAATATGTTTTAATTGTTATGATCTGAGAGTTACTTATAAAAACGTTTATTCCGGTTTCGAGGATTTTTGGTAATGAAGACGACATTTTCATATTTTCCAGGAATGTTCGAAAACAAGTTGTAAACTAAATATTATTTTAAAAAACCAAATCAAAACTAGTATGAAATATCAAATATATACAAATGTGGCGAAAGATAATCGATGACTATAGGTTGTAATATCTGAATGATTTGTTTGATATTAATTTGATCTTTTACGGTCTAAGTCGTATGTTCCAACTTCCTAAATTTGTGTGGGCGCTACGCTCTATGGTATGAAACGTCTTTATCAATTTTCTCCATATAGACGCAACAGATAGAAGTAATATTAGTAGCGATCAAAAGCGCTTTTTTTATCCCATTAAGCCTATACCCCCTTTCATTTTTCGCGAACACTCCCTTTAAACCTTTGAAACCATATGTCGTAGACCTTTGATATTTTAAACTAAAAATTCTGTTAGATCAAAAAGTCTAAGTAAGATACTGACCAAAGGGAGGTGCATGACCCCCGCTAGTTTGCTGAATGGGTTGACTTGAAAACCAGTTGTCCATCCCCTACCAGGGGTTTCATGGGAGTGAGGGTAATGATGAAGGATCAGAGAGAGGAAGAGAGAAAACAGAGAATTTTTGCATTTCTGAAAATCTCGGATTGAATCAAACGCCGGGACAGGATTTCTGATTTATAAAAGTATGAACATATTTGGCTGGTGTTTGTCTGTTTGTTTTATTTTGAAAAAAACGCCAAAATCAGGCTGAACCGATAGGACCTTTTTATTGATTATTTGAATCCAGGAAAGAATTATACCCGGTCGAAATTTAGAAATTATATATCCCAACAAATCTATTTTTTTTAGAAGTATTGGAACCTATGAAACAAAAATATATTCAGCAATTTCAAATTGTTGATCCCAATTAAATGTCATTTTAAACGAATTGCCACAAACTTCTGCTAGATCAAATAATAAGGTTTGAAATATCAAAGATTTACGACATTGGATTCCAATCAGAGTTTGTGGCAAAGACTCAATTCCTTTTCTAATTTTCTAAAGAACTGTGCTGGAGGATTTTCTTTTATGGTTTTCCAGATTTAAAACTCATTATTTGAGTCAGTATACAAATAGTGTTCTTAATGCAACAAGAATGTAACTCAAAATTTGATATTTGAGACACCCCATCTATGTATAAATTTAGCTTGTCTGTTTGTCTGTCTGCTTGTTTGTATCCAATAAACGTCAAAACGGCTGAACCGATCGGGCCCAAATTTTTTGTGGGACATCACGTGACCACAGGAAAGGTTTATGAATGATAAAAAAAATGTGTTTTAAAGGTCTTTAATTTTGTAAAAAAATTTAAATTCTTGAAAATCCGCGAATTTTTTTATAAAAAACCGCAAAATTTTTTTCTTCTTTGTTTAAAAATGTAAACAAAAAGAACATGTTCACATTTTAAATAGAAGATGGGCGCGAAGCACCCTAAAAGTCTAGTTTACTAAATTACAAAAATGATCTTATTTTTTGTAAAACATAAATTAAAATTTATGTTTGAATTTTAAAGTTTGGTAAAAAGGGAAATCTGTATATGATGTAAAATTTAGCCGGCCCTTGGCGTTTAGTAAAATTTAGCCGGCCCATGGCGTTTTGTTTTTCAAGTCAATTGATGATCGATCTGCTGTTAATAATATTTCAACAGTAATATTTGCAAAGCTTTTCTTTTTATTTGTAAATTTGCAGATGTTAACTCAAAAATCGTTACTTTCCAATTACTTGCTACTCAGAATTTGTTCCACTCTCAATCTGTGATAAAAGCTTTTTTAAAATTAAAAGCAAAAAACCTTTTCGAAATTTTTTTATTTAACCGGCCAAATTGTGGTCACAAGCAAGCAAGCTTGATGTGATAAGGAGACCAAACCGTTAGATCTACATGGTTTAAATCAAAGACTCCTGATGTATATAAAGATGCAGCATTAGAAACTTTAATGACTTTTGTGTATGCACTGTACAGCTGTATTAAATGCTCCATCTTGATTACTAGAGACTCTTTGGTTAAAACAAATGATTTGAAAAAGTTAGTTCATGACCAGAGCTGGGAACTTTTGAATGGTGGATATCGGGATTAATGCTTGATCCACTCTTTTTCTTAATCTCAAGATTAAATAATGCTTGTTCTCCTCATGAATTTAATCTCCAGATTAATTAACAGATCGGGATTAAGGATATCACATTCTAAAGTTTTCAGCTCAGTTCTACTTATCATTGCACTTATATTCCCCTTTTAACAAAAAGTTAGTTTTGAAAAAAAGAAATTGAGTCTTTATCACAACCTATGATTTTCTAATCTCTTTATCTTTATAATCAAAGACCGTAGACCCTAGATATGAACTATGAATTCTATAAGATGAAAAAATCCAAGTTTGAAATATCAAAGGTTAATTATATATAGAAAAAAATACAAAATATAAAACAATTTAAAAAAATATTTTTATGACGCTCAAAAGTAATATTTAAAAAATAAGAAGCAAATTAATTAAAAATGTTTATGATTTATTTCCTAAAATTACATATAATATATATCTTAAAATCCTCTTTATCTATATTTACATTTTATTAACATTTCAAAGAACAAAAATTCTATTTTTATGCAGCAAGTTGAGCCGGGTCAGGAGCCTAAATAATAAACATAATATTTTATTATATTTTAATTTATCATATTTTGCGGCCATTTGTTTATATAGTTTTCCAAGTGTACCATATGACGCCCCACCGTTGTACATTTGAATATTCGAGCTGGGCCAACCTTTGCAGTCCTACTTTGGACTGTACCGCCAATTTACATTCACTAAAGCGGCAGAGTAGTGTCATATTTCGTTATTTCCAAACTGTTAGTAATTATTCCGGAATTAAAATATTGCCAAATCTTGATTTTTGATTTGATTTTTAACCTTTGTACATAGTACGAGTAAATGAAACAGGCTGTATACTAGAGATGTACTTCAGCACTAAACTGAGATACATGATTTTATACACAATAGAAATAGTGCCACAGAATTATACATTATGACTTAAATGCATTAATTTTCCTTACAAAATTACTGTTTTTTCAAAAAAAAACTCCCAGTGGAGAGAGAATAAAATACATGTCAGAGTGATCAAAAGATCGAATGTTTACAAACAAAAAAAGATGAGATTTTGCCAATTATTTCTGAACAAAAAGCTGGAAACATGATCTTTAATGGTTCTGATGTTGTTCAAATAATTAATACACTTAAAAGACGACCCAGTCTAGGAAATTCAATTTGATAAAATCATGTGAATAATTGAGATGTCGTTCTTTCTTTCCACATATCTCTTTAGATATGCATTTATGAATTAGCTCTCGGCCACCTGGCGTGATATGCAATAAAGACATTGAACCTAGGGTTCCAGCGAAAAAGTAAATTGTCTTGAGAAAGTTTCGCATTTCTGCAGCATTTCGCTTCAATCTGTTTCGCCAAAAAAGCAAAATTTTCTCAAAAAAAGATTTACGAAAATTTTGTGAAAAAAATACGGAAGAGAAATTATTTCTAATGATATAATAAAACTTCTAATGCTGAGCACTCTCAGAGATAGAGAATTCTACAATTTTTTTTGCGCTTCAACCTTTTTTTTGTGAAATTATTTTTTGCGAAATTTCGGAAAACAATTTTCGCAAAAAATTTTGTGAAATACGAACGAATATTTTCTTATTTTTTCGCGAAATATTATGTTTGCTGAAAACTCTAATTGTACCTGAGCTGTGCTCATCTTTTTCATCATTTCCTGCTTCTTGACAAACATCTCCTTAATGGCCTCCATCTGCTGGTCCAGCTCATTCAGGTTCACCTAGTTCAATAAGACTGTTGTTGTTAATTTTTTGTAACCCTCCATTTAAAGAAGGGCATGCCAATTCAACCTTTTACCATTATTTGATCAATATTGGGATTATATAAATTTTCTCAGGATCTAGCCCGTAGTTTTATTAGCAGGAATCCAGCAACACATTTTTATAGAGAAACTGCCAGATAAAGCTGCAAAGGGTAGTGTTGTGTATTGATCATGATAGCCTTCATTATTTTGATCAGATAAAGCTCCAAAGGGTAGTGTTATGTATTGAACATGATTGACTTCATTATTTTAATCAGATAAAGCTGCAAAGGGTAGTGTTGTGTATTGATCATGATAGCCTTCATTATTTTAATCAGATAAAGCTGCAAAGGGTAGTGTTGTGTATTGATCATGATAGACTTCATTATTTTAATCAGATAAAGCTGCAAAGGGTACTGTTGTGTATTGATCATGATAGCCTTCATTATTTTGATCAGATAAAGCTCCAAAGGGTAGTGTTGTGTATCGAACATGTCCCTCTTAAAATAAGCGTAGTTTAAAATGTGCCTCCGTACATAAAAGAGAATGCCCGACATACAACCGTACTTTAAAATATTTATCATGATTAATAAAGTGGAAAAAAGTCTTGTTTTTCTAGCAATAAACATGTTTAATTCTGATATTTTCTACATAGTTTACTATGACAGTAGCAATGCAGAAGTCATTTTGGTAGTGAAACCTCAATTAAAAATAATTAGTTTTGAACGTTAAAAATAAGGGTGGGTACCATTGTGAATGGGGTCTGTCACTTAATATATTAATTGAAAGTACGTCTAGAGTCCCTTTGAAGGAACACTAGCTTAATAGGTTTATTAATCTACTAGTCTAATATACTACACACAATTAGATTAATGATTTAGAGAAGATTTAATGAATTTAGTTGATAGAAAGGATTAAGTTGAATGAATTTATTGGAATTGATTAAGTTGATTGAATTGATTAAGTTGATTGAATTGATTAAGGTGATTTAATTGATTAAGGTGATTGAAATGATTAAGTTGATTGAATTGATTCAGTTTATTGAATTGATTCAGTTGATTAATTGTTTAAAAACAATGGCAAAAATTACCTGTTCCCCAGTTCCTCCACTTGTTACCATTGTGCTGGTTACTTTATTCAACATATCTAGATAGATAGGTAAATAGATAAATAGATTGGTAGGCAGATAGATAGATAGATAGGTAAATAGCTAAATAGATTGGTAGGCAGATAGATAGATAGAAAGATAGGTAAATAAAAAAGTAGGCAGATAGATAGATAGATAGGTAAATAGATAGGTAGGAAGATAGATAGGATAGATAGGTAAATAAATAGGTAAGCAGATAGATAGATAGATAGGATAGATAGATAAATGGATAGGTAGGCAGATAGATAGATAGATAGATAGGATAAATAGATAGGTAGGCAGATAGATAGATAGATAGGTAAATAGATAGGTAGGAAGATAGATAGGATAGATAGATAGATAGATAGATAGGATAGATAGATAAATAGATAGGTAGGCAGATAGATAGATAGATAGGTAAATAGATAGGATAAATAGATAGGTAGGCAGATAGATAGATAGATATGTAAATAGATAGGTAGGAAGATAGATAGGAAAGATAGGTAAATAAATAGGTAGGCAGATAGATAGGTAGGAAGATAGATAGGATAGATAAATAGATAGGTAAATAGATAGGTAGGCAGATAGATAGATAGATAGATAAATAGATAGGTAGGCAGATAGATAGGATAGAAAGGTAAATAGATAGGTAGGCAGATATATAGGATAGATAGGTAAATAGATAGGTAGGCAGATAGATAGACAGATAGGTAAATAGATAGGTAGGCAGATAGATAGGATAGATAGGTAAATAGATAGGTAGGCAGATAGATAGATAGATAAATATATAAAGTAACAACCAATCATGAACATCAGAAGTCAGAACTTTTATATTGTAAATCTTGGGATCAAGTATTAATTAATCTACAGATTAATATAATCTGCAGATTAATGTAATCTGCAGATTAATATAATCTGCAGATCAATATAATCTGCAGATTAATATAATCTGTAGATTAATATAATCTGCAGATTAATCTACAGATTAATATAATCCCGTAATGGTTTACCCGGGAGGGATAAAGTATTGATCCTCAGATATAAAGAACCGACTAAGGTGTGTTATGCATGAGCTCCTTGTGTTTACATTTTAACACAACAATTTATTTCTTCCGAGGAACACAAATTGATGTTTTAATGGGATTTGTCAAGTTTAATTCAGATTTTTAAAGAGGTTTCCATGAGAGTACTTGTGACTAAACAAATTTAGATTTTGAGAGAGCTGAAGGAATTAATCGTATTCAGAGAAGGATTAAATTTAAAAATTAAAAGTTCAAAATATTGTAATTGTCAAATTTTTGATTTAACTAATTTTTCATTTTTTTGTTAATATATTATAAGGTTTGGAAAAAATATTTAAGATTATAACGGAACATTTGTGCGTGGAAGGGTACGTACATTACAACTTCATATGAACAGGACTTAAAAATAAATAAAAAAATATTTAATATAAAAGTACTTATTGCATAATATACTTTACTTTAATTTGTTATTTTTGTCATATAAAGGACTTTGCCCAATAACAACTTGAAATGGTTTAACTTGGACCGGAGGACAGGGGGGATGCAGGACCTACGCACCCCATGAAGGATTTAAGAATAGCTCCTCAATGTAGCACGTAAGGGAAAGAAAACCTAGTGCAAAACAGGAAAAATATCTATCTTAAAAAAAATTTTGTTTATAAATCTAGATGTTTTTGTTTCGAAATAAATCCAGCACACCCCTCACTTAAATCCTGTATCCGCCCCTGCCGGAGGAGGTCAGAATACATTACATTAACTTTAGAATTCAGATTGAAACCATTAAATAGTTGAGATTAAATTATAAATCCGTAAAAATGTTGCAAAGACTAATGGTTTTTCAATTGACTATAGAGGATACCCAGACCCAAGTTCTGATGCCGAAATTAAAGAATTTAAGCCGCGTCTCAAATTTGAGTTGCGGCTTCAACATGGTTTGATCCACCTGAAATTGAAATCAGGATTTCGAGATTTGATCCGGCGCTCAATTAGAACCGGTTTTTGACGGTTCAGTGAAGCAGTTTAAATTCTTTAAATTCGGACTCTGATTTGAGTATACAGAGGAAAGTACAATGCAACTCTGTGACAATGAACATCAGTTTACACCTGATTATGAAGTACATTATATTTTACCTGTCTGTTTACTCCACATTTAACACCTGATTATGAAGTACATTATATTTTACCTGTCTGTTTACTCCACATTTAACACCTGATTATGAAGTACATTTTATTTTACCTGTCTGTTTACTCCACATTCCTGATAGTTCTTCCAGCTTTTTAGACCATTCAATACAGGCCTTGTTCACGGCATCCCATCTATAGATACAGATGTAAAACAATCAACTCCAATCAGGTGAAAGCAAAAAAAGAGTATTGAAAGTAACGTAGAGCCTCGCAGATAGCTGACCACTGCAGGTGTGAGCCACCAGGTAAATGACAAGCTGAAGGCGTACTGCTATACAACCTACTGCACCCTGTCCAATTTGAATATTTTGTTTGCCAGTGTCTTTGATTTCATTCAGTAAGGTAAAGGCAATTGAGAATATGAAAAAATGATGATTCTTAAAGTTGATACATTTTTTAAACAGATCCATTCTCAATAACACTATCTCTGTAAATTATAAATTTATGCATATGAGCACGTCTGTCGTCTTATACTGCAAAAGATATTGAACAAAACATGTGCGCATATGGTTCCATCAATTTACATGCAAGGAACAACGTTTATTAAGTCAAAGACTCTTTTATATAACACTTAAAGCTCAAACATTCAGCCGTTCAGAAGAAACCATGGTCAAGACAGGCCTTGTAATTACTACATCCCATCCAAAAATGAGTGCTTTTTCAGTTCAGTCGTTCATCGTTTATTAACGACCCATTTCGTTCGTTTTTTTCAATAGTTTAAAAAATAATTGATTTTAAAATTATCGTTCATTTTCTATCTATTTCCCTAGTTTTCTCAATGAACAATCATTCATTTATTAGTTTAGTAAAAATACTTTTCTTGTTTAAAGAGTATTTTCGAAATAATCATTTGTTCAATAAAAAACTATAGTTTTTTAAAAAATTTCGGAGAACTTGTTTGTTCAGCAAAAAGCTAACAAAATTGTTTGTGAACAAACAAGACCGTTCGAAGATTTTAATTCGTTCGTTTTTATTTTTTTTTTTCATTTATTTTAAAAAAGATATATTTTTTCATTTCTCTGAACGATCCATTTAATTCGTTCAACGTTCGTTTTATTCTTCGTTTACAAAAGCAATGCCAATCTCTAATCCCATCTATACATTAAATACAGAGAACTTAATTGCCACACTATTCTATATGTATACAGAGACACTTGATTAATTTATATACCTGGCCATCATTTCATATATGTACCTGGCCATCATATCAACCATCTCCTTGTCTTCATCAGCGTGAAGGGTCATCTTAGCAGAGCTTAGCTTTCCGTTCTGGAGAACCTTTTCTACCTTGTCACACATAATCTTCCACTCCTGCACAATATAGCATCTAGTTTAAAATAATACAAAATAGTTTGTTTTAGCAGTTTGCTTTAAGCAAACATCGACAAATGTTTATTCTGAACTGGCTAAACCTAAAAATCACAATGACAACAGATAATCTAATCTGTTATAACATTTTAACAATCTTCATAGATTGAAAAGAATTTGGGATGCATAAATGTTGTTGCACTTGCTAGTAATATAAACAAATTGAATAATGAGACGTATAAATTTATACTGAAACATCCTGAGGTTAAAAATTTACAAATTTCACAGTAATGTTCAGAATTACAATTCCTTAGATTAATACTTTTTGGCTTATAGAAAAATAGTCCTTATTAGTTTAATGGAAATAAGGATAGAAATTAATAGAAGACAGAGCCTTATTTACATATTTGATATTTAGTTGCAACAAAACAAGTAATTACTAATTGTGCTGGCCTTATTTATGAAGTATTTTAACCGCTTTTTGTTTGCATATTTTGTAAAATTGTTTATTCTAAACATTTGTTTTTGCAAAATTTAGAAAAATATATGTAAAAAAAACGAACCAAGAAAGAAGCAAAAACGAACCATGAAAGAAGCAAAAAACGAACCAAGAAAGAAGCAAAAAACGAACCATGAAAGAAGCAAAAAACGAACCAAGAAAGAAGCAGAAAACGAACCAAGAAAGAAGCAAAAACGAACCAAAACATTTAACTACTCCTCAGGTTCAAATGTAATGTGAACAGTTCTACTCTCATTCACTTTTTAAACTTTCCAATCATTGTGAAATAATTTTCTAGATACTTTGAAATTTTGTTTAACAAAATTAAATTTTATTTTAAGTTGATTCACCTTGCAATCGTTGACAAGAGCGGTAGACTCCTCCAGATTGTTCGGTGAAGCATATCCCTTCTTAGCCTTCTCCTCAGCACTCTAATTAATTGGAAAATTATAAATTTTCTAGAAAAATTCAGAAAAGATTATTTTCTTAAGCATTTCATTCTAAGCAACAGAACAAGTTTCAGAGGTGAGAGGAGGCTATGCATAGATTCAGACCACTCCCCCTCCTCACCCTGATAGTCTTAAACTAATCTGCAGTTCATAAACTCATCTTTATACTTGATTAAGAAACTGATCTCAATCTAGGGTTTCTAATTTCCTCCAAATAAATTTTTATTCCACGAAAGGCCTTTCCTGAAGAATGAAAAGCAATGAATAACTTTTGAAAATTAAGTGCATTCCTGAAAATTAACCGAAGAATAAATGTACCCCCTAGATGTTACACAGAGCTGGGTGTGACATGCTTAAAATGTTCACGGGACTTTTTCGACATGTCACGCCTGACTACAGGGTAGATTTATTTGAAAATCTATTAGAAAAGGTTCTGCTCCCCTTTTTTTCAAAAGTTGTTAATTGTATATTTTCTTATAAATAGCTTTAGGAAGTTCTGTACACCTTAGTTGCTGCTAATTTACATATGAATTTCTAATTTGATTATAAGATTTGTATAAAAAGATAGATAGATAGATATATCTTTCCTCCTTTGCAATTCTATTGGTCCAGAGTACGCACTAAGCAAAAGAGTGAACTCTGATTGGATCAGACGCTAATGGACGTTTTAAACTACTGGTTGTAAGATCCTTATGCAACCAAAATTATTTTGAAGAAATTGAAAACCCTATTGTTACCTGAATTTAGTCCATAAACTGATCTTTACCTGAATCCAGCCCATAAACTGATCTTTACCTGAATCCAGCCCATAAACTGGTCCTTACATGAATCCAGCCCATAAACTGATCTATACCTGAATCCAGCCCATAAACTGGTCCTTACATGAATCCAGCCCAAAACTGATCTTTACCTAAATCCAGCACATAAACTGATCTTTACCTGAATCCAGCCCATAAACTGGTCCTTACATGAATCCAGCCCATAAACTGATCTATATCTGAATCCAGCCCATAAACTGGTCCTTATATGAATCCAGCCCATAAGCTGATCTTTACCTAAATCCAGCCCATAAACTGATCTTTATCTGAATCCAGCCCATAAACTGGTCCTTACCTGAATCCAGCCCATAAGCTGATCTTTACCTAAATCCAGCACATAAACTGATCTTTACCTGAATCCAGCCCATAAACTGGTCCTTACATGAATCCAGCCCATAAACTGATCTATACCTGAATCCAGCCCATAAACTGGTCCTTACATGAATCCAGCCCATAAACTGATCTTTACCTGAATCCAGCCAATAAACTGATCTTTACCTGAATCCAGCCCATAAACTGGTTCTTAGAGTTAGCAAATTCCGCCATGAAAACAATGTCATTTCCATACTACAACAATAAATAATAACATTTAAATTCTATATTAATTTTCATTTTTATTTTACCTTTGCTGCTTCTCCATCTGCTTCCTGTTTAAAAATGATCTCAAATATTGAATAAAGAATGGATAAATGGAGGGAAAGGCCTGAAGGGATTTCTTGTTAACAAATCATGCTAGACTTTGAAACTAAAACATAAGTATGGCTCTTCTTTTTAGGGCTGGGCGTCGTCCCTGGGAAACGAACATTCTTTCACGGGAACAAACGGAAAGAACGATTTTAAAAGATTCGGAACACACACAGCCCTTCGTATTTATTTAAAAATCTTTTATAGAAAAAAAGTTGTGCTGCAAGGGATACAAATCAATATTAACAAGCTAAACAAATTTGAGATAAATTTTTCCTTCTCCAAGCTGTCTAATTTTTCTCCAATTATTGTCATTCTGTTAACAAACTCCTTAGCCTAAATTTAATAACTATATAAAACACAATTATTAAGGTTTTTTCAGTTTATATTTTGTCCCGAGCATAAAATACAAAGAACCATCTTGATACAACGTGGTTTTTTTTGATTTAACAATTTCAATTGTTCTACAATTGACTTTGAGAAAAGTTGGAAACCAATTAAACCTTTTAGCATGGTGCTTTGATATACAAAAAGTCAACAATGATTACTTAAAGCAATGCATTAACAAGATTAAGCATGATCTAAGCATGACTGACAATTATTACAAAGGTAGGATAAAAAGATTTTGTAATTTCTTTAATCCACAATTTGACCTGGCCCCCCTTTCCTTCCAAATTAAACGTGATGATTTGAATTGATGATTAGGAATACATTTCTACCTCTGGAGTATTCTCTTTACCCACAGGTTCTAGTTCCTCGGACCACAGTTTCTGTTTTGCTTCGTGGATTTCTTTCTGAGCTCTGATATCATCTGCCAGATCCATTGCAGACACCAGCCTTGGACACAAAGTATACAGAGTTTAAAAACTTTTCCATCTGAAAGGAGCTGTAAGGCGTAATGAAAAATTACCTTTCATTTAAAGAGGGACCTTCCCAATTCACAACAGTGCCCATTTAACCTTTGACTGATCAAGACAGATGTTGGTTGTAATTATTGAAAAATTTGTTTGCAACCTATTTTATAGAAGTGTCATGCAGAATATAGATAGCGTTCACTCCAATTTTAGGGCTTTTTAACAGATAAAAACACTGAGTTCTCTGTCCCCGAGGATCTATAAAAGGTTTAAAGGGTACTGTTCTGAATCGCTTACTGTCCCTTTAGAGCTGTACCTTTGGCACTGAGACAGTTCCTTCCTACTTGGTTCAATTTTAGACGTAAGGTACATTTTAAGGGCAATTGGTCGCCGGAATCGAATCTGATCAATTTGATCAAGGCAAAACCTTTCTCTTCAAAGGCTCGAAATCAAGTGAAAATCTTATAAGTTACCTGTCAGTGGATTTCATCTTCTCTGGAGGTTTTATAAGAGCATCAAGATCTGCTCTATCTTTAGCTACTAGGTTTTCTGTAATATAAGGAAAAAAATATCATCAAGATCATATTTAGCAGCTAGGTTTTCTGTAATATAAGGAAAATAAAAGCATCAAGATCATATTTAACAACTAGGTTGCAAAGATGTAGAGATTAGAAAATTAGAGGAAGTGTAGTAAAGACTCAATTCCCATCAGACCTTTTGAATGTAAGTTTAAAAGACTGCCAATCTTCTATTTCACCTTTAAATTGTAACTTTATCTGAGAGAATCTTCTCTTTAAATTGTAGTTTTATCTGAGAGAATCTTCTCTTTAAATTGTACAACTTTATCTGAGAGAATCTTCTCTTTAAATTATAACTTTATCTGAGAGAATCTTCTCTTTAAATTGTAGTTTTATCTGAGAGAATCTTCTCTTTAAATTGTAGTTTTATCTGAGAGAATCTTCTCTTTAAATTGTAACTTTTATCTGAGAGAATCTTCTCTTTAAATTGTAGTTTTATCTGAGAGAATCTTCTCTTTAAATTGTAGTTTTATCTGAGAGAATCTTCTCTTTAAATTGTAACTTCATCTGAGAGAATCTTCTCTTTAAATTGTAACTTTATCTGAAAGAATCTTCTCTTTAAATTGTAGTTTTATCTGAGAGAATCTTCTCTTTAAATTGTAACTTTATCTGAGAGAATCTTCTCTTTAAATTGTAGTTTTATCTGAGAGAATCTTCTCTTTAAATTGTAGTTTTATCTGAGAGAATATTCTCTTTAAATTGTAGTTTTATCTGAGAGAATCTTCTCTTTAAATTGTAGTTTTATCTGAGAGAATCTTCTCTTTAAATTGTAGTTTTATCTGAGAGAATCTTCTCTTTAAATTGTAATTTTATCTGAGAGAATCTTCTCTTTGTACAATATAAAACAATAACAAAAAAGTTCGCGAATTTAATAATATTTTTTTGCACATTTTCAAAATTTAACAAAAATTAAAAACTTTAGGACATTTTTGTAATTTTCATAAACCTTCCCTGGGGGTCCTGTGAGGTGCCTTAAAAATGATGGGCATGGTAGGTTTAGCCGAATAAACGTTTATTTGATACAAACGGACTGACAGACAGACAAGCAAATTATGTATAAACTTACCAAGATCTGTGGCTGTTTTGTCAAATTCAATAATGCTCTAAACAAATATATTTGAATTAAATAAATTATGCTGTAAAGCGTTATGTAGTTTTAGTTATTAGTTAAATAAAACCTTCATGTCAAATAGCACATTTTTTCCTTTAAAATTATTTTCAGTTTTTTATTATTATTTCACAATGTTGCCCCAATACCGGAAGACCATTTCATGATCCCAAATGACTCTTTATGACCCCAAATGACTACTTTATGATCCCAAATGACTGCTTTATCACCCTAAATGACTACTTTATGATCCCAAATGACTGCTTTATGATCTCAGCTGACTACTTTACGATACAAACTGTTTACTTTATGATGAAAAATTACTCCTGTATGATCCCAAATGACAACCGATTGATCCCAACTACTTTTTGATCTCAAATGACTACTTTTGGATCCCAACTTACAACTCGACGATTCCAGTTTAGTACTTTATTATCCAAAAAAACTGTTTACTTTATTATCACGAAAAAATTTTTATAATCCGAACTGACTACTTTATGATCCCAAATGACTACCTAATGATCCAAACTATCTACTTATTGATATTGATCCAAACTGATTAATTGATGATGGAAAATGATTAATTTATGATCCTATGATAATTACATCTAATTCTACTATCTTATCAAGACTGACTATTCCATGATCAAGATTTTTGACTAATATAAGTGCGTCGGCCAAACCAAATCGGATTTTGGTTCCTATTCTAATCATTTTCTCTCAAAAATACTTTTCCATTCTTATGTTTTTACCTTATTGAAGTTGTCCAGCCATGCTAGTTTTGCATCCAACTCTTTTCTAACCTGGAAAAATATATGTATTTAAATACATTATATTTAAAGGGACTGATAGCGTTGTTTCAAGTACACCTCAATGCAAAGAGGGCTCGATTTAAACCTTTGCTTGATTATAGAGTATAGAAAGCTCGAAATTTAAATCTCTTGAAACCCGCTTAAATTCCTGTAAACGTGGTGTACGCTATGTACAGTGTTAACTCAACACAGCTATATACATGTACTAGTGTCCCTTTACAATTCCGAACATTTTACATAAAAAGCGGTTTCGTTTATTATTGAGAATAACCTTGCTTAGTCAAAAATTTTAAGGGTACCGTTGTGAATCGGGCATTGCAGCCATCTTTGCATATAGAGTTACTTTTATTACGCTTACAGTCCCTTTAATTCGTTGATTACCCCATATATCTTATTTCTCCGTAACTGAAAACGACTTCTGATCAGATATCTAGACATTTAGTCAAATTATTCATTCATTTTTTTGCATTATAAAGATAATGTTTAGTCTGCAATGCCGTTATTTCTCTCAATATGTTTAATTTATAATATTCGAGAAAGATAAACTTCATTTCATCAATGTTGGGTTTGGATGCAGGGTGAAAATTTTTGGGGCGGGTCTTTCCTCCCTCCCCCCCCCCCCTCCATTATTGCTCAAATTGCGAGGGAAAAATTAATGCAAATTACGAGCAAAAACTGCACTAAAGAAAACGTGTGCGTTGGGCAAGGATCTACAAGAAACTTTTATTGGAATATAATAATTTAATAAAACTTCTAAATCTGGGTGGTAACTATTAGTAGAGATTTACACGTAGTAAAAAAGTTTTTTTGTTCCTAATTTTGTTGCAGCTGCAACTCTAGGGTTGCGCCTAAAATTATTAAAATATAACTAAATTAAACCTCTTTGTACATTTTTGTTGCAGTTGCGTGGACTAGAGCATAGCAAAAAAAATTCGCGCAAAAATGCAGAATTCCGTGCAAAGGTGTAGGGAATATGCAAGTATATATGCGCAAAAAGTTTGCTTCTGCTGGAAAACCTACACTATGATAGATATAAGAAGGAATACCTCACATGCTGTCTTTAGATCTGTTACTTCTTGAGTCAGCTGAGCCTTCACTCCATCATCGGCTAGAATCTAAAATTAATAAATTATTAAATGATTTAAGCAATACCATTACAATATGTTTGTATGTTGTGTGAATAAATCTTTATAATATATAACATAAGATGGAATACTTTTAATCAAAAACAAGTCAGAACAATGCAATTTTTTCTTAACAAAACTTTGAGGTTAACATTTAAGATTTTGATGCATTCGCTATAGCAATCCATGCTGTGTACATCGTATATAGAAAAGGTATTGGATTAATCCATAGCTCTGCAAAAGATGGATCAAAGCTTGATACCGAGATTAACGATAAAAACGTTTTAACATGCCACAAATGCTATCTTAAAAACTCTTAAAAATAATGATATAATTGGATTGATTTTTTCCCCAGGGAATCTTCAATGTTAAATAAAACACTATTAGCACACATTTTCTTTTGTGAATTTCCAGAAGAAAGAATAATTGAAAAAGCTACGTCAGCCAAATTTTTGGAGTTTCCGCATTTTGCACGGAATTTTGCTCAAATTGCAAGCAAATACGCAAATTGCGCGAATATATTGAAATTCCATTATAAAAATTGCACAATGTCAAAATCATGCAGCAAAAACTATCATTCATAGTAAAGAAATCTCTCAGAGAATTAGTAAATAGTTAGGCGTGCCATTTTCGTTTGTGTTTACTGTGGAATACCGTGCAAAAGTTTGCAGAATTTGCACGCACGGAAAAGATTAACAAATTACATTTTCTTCTCCAAGATTTTCTACTTCTTGTTAATAAGAATACAGGCTTATCAACAAAGCATGAGACTGTAAAGACGACTAAAAAATGTTCAAATTTGATGATTCCAAGTTAAAATTAAGGCGCTTGTCTTAAATGTGTTCTTTAAATGGGTTATTTAATAATTTGGCAAAGAAAGAAAAAAGTTTACAGTTGCAGGTTATCATGAATATATTAAGGAAACAGACACTATCAATTCCGAGATTTCAGAAACTTTTTGTTTTACCTGAAGAACAGCATTGGCCTCTTCAACTCCAGCCAGGGTTCGATCAATCTCAGCTTTAATGGCAGCAGCTTTATTCATGCGGTCTGCGTGGTCAGACTTAGCCTTATCCATGTCGTACAACTGAAATGAAGATAATATCATCATTATTGTTTAGTCTCCTCCCAAAAACTGCAGTACACTTACATTGTTTGTAAACTGAGCTAACACTTTATGAATGAAATGGTTCTAATCTAGAAACTATATATTTAAATCTATATGTGATTAATCTCCTAAACTCTTATTTACTATATGAGAATTTTGCCATATTTACAGAATGCAGATATTCAAAAGAATTAACTTAATCCCTCAGAGCAGGAAAAGCAATAATACAACTTAATTTTATGGGATTACAGTAGATTAATAGCAATATAGAAAGAACACTAGATGTTGTCTTTTCAAGATTTAGGGTCAGAATTCAATTTTGCCTCTGCCATGGGCTTCTGCACTCAGGGTTATTGTTGACGAAAACCCTTAAATCTTGAAAAAAAACGATATCTAGTGTTCTATCTGTATTGTGATGGGATTAACTTTTATAGATTTGGACCTGGGGTTATACGTACTTTTATTAAATATGCAAAATAAATCATTATTAATTTAGAATTGTTCCTGCTAAAACCTTACTTATCATGATTAGCCAAAAAAACTACAAACTTTAACAATTAAATATTCATATTTTCATATAAATGCAAGCCTGCAGGTCTTGCTATTTTGTTTTTGCATACAGATTTTATTTTCAAGATAACAAGCAAAAATGCATACTTATGCATTCTGTGCTACATTCACATCCATAAGCATCAAAACATAAAACTTATTTGCATTATATTTACTTTTGCTTGCAAAAACTTGTTATGTTCAGCAAGTTTTTCACACTTTATGCACTTCAGGCTGTTAAGTCCTATTTTTACCTCTCAACCTTTGCAATTTAGCCTGATTTTCAACTCTCAACTTCTGCAATTTAGCCTGATTTTTACCTTCTTGACGTCAGCAATCTGCTTCTGAGCTGTCAGCACATGAGTGTTTAGCAGCGCACACTTATCAGCAAAAGCATTCCATGCTCCAGAATTTCCCTAGATAGATAGATTGTAATCAGAATTTCCCTAGATAGATAGATTGTTATCAGAATTTCCCTAGATAGATAGATTGTTATCAGAATTTCCTTAGATAGATAGATTGTTATCAGAATTTCCCTAGGTAGATAGATTGTTATCAGAATTTCCCTAGATAGATAGATTTTTATCAGAATTTCCTTAGATAGATAAATTGTTATCATATTTTCCCTAGATAGATAATTTTTAACTTTAATAATTTATTTTTGGATAAGGGTTGTGGGCACAAGCTCACGCATACAAATAAAAACGAAATATCAATAAATCTATTTCCAGTTTGTTATCAAAGTCTTTCTATTATTTTGTTCTGCTCAAGATTAATTAAAAGTCATACACCCCAACGTTTTGTGTTGCGCCATTGTTTTAAAAACTTGACTATGGGTAACCCTGTAAACCATAGTGAACACTTGTTTTGCGCGGGCTGATCTTGCTTCCTTTTTTTCCTTAGCTATTTGGTTTGGTTAATAATACCCTAGATAGATAATAATAAAGTGTTTTCCTCATATATAGCTTATGTAACTTTAGCTACAAATATAAATACTACATTTAACTCGAGAAATAAACAAAAAGAAAAATAGATAAATAGATAGATAGATAGATAGATAGATAGATAGATAGATAGATAGATAGATAGATAGATAGATAGATAAATAGATAGATAGATAGATAGATAGATAGATAGATAGATAGATAGATAGATAGATAGATAGATAGATAGATAGATAGATAGTTAGATAGATTTTTTTTATCGTAAAAGTGACAATGTTTTTCTTCTCTCCTTAAAGTAGCATTTTGAAAATAGTTTTTACATCAAACTCTCCAATAGTCCCATTAAAGTGCTAGCAAAAATTACAGCATTGATCTGCTATCCCTGTATTTAAATTAAAATACCAGATTACAGCATTGATCTGCTATCCCTGTATTTAAATTAAAATACCAGATTAAAGCATTGATATGCTAGTGCTATCCCTGTATTTAAATTGAAATACCAATCTATATTTATTTACATTTTTCTCTGATTTATTCTATGGGCTGTTGTCTGTTAGCAACAAGAAAATCAAGAACTATTTTTACTTTATAAGTTGCCAATCCTTTGAGAACAATCAATTACAAAAAAAATTGTTTTTCTTTTGTGAAGCAAAAAATGGCTTAAAATTCTTAATCAGGAATATTTATTTTCATTCCTTTCCTAAGCAATTCAATCTTTTACGATTTGATTCAGTCAACTCAATCAACCACGAATTTTTAAACCAAGCTTAGAATATTCTCGTTGTTCTGCCGAGTTTCTCAAAATGTGAGTCCAATCGGTCATGGAGTAACCTGAGCATTAGTCATACATTAAGACAAACAGAGATTAATACTTTTATCTACAAAGATGTGCTGTTAAGAAAAAGAAGAACTTTTACAAAGATGTGCTGTTAAGAAAAAGAAGAACTTTTACAAAGATGTTGTTTCGCTACTTAGCGATTTCCCTAAAGACCTAATATATGTACCGTGTGGTATTTCTCAGGATTGGATCGTAAGACTCCCTTCTCTCAACGCTCTTCATAATAAAAAGGAAGATAGTAAGGTTCCGAACGTTTATTTCTCTGAGCCTTCAATCTAAACAAGTTTAATAAACCCACAGAAAAAGCTTTGAGTGAAAATCATACAAATATAACAAATAATCCACTCAGGCATTAAAAAACTGTGGCTAGGAACCAATAAACGAATACATAATCATCAATCATACTAGAATCAACCAATAAACATAGATATATATAAAATAATTACCACGGTGATCCCAGAATTCTGAACACGGAAAATACTTGCAAAACGAATAAACATATACTGAATATAAATATAACTATAACTCCGCTAGAAATCTTGCGTCTGCGCAGTCGGACTGTAAACAGTTCCTAAACCAGTTTCTTCACAATACATTCCGTACAGATTTTCCGGAGAACCTTAGAAATACGTAGGGGCGACAAACAGACTTTCTTCACGCAGCATGGCTCGCGTAACAGATGTGCTGTTAAGAAAAAGAAGAACTATTGCAAGTATTTTTCAACTTTTATCACTTCATTAAGCAGATTTGTCGTCCAGGGTTGACATCATAAATCTTCTTGTTTATCTTAAAGAAATGTGTAAATTTCAGGCTGAATTTGCATTGGGGAATGGGGTTATAGGATCTGTAGATGCGATTTAAAGTGCACTTCAATTTAGAAAAAAGGGCATGTCTGATTCATATCAGTACCATTTATGGAGGACCCACAGTTTAAAAAAAACAAACATAATTAATATCTCATGCATTCTTGACTAGACAAAGCTTTAAAAGGTAGCATTGTGAACTGGACATTGAACTGTGTTAAATGAAGGGCCAACCAAGTCTAATGACACTTAAAAAGAAGAGTGGCATTCACAACGATACCTAGCTTGGATGAGTCATCCTAGTTTTTCTATTCAAAAATTAAAAATGATGTTGCACATAATAAAACAATTTTTAGATGGAAACCAAATGATTTATTGTTACCTAAATAAAGGTTTCAAAGACATTGTAATCTTTAAATGGTGATACAATTTAAATAAGTACACAGCCCCTTTAAGCAGACCTTGTTAAATATATTATTAAATTTTTTGTTCAACTTCAAATATTGTGTAAAATAAAATGCAATTTAATTCAGAACAAGCATTGAGAAATGGGGTCAGGCATGGCTTTCTAATCTTTAATAACAATGTAAACTTTTTAGAAAATCAGAATTTCATTCTTAAATTTGTTATGCTATGTACACTCAAATTTAATGTTTTGATGAAAATAATGCAAAACAAGAAAATGTAAAATGTGTTTTGATTACGTTGTTTTTAATGTTTATATAATGCATTAAAAGTATAAGAAATGCATGGGAGATCTTTTAAAAACTCACGAAACCTCCAATTCCACTGCTTTTTCGGGTTTTATAAATATGTGAAAGGGATAATATGTTTAATTATGTTGTTGTCTATGTTTTTATGATGCATATTTTGAAGTTTATGCATACTTGGCACTTTGCTTAAACTATTTAAACAGGCTTTCTTTTCTCACCCAGCTAACCCAGCTCACATATCCAGTATCTTGTTTCAGATAAATCTATTATTTTACAGACAATAAAATTCAAAGCGTTTTAAGCTTCACGCAGAGATTAGGTATAGAGAGAATATTAAGAGAGTTGTCCTTGGTTGCAATTTAAAAAATCCCTTTGAGCATGAAAACAAGTTAAAAGATAACGTCTGATTGATTGATTGATTTTACCATCTTTTAACCAATATTACCAACCTATGCTTCCCCTAACATTTGGAAGTTAAGTAAATTTACAATCTTGGAAAAATTAAGTAAAATAACCCCAACTCTGCTAAAATTCGCGAATTTTTATCTAAAATCACGATGACAATGTTTTGTAAGCAAAATAAGTTTTATGGAACCCTTGGTAAAGTAAAATGATCTTACCTTCCCTGTACATTCGCTGTAAATTATTGAAATTGTATGCTGTACATTACTGTACAGTAAAAATAACCTCTGAAAGATTTAATTCTTAAATCAAGTGGGTTCAAAATATGTAGTTAAAGAAAGGAAATATTTAAAAAGAAGTAATTTTATAAAGGACCCAAAATGTGAGAAGTATGATTGCAATTGTGCACAACAAAATGGCGATTTTACTTTAGAAATAAATTGCACTCGATATCTTTTTTTACTCTGTGAAAATTGTAACTCCATAATGTTTATTGAATTTCTTTAAATTCTTTCTGCAATCTGCACCTTTGAAAATTCAAATTCAAAATAAAAATGCTTGTTAAGAAAGATTTTCCAATTTTTACTGATCTAATAATCCAATCAATCGAATCATAAAGAAAACCGGGAAGAGTTTTCAGTTTGCAATAATTAAGGTTGGAACTGGATACCCATATACTTTTAATTTGAAGCGATTAATTACTTAATCCGTTAAAACAGCTGACAGTTTTGCTATATCTCTGATCTGCTGACAGCAATTTTTTCTAATTTTCTAATTCTTAGACCATCCAAAGGATTAACTTAATCCCCAACAATTGTTTTTTGCTCCCTGAAGGCGTTTTAAATCTAAAAGTTCTGTCCTAAATTTTAAAATGTGAAATAAAACTCAAGTTCTAGGATTTCACACCCGGAATTGTATACTGTTGAAAGTAACTGAAAACTTTTCAACCTTATATTTGTGATTGTATTTTCTTTATACATCTTGAACCATTATCTTTTTATCCTTATAGCTATCTATCTATTAATTAATTTAAAATTCCCTTTTAAAAAATGTTCTTTTATTTTTGACTTAAAAAAGGTAAAGTGAACTATGTGGTTTTGTTTTGCTAATTTTTAAATTTTAAAAGCTGAGGAGAATTAACTTTGTACTGCAAAAGAAATTTTATATCCGGCACAAGCTAGCTTCATGTGGACGAAGAACATAAAGTGCTCAGTATAAAACTATTTCTGGTGTAGATTTGAGTTTGGACTAGACACAGCAGAAAGCACTCATGCATACAACTATTTCTGGTTTAGATTTGAATTTGGACTATGACACAGCAGAAAGCACTTAGCATTGAACTATTTCTGGTTTAGATTCGAGTTTGAACTATACACACAGCGGAAAGGTTGTTATTACCTTCAGTGGCGGACATAAGGGGGGTTATTGGGGTTATTTACCCCCCCCCTAGAATCCTGGGGGTAAATACCCCCCCCTAGAATCCTGGGGGTAATTACCATACCACAACAANATAGCAGGGGTTACTCCATTTGCTGCCTCTACAAGTAACAGTTCCAGTTGCCTTGACCCCTTCCCTTCAAAAAAAAATACATTCCCTATTGATTAGTCTGCACTTGTGTAAAGACGACTATTTTCATGATAGTAAAAGTTTTTGCGGCATTTTGGAGATGCTTAAACTTTTAGTTCGGTTACTTCAGTTCCTAAGATGAAATTAACGCAGAAAACATTGTGCAGATACGTCGGAATCAGATATTTCAAATTTTAAGTCAACATATTCTAAATGATGTGGACAATAAAAAAAAACATTTTTATTTTTTACTTATAAATAATGTCATTTCCACATTAGATTTCGTTAAGATCTTAACATACTTCATTGACGACAAGAAAATTTAACAATGAGTAATGACCATATTTTTTTAAGTTTTGCAGAGTAGCTTTTCTAAAGATTTAAAAAAGTAACATCTTTTTCCTCTTAGAGTAAAACTATCATTTTTTATATTACTGCCTTTTTTGTCAATGTTTGTTAAAAAGTTTAGTTAAACTTAAATAAATTCAGTTTTTTACAGATCTTTGTAGTTAATGTAAAATGAATGACTATAATGAAAGATATAAAACAAGGTGAAAGCTGAAAGGTATGTCATGAAGCCTTTATTAGATTGAGTTTGTAAATCCCAGAAATGAGTGGAAAATGCAAATCAACCCCAATTAAAACCAATAATTTGATATACATCATGATATTTTTCTAGGGGGGGGGGGGTAAAAAAATTTCAAGGGGGGGGAAAAAAAATTTGGCGAGCTTCGCGCGCCAAATTAAAAATATTAACCCACCCCTACAGAATCCTTATGTCCGCCCCTGATTACCTTTTTCGAAAACATGAAAAGAATCAAGAAACTTAAAAGCTAAATGCACCTTCAGATCTGCGAGCCTGTTTTTAGCCTCATCAGTCGTCTTCTTCCAGAGATCTTTCATTTCAGTCAGTTTCTTAGCAAGGAACTCAGGAGCCTTTGCTTCACCTGGAGATTTGGGAAAATTGGTTATTTTTTAGTGCAGATTTTACGGACATTTTACCAAGGGTATTTTCCCAAGTGACAACTTCTCCCCCCCCCTTGCCATTTTATTTTCTGTAAGTTTCATTTTGTTACATTATGCAAAAGAAATGGGTTTTTGCTACAAACTCTAATTTTTTAAATCCCTATTTCTTTACAACCCGATTTCGAACACTTTTGATATTCAAAACTATATATTCTGGCAAATTATAAAGTCTAAGTTTGAAATATCGTTAGAGTGCAAAGATATAGAGATTACAAAGTTTGAGTATTTGGGAAAAGCTCAGTTCCTTTGGCTCTGACCGCAGAAAACATGATTGGATTGGTACTTTTCCATTTTATTCTAAAGTTGATGTGATGAGTACAAAATCACAATGAAAAAATTCTAATCAACAAATTTGACAACCTAAGTTCCACAAGAAAAACCTGTTAAAAGGACTGTAGACGTAATTTAAAATAACTTTCCATTGATGGAAGGACATTCACAATAGTACCCTGTAAACTTTCATCTCAGTAATACAAATTATGGGACTTCTATAGAAGTGATGTATGCGAACACGTTTTAAGATATAAATACAAGGTTACCCACAAAGGATGAGACTTTAATGCCGACCTAAAACTCTTTTCTAAATAACGATTTAATGATTTGATTTGGCGTTATAGCATAAAAATATTATTTTAATGGTCTTCTAAAAGATTTGACAAAGAAAAAAATAAGTTAACAGCTGAGAGGAAGCTGGAATGTAAGTTTACAGCTGAGGAGAAGCTGGAATGTAAGTTTACAGCTGAGGGGAAGCTGGAATGTAAGTTTACAGCTGAGGGGAAGCTGGAATGTAAGTTTACAGCTGAGGGGAAGCTGGAGTGTAAGTTTACAGCTCTGAAGGGGAGCTGGAATGTAAGTTTACAGCTCTGAAGGGGAGCTGGAGTGTAAGACAAAAGATCGAATATTTTCCTTCTGTGAAGTCTCATCCTTTGTGGGTCACCATGTATTTGTAATGGGTACCGGTGTGAATCGACATTAATTTGGGGATCACGTAAATTACATTTACAGTCCTTTTCATAGATACTTAAAAAACTTTACATGACATCGTCTTCTATTGAATGCGAGTTATTTCTTAAATCTGCTGTGCGGCATTCTGTCGACACGTGGATTTAACGGTTCTGTCAATATTTCAGCTGTGACTTCCGATCACAATTTGACCCCTTATACATAACTTTATAGCATTTTTTCTTAAATAACTTTTTGTTGGTATATACATTTTGTATGAAAAAGTATAAAATAAACAAATCTGTAAGTTTAAAGATTGTTGAAATATAAACGAAAACACGTTTGATTTTAAATAAAAGAAACAGGATGCTTCTATCTGTGGTTAGTTCAGTGTGATGTCTGTTGCTAAAGTTATTAAACTAAAATATGCAAACCTGCCAACTTTTCTCCCTTGGCTATAACGTCTTTGACCTCCTATAAAAATGTATTATATGTAAGGTTAGGTTCAAAAATATGTAGATATACAAATACGTAAGAAAACAGATATAAGATATAAATATACAAATATACAATATAAATATATAAACATATTAATATATATATATTGTATAAAAATGTACAAATATATGAATAATATATATATACAAATCAGATAAATTTAAAAATAAGTAAAAAAATATTTTAAAATGCCGATTTTCTGAAAGGTCAGAATAAGAAAATTCCAGTTGTGCAAATGCCTTGCATACTATTCAAGAAAGAATTTTTTCTTGAATTAATTTTTCTTTTTTACAGATTTGTCTTTCTGTAGTTTTCCATATATCTTTTTTTTAAAAAGAATTTCCTTGTAATTTTAATTTATTCAGAGACCCTAATAAGAGTGTTACTGCTCTAAGTGCGTATCTGAAAAGTTTTTAAAGAAGAAATTTCTTTAATTTCGTAATTTAAAAAAAAAATTTAAGATCAATTGTTTTTCTTTGTCGATTTGTTCTTAAAATATCTTTTCTTTGTCGATTTTGCTTTATAGTTACATTTCTTTTTTGTTTTTAAATATACTTTTTTTGGTTGATATTTTCTTAAAACATCTATGCCTTTTCGTTGATTTTGTCTTTTAACACCATTGCTTTTTGTCGATTGTGTCTATAGATACCTTTGCTTTTTTGTCTATTTTGTCCATTGTTTTATTGTGCTTATCAATAATTTCCTCAGTTTGAGAAACAGAACCAGAGAAAACCTCTGAAAATATTTTTTTAATGATTATCTTTTTAAACTTTTTATGCCACAATAATTCAACCAAAAATAGTACAGTGGTATGCGATAATATTAATACAACGAAGACGACTTTTTATTTTAAGTTTAAATTGTTAACTAGCTTTTTTCTTATTACAAGTTTACATATAATCAAAGTACCACTTTTTTAATTGACAGCTTCTCTTGACTTGGATGTTTATGTGTATCCATGCTGTTTAACAGCTTGATATAAATCAAAATTGAAATCGAAAGTCGTTTCCATTGTATTAATAAAATCGCCTACCATTCTAAAATAATTGTCGTCTTCTTATCTTAATGATAAATTATTGCGAGAGAACTCATAATTTCTTTATGATTACTTGCCTCAAAATCCAAATTTTCAATCGTTACATCCTTGAACTCTGATCATCATAGATCTCAGATGTTTCAAACAATGACTATGCCAGATCAAATTTTAGATCAAATTGTTTGAAGTATTAAAATTTAAAAAATTAAGTATTGGAAAAATAGAATTTTTGGCAAGTAATCAAATTTTTTCAGAAATAAGTCAGTTTTAGCACAAATTTCAACACCTCTACAGCAAATAATTTAAAGAAACGACATTCAATGCAACCTGTTGTAACATTAATTCCTTTTATGTTTTGTACATTATTTGATTGCGTTCATTACTTATTATTATTTGATTTTGACAATCCAATCCATTTAAAAAAAAATTTTCTAAATAGTTTGATAATTATTGTTAATTTTTCCACCTCTGGTTGCAGCTCCGAGCTGTTCATTTGCAAATTCCATCAGAGGCACAAGATCATCTGTGAACTGTAATGATATAAATTAATTAAAGAAATTTTAAAACAAGAAAATAATCACGAACAATAAAGAGAAAATGTGATTGGAAGAATAAAGAGAAATTGTTAAGATACGTGATTTTTTTAAAAAAAACATTAGGTATTAATTTACTGGGATTTAAGAACTTACTACTTCTTCTAAAACTTTTAATCGGATTATTAAACGACAACAACAAGATTTCGCAGATTTTCTGTTTTTGTTTGCCCATTTTCATACGTATTATGTAGTTTCAGAAATTCAAAATTGTACGAACCCAAACTTTTTAGATTCTGATTGTTTATTCCTAAGTAATTTTTTATTCCATTTATATTTATAAAATTAAGGTTTGAAATATCTAAAGTTTAAGCCATCAGATTGCAAAGATAAAGGGATGAGAACTTTTGAGTTTGTGGCAAACACCTTTGCCACAAACTCAAAAGCCGAAACTTTAGATATCAAACTTAAATTATTTGATCTAACAAAATTTTTATTTTGAAATATATAAGATCTTCGACATCGTGCTTCAAAGATAAAGAGATGAGACATTCAGTATTTGTGGAAAAAAATCCATTATTTTATTCTAAAGAGCGTAACTTTTTAGTAAAAAGTGCAACCTTTTTTTCCTTTTTTACACGCTGTTTAAAAAATTTTCCTGTTTACTAAATACTTGGTTGGTTCTTATATTTCATGTCACATTTGACACCAATGACGTCACGCATAATTTCTTCAAAAAAATCCAATTACGAATTATGATCTGTTTTACTAGTTCCAAAAACCAATTACGAATTACGACCTATTGTACTAGTTCAAAAATCCAATTACGAATTTCGACTATTGTACTAGTTCAAAAATCCAATAACGAATTACGACTTTTGTACTAGTTCAAAAATCCAATCACGAATTACGACTATTGTACTAGTTCAAAAATCCAATAACGAATTACGACTATTGTATACTAGTTCAAAAATCCAATTACGAATTACGATTATTGTACTAGTTCAAAAATCCAATTACGAATTACGACTATTGTACTAGTTCAAAAATCCAATTACGAATTACGACCAATTGTACTAAAGTCTAGTTAGTCTATTTCAAAATGACCTCATAGGATTTCCAGAGCATGTCAGTAACCAACTTTGTCTCATTAACACGAGGCATCAAACTCTCAAATCTAAATATAGTAATAACTATTTATAACCCGTTATTTTGGCCCGCTGCACTGTTTTTGGACAGAAATTTTTTTAACGAGTAGGTCCAAAAACTTTATATCACGTCGTGCCAAAATAATAGTGTTATAGCCATAGGTAATTTTATTAAACGTTTGTGTACTTGTCTTATTTCAACGGCTGTTTTTAGATCAAATAAGCTTTGAAACAAAGCAGAAGTCAAAATATAAAATTGATTTCAATTTAATTTTGATTTCAATTGAAAAAAATATTTTTAAAATATCCTAAATATTTTTTAGAAAATCCGGGAACCAATTAAAACTTTATAATAAAATAATATAAAATAATAATTTATTTTATCAGGAAGATTTACTTGGAATTGTTGGCAATAATGTTTGTAAAGGTTAAATTTTCTTTATTTTTGAAAATAAAAGTAAAAAATTATAAATTATGTTGCAGACAGTAAACAGTTATAAAAGCTAATAAAACCTACTATTATGTGTTCTAAATATTTTATTCAATTTTGATGGAATTTATCACACCTAATATTTCCCGTTGAATGGTGATTAAGTGACTTTTTTCCCCTACAACAAGGCGAAAAAGTAACTTTGTCACCCTGCTATTAAAATTTCAAATTTCATACCTAATTTTTCTCATTGTAGGGTGATAAAGTTACTAAATCAATCACCCAACAACAGGGTGATTAAGTAACTTTATCGGTTGCTTTTAAATAATTTGAGAAGAATTGAATTAAACTATATGTTATATGTTATTGAAATGGGTATCATATTCATGCGTGCAAAACACTTTTTGCTGTAATTTTTAATTTTTGTTTTGTGCGTGAAAATACTTTCATTTTGATCTTAAACAAACTAGAAAAAATAAAAATCCCGGCAAAAACTTTTTCGCACTTAATAATACCCATTACAATGACATAAATAGATACTTTTTTTTTGTGAAAAATGTTTTTATTTACCTTGTAAAAATTTTCACAAGATTATCGTCAGCTGATCCCTAAATTATCAATTTTTAATTTTTACCAAATTTGATTTTCTTCAGATAAGTCCAAACCTTTTTCTACTAAAAATTAGTCAAAAGTCAAAATTGCAAGTTCAAAAATGTAAAAGGAATGGGTCGAGCTATATGTACAGTGCAAGAAAATATATCAAAATCATTATTCGATCTGAATTTTGATTCCTTTCGTCGATTTTTTTGTAAAGAGATTTTGATTCGCATTATCCCGAAAAAAATCTGGACAGTGACCGACCAAAAAAATTCCTGATTAATGAGCTAAGTAACTACGGTTAATTTTCTACTATATATATTATATATATACTATATATAATATTACATCAAATTACAAATATTAACTTAAATTAAAATTAAAAATAACAAAGAGGGCTATTGTAATTAATATCAGCTACCTACGTGAAAATTAAAAATCAAAATTTTACATTTTGTTGATTTAAAACTAAAGTTTTATATCAGCGACAAAATTGCGACATTTTTTGTAAACATTATATTGATAATTGATATGAATTTATATTAGATGTGTTCTTATTTCCTTTAATTCAAAAAAAAATATTTTAAAAAGTAAAAAAAGAACTCCAAAAAAGTCATAATAAAACTGTTCTTAATTAATTCCAAAGTATGTTACTTTGTTTAAAGCTAAAGATTTTAAATTAAATGTTTTACTGAAAAAAATAAAGGAACATTTTTAGAGCAGATTTTATGATCAAAAATAATAAAGATTCCAAAATAATTTTCTAATTTTACAGGGAAAAAGTACTTCTCAAGTTCTCATTCTACATTGAATGTCCCACTGAACGTTACAATTAAAAGGCGACTTAAAATCAAAAATGATAGATCTTGCAACGGGTAAAGACGATCCTGAAATCGAACATCAATTGTGGGACACCCGATGTATACTTCTTGTACCCTAAAAACTGTACACAGGGCTGGCACTGTTGTACACAATAATGTACATAAAACATGCACAATGCACACATGCTTCTATCTAAATAGGTTTCTATATAACTAATTAATTGATTAATTGATCAAGAAAAAAAACCTTCTTCGGCACAATCTCTCCTCCTCCCTCAGCAGCCATCTGGATAATTTTTATTAAAGGAATTCTTCACGTATTTGTGTAGTGTGGGAGGTACTAAATATTAAATGCATTCTTAACGTATTTGTGTAGTGTGGGAGGTACTAAATACTAAAGGAATTCTCCACGTATTTGTGTAGTGTGGGAGGTACTAAAAATTAAAGGAATTCTCCATGTATTTGTGTAGTGTATGAGGTACTAAATATTAAAGGAATTCTTCACGTATTTGTGTAGTGTGGGAGGTACTAAATATTAAAGGAATTCTCCACATATTTGTGTAGTGTGGGAGGTACTAAATACTAAAGGAATTCTCCATATATTTGTGTAGTGTAGGAGGTACTAAATAATAAAGGAATTCTCCACATATTTGTGTAGTGTGGGAGGTACTAAAAACTAAAGGAATTCTCCATGTATTTGTGTAGTGTAGGACGTACTAAATATTAAATGCATTCTTAACGTATTTTTGTAGTATGGGAGGTACTAAATATTAAAGGAATTCTTAACGTATTTTTGTAGTATGGGAGGTACTAAATATTAAATGCATTCTTAACGTATTTGTCGTATGGGAGGTACTAAATATTAAAGGAATTCTTCACATATTTGTGTAGCTTGGGAGGTACTAAATATTAAATGAATTCTTCACATATTTGTGTAGTGTGGGAGGTACTAAATATTAAATGCATTCTTAACGTATTTGTGTAGTGTGGGAGGTACTAAATATTAAAGGAATTCTTCACATATTTGTGTAGTGTGGGAGGTACTAAATATTAAAGGAATTCTTCACATATTTGTGTAGTGTGGGAGGTACTATAAATATTAAATGCATTCTTAACGTATTTGTGTAGTGTGAAAGGTACTAAATATTAAAGGAATTCTTCACGTATATGTGTAGTGTGAGAGGTACTAAATATTAAATGCATTCTTAACGTATTTGTGTCGTATGGGAGGTACTAAATATTAAAGGAATTCTTCACATATTTGTGTAGCTTGGGTGAAAGGTACTAAATATTAAAGGAATTCTTCACGTATATGTGTAGTGTGAGAGGTACTAAATATTAAATGCATTCTTAACGTATTTGTGTCGTATGGGAGGTACTAAATATTAAAGGAATTCTTCACATATTTGTGTAGCTTGGGAGGTACTAAATATTAAATGCATTCTTAACGTATTTGTGTAGTGTGGGAGGTACTAAATATTAAATGCATTCTTAAAGTATTTGTGTAGTGTGGGAGGTACTAAATATTAAAGGAATTCTTCACGTATTTGTGTAGTGTGGGAGGTACTAAATATTAAAGGAATTCTCCACGTATTTGTGTAGTGTGGGAGGTACTAAATATTAAATGAAATCTCCACGTATTTGTGTAGTGTGGGAGGTACTAAATATTAAAGGAATTCTTTACGTATTTGTGTAGTATGGGAGGTACTAAATATTAAAGGAATTCTTCATATATCTGTGTAGTGTGGGAGGTACTGAACATTAAAGGAATTCTTCACGTATTTGCGTAGTATGGGAGGTTATTTTGATTTTTACGATATTTTTATTTTCATTTCAATAATCTAAAAAAAATCGAAAGCAGCTGATCGTTCGCACCAAACAAAAGTTTTCTAAATACTTTTATCTTTGCAAACTAATAATATTTGAAACTATCCTCTGCATTTATAATTCAAAACGTCAACATTACGGATATATATTAAACATCAGGTTGCTACTTTTTTCGGCAACGATGCAAAAATTTTAAAATTTGGTTGTTTTCTATCTCCTCCCAACCCCTCCAACTGCCCCTGTATTCTAAAACAGAATGCCAAGCATGAATTGTTTTAAAGAATTAAAACATGGGAAACTTTCATGTAAACAAATATTTTTGAAAACAGAAGATTCTTGTGTTAAGAATTTATAAAGGATGGAGGCAGTAAACTCAATAGAAAATTAAGTTGTTTGATAATTTGGTAGATTTAAGTGTTATACATTTGTAAAAATTATAAAAGAAATCTTATTTTTGATATCACATATAAATTACATTTCCTCCATTCTACTTATCTACAAGGTTTTAAAATTATTTTACATGTTTCATGTTATTACTATAAAAACACATTTTGAGAATTCAACGATAATAATTTTTTATATTAACATTTTCCTTCAAACCCTGAATATTTTCAAATAATTTTTTAAAACTTTTTTTTTCCTTGAGTGTAATGAAATTAAAATAATTCAATGCTAAAAAAAGTCATGCAGATACATCTATAATTAACACGTTATAATATTAGCCCTTAATTTCCTTAAAATTAAAGTATCATATGTTTAGAACATTAAATATACCCTTTAAGGGATTGCCATTGTAGCTTCAAGGTCCGATAAAAACTATATTCTTAAAATCTCTTCCTACAACTTCCTTCATTGTTTTTGAAGCAGAAATCCGTAAGTAACTTATAAGAGAAACCACCTCAAAAGAAAATAATATATTTTTAAATAAGGATGATAAATAGTCCATGCAGTATTGAATAGAAAAGACTTAAGTAAACTCTTGTTGCAACTCTATGAGTGCAACTACATCTACACTCAGACAATATATATCATTGATTTCCGAAGGTTGAATAATACAGCTAAATCTAAATAAATAAATAAAGTAAAATAAAAAAAATAAAAAATTTACCTTTTTCTCCTCTGCAAGGAGTTGTTTAGTATTATTGAGCCAGTCTCTAACCTCACCTCTTTCCAGGTTCTTTACAATGTTCTAAAATTTAGCTCTGTTAGTTCCAACATGCCAAAAAACGGTTATTAAGTGGCACAGTATAGTTTATTAACGCTTTATGAATGTTGAATAACGTTTATTACGTGGCAAAGTATCGTTAATTAACGTTTCGGTAACGTGAAAATGTGCACAATTCGACGTTATTGCGTCTCCTAAAGTTTTTGTACTGTGGAGTGAGTGAAATATAATCATGTAACCATGGAGTTTGAAAAGACGACGTTAAACAGTCTCATGTGTAATTGGTGTTAATAATTAAAAAAATAATTTGAATTCAACTTATACAATGAACGGTTTCTGTGTACAGTGCAAAATTACAATATTTCCATAGATTAGGTAGATATAGATGCAGAGATTAAGAGTCCCGGCGTCTGACAAATTTATATGTGCTGCAACCTTCATGTAAAATAGCACAATTGGCTTAAAGTTTAGTAAATCTCTTTCAAGCTAGATAGGCAGGGCGGTCCGCGTCAATGATCCATCTCTGGCTACCTAATCTGTGAGTGTTTCATGTTCTAGACTGTTAAAGATTATTTAAAAATGGCGACCAGTCCTATTCCTATGACTGTAACCTACCTGGAAATTATCCTTGATTCTCTTAAACTCCTTAGATGTATAGATCTTGTCAGCGTTCACCTGCAAAACATGGTGGTGCCATTCACATGAAGGAACATGAGTTTTTGCAACAAACTCAAATTTTCCAATTCCTATTTCTTTCAGACAGCTGATGGTGTAATCCTTTTATGTTTCAAACTTAAGCTTTTTGGTTTCATGGAATTCATGGTTTGAATATCAAAGATCTACGACATCGGGTTGCACTGAAAGTGGTCATAATTTTAGGTTTATGGGAAAAAACGTATTTTCTTTAAGTCAAATGTGTGATAAAATATGTTATTCATGCATAAATTCACATTATTTAAGTGATTAAGTGAGTGTGACTAATTTGTTGTTCATGTTTTAGAATGTTGATTTTTTATGTGAATTTCGAATTTATATTTGTGAACTCAGAGCTGGGAACTATAGAATGGGATACCTTTAATCCCGACTACTTAATCCGAATATCCAATGTGGACACTCTCGTTTCTGTATATTAATCTTAAATGGCGCGCAAAATTTCAAATTTCCCGGCTTCTGATAAGCGACTTTGATTGGTTGAATTTTATACACTTTTCAGGATACAAATCATTCAAGTACAAGATTAGGTTAGGGTTGATATTAAGAAAAAGAGAGGATCATGCATTGATCTCGATATCCACCATTCTAAAGTTCCCAGCTCAGATGTTTTTCACATGAACTCATATATGTGAATTTACTTGACTTTATACATGTTATTCGCGTACATTTATATATTATATTTACATGATATGATGTTATTCAAATATATCTAAAATTAATATCAGTTACTATACACTTGTTATTCACATGAATTCGTTTTTTTACATGATTTTTCATATTAATCACCTATTTTTGTCCATACCATATTTGTCAGGTAAACTCACATGTTATATTTGCGATAATTCACATATTTTACATCATATTATTATTAAAGTAAAAATGTTCAGCTAAATAGACTGTGTTAAAAGTCAAAATTCATGGGGGGAGGATTGAACCCCCTCCCCCCTTCCTTCCATGCTTAAGGGTTCATAATTAAATATCTACCTGTGCAATAGAGGCCTCAGCTCGGTCCATCAAGTCGAAAAACTTCTGGGACCTTGACAATTGTTTGTAGCTTTTTATGTAATTCATTTTTAATATTTTAATTCCTTTCGTGGATTACTTGCAGTCTGGTTTTATGACTTTTTAATTTCTAAAATCATTAAAATTGAAATTACGCAAAAGATTGTATTTCATAATTTCAAAATTCGTTTTTATCATCTATAAAATTCTTTATGTGCATGCAGCACATACAAGTGCACTGTCGCACGGTAATAAATGTCTTTTATTTAAATATTATTAATATGTAACATATAATTCAGCAAGAGAATTAGACAGAAAGAAATAATGCAAACTAATTTCAATAATCATTAATTGAGATATAGATTTAGAAAGGAAAAGAAAAAAAGAAACAGATTAAGAAATATCAAAATAAAGAAAAGACAATATAAAAGAATCAACCAACGAATAAGGAAAAGAACAGAGAGAAAACAGAAGAAAATTACAAAAAAAAATAATAAAAAGAAACACAACTATCTAAGAAAATAGAAATTTGTTTTTTAAATTTTGAAAATATAAAAATACCTCTCATCGAAGAATCCCTTGATAAAGGGAAGATTCTCCTGCCAAAAAGCCATTTTTTCTTTAAAATTGATATTTTAGAAAACAGATTTTTTACACTTCTACTCCTATTATTCCTTGTTTAAAGAGAACCAATAGCGATTCACAATTTTTATTTAACCTAAGATCCTAGAAATTGATATATCTTGGTTTTTATCCAAAAGTAGTTAATCTTACCAAAAAATAGGCAAGATTTGTTCTGCATTCACCCTAAACTAAGCTTTTTGGTACTAAAACTGAATTAAATGAATTTGAGCAGCGTCTTAAATCTGTTAAAAACCGGTTTCAATTGAGCGCCGGCTCTAATCGTGAAAAAAATTAATAAATTTTAAGTGGAACCAACCATATTTGAGCAGCGTCTCAAATTTAAGCCGTGGCTCAAATTCTTTAATTTCGGCCTCTGGAGAAACTAAAGTACACTGTCCTAAGAAATAGTGGTTCTTAGAGAAGAGTGCATTAAAATTTCAATCTTTTATACGGCGTTTTTCTTATTAAAAAGTTAAAATGAAATATTGTTGTTATATAATAGTTTCAGTAGAAGTAATATTTCCATTTACTGATAGCGCCAATTGAAGGATTCATGTCTCTAATTGAATAATGAGATAGATAGAAAGATAGATGTTACCGCCATAATATTTCTATTGGTTCAGAATAGACAACCAACACATGACTGGACCCTGATTGGATCAGGCGCTAATGGACTCGGCATACAAGGGTGATACAATTTCTTTGATGATTTGAACTCACATGGACTGTTATTGTAATTTTTAATTACTCGCCATTCACAAGGGTATAATTTAAACCTTTATCTTATCAATGATGGGGAAGATATCATCGTTTTTAACTGGACAAATGTTTAATTGTATCCATTTCCTACATTTCTTCTGAAGCTGAAATCCGCAAGTAACTTTATGGATAAGCTACAAATGAAAACAACTAGTTTCAAAGCGAAAGGAAATTTAAATCGGTTTATGCAGAAACACCCGTTTTTATTTGATCCTAAAGTCATAAATTAAGGCAAAAAATCGTCCCACCCTTTTAAATGGAAGATCACTTGAAATTAGAATTACAGTCCCTTTACTTCATGCATTTATCGTCACATACAGTCATATATCGAATATTTTTTCCTGATTCTATAAAAACAAATAGAAACATAACTACAGTGATAACCATACAATTGTGGAATAGAAGAACGACTGCTTAAGTCAAGTTATAATGTTCAATAGTTTAATGTTCCTATTTTACTTAACCTTATTTTTAAGCTATACTGGAAACACGTTTGCTTTACAACAACATCGAATGCACATATAAGACTGCTTAAATGCCGCCTTACAATTCCACATTTGTTTGGGTCTCACTGCATTAAAAATTAACTAAGCTACAGTGAAACCCTTAATAACGAATACATCGAAAGAATTTATCAAATGTCGTCTTGACAATTTTTCAATGAGTTTTATACTATATTACGTAAATTTCAGTATTTGCGAAAATAAATAAATAGCCATGAATATGCGGGAACAGTATTAAAGAGTTCCATATAATCATTTAATTAAAAAACTAAATATATATGCAACATTCCATTATCAGAAAGTGAAGAATACAACATTTCATGAATTCTTTCGATGTATGATCGTTATTAAGGGTTTCACTGTATGAACTATGAACATTCTAACTAAACCTAAGAGTCTCACTATACAAGGAATACCTTTGCCCAGACCAATTTCTAACTGCTCGGAAATGTATACCTGACTTTATTCATGTATAACTGTTCAAAAATGGACAATTTTATCTTCTAATTCTGTTGTGAAATATGAATATACTAAAAGGAATGTTGCTAAAATTGCAAGTGAATCTCCATTTAGGGTAGCACGGCCAATTCACAAAGTTTCTGGCAATTTGCTAAATTGTTTCTGAATCATAAATCCGCAAGTCAACTTTTCAGAGAAAGCTCACTTTTTAAGTTAGAAAAACAACGATAACTTTTGCCTTCTCGAGTAGAATAAGGTTTAAAGGCCCCGTTGTGAATCGGCCATGCCACTGTAATAATTGAGGGACTCTTTGATTAATGTTTACAGTCCCTTTAATGTGCCTGTCTTGATAATAATGAGCTTAATAATGTAAATAACGAAAATCAACAAGCATTAAAACAGTTGAGTAATGAACTCCTAGATCTGAATCTGATCAAGTATTTTGAACACCTAGATCTAAATCTTGTCAAATGACCGGCCTACTGACCGCGACACAGAGGCTTCAAAACAATCCAGTTCGGAGGACAATGGTGGGGGTGGAGAAAGATGGAAAGTTTTAATAAAAGATAACACGAAACTAAAGATATTATTATAGATTAAAGAAAGGAAAAATACAAGAAATAATAATGATCAACCATGTGTTGTATTAATTTATGAAAACTTTACAATTTTGATCCCTTTTTAAATTAAGATATTTTTCTGTAAAATAACCAAATTTTGAATATTTAGATAAAGTTTGTAAGAAAATTCAATTGGTTTTAGATTTTTTTTTGGTACAGTGATAGCCAGAAAAATGGAATAGCTTATAACGACTTTCTATTAATGCTTAAGACAATTAGATAATGTAATATAGCAAACGGTTTTACTAGACACTTATTAAATCACTTATTTAGTGAAATGGGTCTGTTACCATTGCACAAATGCAGATTGTACATTTGAAGTTATTACTTGATTCTAAAAGTCTTCTCCATAATTCAGAATTTTCTGGTTATCACTGTAAGCAAAAAAATGTAAAAAAATACAAAAACTAATTTCAAACTTTTGTGTGAAAAAATTTTGATTCTAAACAAATACCCAAATTAAATAGAAGTGTTTCTGGACTAAACTTTTGCTGCATAAGGATAAATTTTTTCTTCAACGTCGAAAGAGGTTTTTTGAAGATCGTCTTCTGTATAACAAACTTACTGATTAACACTAACAAACAGATTGAAAAAATATTCCTTTTAAATCTAAGATATATATTTTATAAACGTAAACTACTTCAAAATTGTTTCTTAAAGGGAGTGACCGGCTATGTAAGGTAGTTGAACTGAGTACGCAGTGTTGTCGAAGACTTCTTTCGGATTCATTTGAGACATATTACACTTTTTAAAGATCGGTAAATCCTGAGTTTGAGTGCAAATTCGACGTTCAAAACTCCTACTTTGGGGGTGGATACACTTTCAGAGTTTTTTTTAAATTATTAATTAACGACGACATAAGATGTAAAAATATTCTACAACAAACTACAGACATCATGTTTATGAACATTTTGAGAAAATAAAAATTAAACTTATCATCGAAAATAAGTAATCTTGTTCAATTATTAGTTTCTATTATCTCATTATTCTGGTTTCTCATTTTTCACAAAGATGTTCGCAGATTTTCTATAAGTATTATTGAAAAGACGACATTTAAAGAATTTGAAGAAATCTGTGAATAAATTCAAAGAAAATTAGAAATTTAATATAATAATGAAAACTAAATAATCGATTTTAGCAGTGATTTATTGACAAATTTCTGTTGTGAAATATGTTCCTAGCCATCTAATTAGATTACTGTATAATTTTTACTTTATTTTTCGTTGTCGTTATTTAATAATTAAAAAAAACTAATTCTGAAAACGTATCCACCCCCAAAAGTAGGAGTTTTGAACGTCGAATTTGCGCTCAAACTCAGGATTTACAGATCTTTAAAAATTGTTATATGTCTCAAATGAATCCGAAAGAAGTTTTGAACAACACTTCATACTCAGTTCAACTACCTTACATAGCCGGTCACTCCCTTTAAAAAACTATTATTTTTTTCAAATTCGGCTAGGTTATCATGATGAATAAGAACAAGTATATTATGAATGTTTTTGATGACAAATCATTAAAACTTTGACATTTTACGATTGATTTTATCACTTTTTTGAAGAGATAAAATCAAAATGTTAGATTTATTCCCATTTTTTATCACAAGAATAAAAGTCGAATTTATGACTTTTTTACCTTGGATGTCAATGAATAAAATTTTGAACTGATATTTAAACCTGGTCAAATCAAATTTTATCATTGGATTCAAGCCTCCATTCAGGGTAAGTGATACCTTCAAATACTAAAATGTAGAAAAATCCAGTTTTATTAACTTCTATTCATTGTTTTAAATCAATGTAAAATTCTAAATTCTAAATCGGCACACATTCTAAATTTCTATCCTTATATCTTTGAAATTTTCTCAAATAATAGAAAAATCTGAATAAAAATTCGTTTAAAAATTTCGTCATAATATTTTATCTCTATGAAAGCCCTTTTAAACTGAATTCAGAAACAAGTTCGTTGCAGTTCTAGAAGTACTTGTCTAAGGCTACTAAAAATTAGTAAAAAAATCAAAAGAAAAAGACTTTGAAAAACTTTAAAGTTTTTAAGATTGATTTTTAAATCTGTCTCTGATAAAAGGTTATGGTTCTAGCTCCAGTTTTAGCGTGTTTTTAACAAAGTTTAAAAATATAAAGTATTTTTATATTTAACTAATCGTTTGGTAGATGTTTGTATTGAAGAGTTTCATTATCCTTGCCGTTGGAATGTACAGTTCATCTGTATCAGCCGGATGTAAGTTCAGGTAAATTTTTTCTGGACAGAAGTTTATCCTGATTTTATTAGCAATTGTTATTCTTTTATAAGCTTTCAAAAAGAAAACTATATAATCAACTATTGGTATATCCAACCGCCGCGCACCTACTGAATCAGGATCCCTCAAGTCGAAATTTTTTTTTCTATCATTCTCAAAGAAGAAAATTTCTTTGGTACATGAGTATTTACTGTAAAGTAGGAAATTTTACACTTAACTTACTCTTTTGCAACAAGCTTATAATTCGAATTTGGCCAATAATTTATAATTACACACCTTTACTATTCAGTCTTGCTTGGAAGCTAATTATATATTTTCACCAAAAATTATTTATAGATCATTAATTGTTAGCAAAACAAGAAATTCTTTAAACTGCCAAAATGTGTATTCTTTTAAAGTTTTCAAAATGGTTGTTTCAAAAAGAAATTGTTTCTTTTTAGATTCTTAAAACTCTTTAAATTATAGATTTATAAATTTTCCAAACCAGTTGCTTCTAATAAATATTGTATTGGTTTTGTAATAAAGTGAAAATGACATTTACAAGAATCTAAGTTTAATATTTTTTAGCAATGATGATGCATTAAAAGATGAACCAACTTTTGGCGACTACAATGTAGATCAAGGGTAATAATAACACTTAATTTTGTTGCTGTTTATTATTTTTACTTATGATTTATCTATTTAATCTAAAAAAATACTTTAAACAAAACGTGTTAAACATAAAGAGGGGTTAGAAAAGTAATTGATTTCCACAGTTAATATATGTTCCGAGGCATACCAAAAAAGTTGTAGGTCAATGAACTTTTCAAAAAATAAAAAAAGTGATATACCTTTTCTTTAGTATCTTCAGCATTTGTAGATATACATGAAATATTTTGAAAGTATCGTTAATAAATAATTTGATTTTATAAGAAGTAAAATCTCAATATCAGATTTTGATTTTGCATTCTTTATATTTTTGTCAATATATTGAGAGTTTTAATTTTTAGTTAAGTTCAAAAAATTTATTCGGACCCACCTTTCTAAAAAATATCAAAATAAACAAATATTTGATTAAAAGAGCCTTAATATTTTCAGTGCAGGTTTTAAATGGAAAAATGTAAATGGTAAAACAACTGTTCCATACATATTTGAAAACGTGGACAGGAATACTCAAGTAAGCCATATAAATAATTTAAAACATTTCATTTAGTTTTATCTTTTAATGAAGCGATTTTATTTCTGAAATCTGAGGCATATTCCTAGCTGTATATGATAATAACAATACCATTTTAACAAATTCACATAAAAATTAATATTCTTTTTAGGCTGCTTACAAGAAAGTTATGAAAGAGCTTGAAAGAGGATCTAGATCATGTATAAGATTTAAACAAACAACCAATACAAACCAGAAATATTTAAAGATAACGTAAATACTAAAACTAGAAGGGGTTATCAATTATTATAGAAAAGTATACAACTTTAAATGATAAGTTGTTGCAGTTTTGGTAATGTTTCAAATACAGTAAAACAGAAAACACTTTTATCTTTAATTTTGATGTCTCAATTTTTTCTAATTTTGATAGTAAAATGTGAATTATTACGGCAATCAATATCAAAACACCTCCTTTAATGATTTCGAACTGCTGGCATCTTTTAGTAGATAATTGGTAAATCAAATTTTGATTTTTACATGAGAATTTGTATTTATTTTAATGTATAATTAGAAAAACAGTAAAACATGATTTTTTAGGGATGGAACCCCATGCTATACAGGTGGTGCAATTGGTGGAGAGGTTAAGACTAAATGGAGTTCTTGGAAACCGGAAGGAGAGCAGACGCTAGACATGGACCATAGGCTGTGTAGTGCGAACCCTCGGGGCTTAGAAAGATATTTGGGAGTAGTACGTCATGAGTTTCTTCATGTGTTTGGTTTGCAGCATACACAAACTAGACAGGATAGGGATGAATATATTCGGGTTAACTACAGAAATCTATTAAACGATGGAAAATCTCAGTATGAAAAATGCAGGAACTGTAAAACATTTGGTGCTCCATATGAATGCAATTCAATAATGCACTACGGCGCTAATGACTTTGCTATAAACTGGAGGACACCAACTATGACTCCTGTAGACAAAAATACATGCAAGATAAATCCTGGCACCAATCTAACTAATTGGGACTGGAAGCTCCTACGCAAAGCAGCTAATTGTCCTGGAAGTTAATCAATGCTTATTGGTTCAAAATCTGATCATTGGCATGGCAACTATAATAATTTTTAAGTTTTATAATTTTTGGATAAATTTTGCACCGCAGAGAAAATGCACTTTTGTTTTTTCTTGTTTATTTGGTTTAAATAAAAAATTGGACAATACAAATTATAATAGTTCAAAATCTGATCATTGGCATGGCAACTATAATAATTTCTAACTTTTAAAATTTTTGGATAAGTTTTGCACCGCAGAGAAAATGCACTTTTGTTTTTTCTTGTTTATTTGGTTTAAATAAAAAATTGGACAATACAAATTATAATAATTTTTTCAAGAGGTGTAAGGGTTGCGTAAAATTTTTTTTTTTTTCTGATTTAAAGGGAGTGTTCACGAAAAATGAAAGGGGGTATAGGCTTAATGCGATAAAAAAGCGCTTATGATCGCCACTAATTTTACTTCTGTCTGTTGCGTCTATAAGGAGAAAATTGTTAAAAACGTCTCATACCGAATAACTTAGCGCCCATACAAATTCAGAAAATTGCAACATATGACTTAGACCGTAAAAAATCAATTTAATTTCAAACAAATCATTCAGATATTTCAACCTATAGTCATCGATTATCTTTCGCTCCATATGTATATAGTTTTTATTCTATAATATTTTATTTTTTTAACAAACGTTTCAACGGATTTCGAAAAATGTGAGCGGTGCGCGGCATTCTTAGATAGTTGCGAAAGCAACAAGAGATATAATCAAATTCAAAACAAATTAATTAAAAAATATTATAAAATATAAACTATATACAAATGTGGCGAAAGATAATCGATGACTATAGGTTGTAATATCTGAATGATTTGTTTGAAATTAAATTGATTTTTTTTACGGTCTAAGTCGTATGTTGCAATTTTCTGATTTGTATGGGCGCTAAGTTATTCGATATGAGACGTCTTTAACAATTTTCTCCTTATGGACACAACAGACAGAAGTAAAATTAGTGGCAATCAAAAGCGCTTTTTTTATCGCATTAAGCCTATACCCCATTTAATTTTTTGCGAACACTCCCTTTAACATTTCTTTCGAAGACACATTAATCTAATGTATAAAATAAAATGTCTTTAAACATAAAATTATAGATATAATCACTACAGCTCTCCCCAACAAGATGTACTAACTATTAATGGTATTAAGTTTCAAATGCTTTGCTTTTAGCTTTTGTTTGAAAGAGTTTATGCACCAAACCGTTTAGCTTTATACAATATCAAACATTATATTGCGAAATCTTGAAATAAAAACTCCAAGAAAGGCCTTGACCTTTCAGATTGGTTTTATGCTTTTGTAATTGGTCTTAAAGTTGAATGGCAAAAAATGTGCAAAAATGAAGAAATCAAACACCGAAATCAATAAAACTGGTGAATTTCATGGAATTTGGTCACATGACGGATTGAAACTATAAAATTTTGAAGGCAAGTTGCCAAATCTATTAAGCACTGCATATATGTGATGAATTATGTCATTTCTGATCAGTACCATCCATGACCCCAAAAATTGGATTACAAAAACGACAAAGATCTGTGCTAAATTCTAAAGCCTTAATCTTAAAACCATGAGACACTGAAGTGATTATGGATCTCAAATGTAAATCAAAACTGTAGTAAAACCCTCAAATTATAGAGGTGAGGAAACACTAATGGTTTAATGATAATTCAACTCATTTTTTTTCTTAAATTAATATATAAATCGTTTTCCGGGTCATTGCATAAATAATATCTTATCTTATATATATATATATATATATATATATATATTTACGAATGTCTTGTTTTATTATGTATATGATTGACTTCTTAGGGATATAATGAAATGCCTAGGTAATCAGGGAAAAAGGTAGTGAAAGGAAATTAAAGAACAAAAGTGGTAACTGATGACTAATGGCTTTTATTCTACAGGACTATGAGGAATTGTCATAGTATTTGAAAAACGTAATATTTTGATGCTTTAACGTTTCTCCATGACCATTGACCATGCTATCATAGTCAGAGCTGAAAACTTTAGAATGAGATATCCTTAATCCTGATCGCTTAATCTGAGTATCCATGATGTACACACTTTTGATTTTCTTTTTAATCCTCTTTTTTGGATATCCATATGTATAAAAGTTGCGTTTGATAACATTGCAGATATAATTCTATATCGATTTGCAGAGGCGCAACTTCAGTTCAGAACTTTTTTTTACATTAAATGTTTACAATACCCTTTAGCCTTGAGAATTGAGAAAGATAAAATTATTCTTTTTAAAACTAACTATAGTATAATAAAATTTCTACAATAACTCTATTGGTTTTCTTATTCCTGTGATACTGATTTTCGCCATTCTTTCTTTCTTTTCATTCTGCAGGGGGGGCGCGCCCCCCCCTCTCAGGTGCTAGGGGAGGGCGCGCGCCCGGCCGCCCCCCCCTAGTTGCGCCTCTGTCGATTTGAACTAATTGTCCGATTGAATTATAAAGTCAGCTGTTCCACAAGCCGGCTTTTAGAGCATTTAAGCAAATATAAATTTAATCATGAATTAATATGAACCTATTAAAAAATATATTTTATCACATTTTATGATTTTAGGACTATCATTATACGTTAAACGAGTCTTAACAGCCATTATTCCAAAACTCACATTTATTTAATCGATGTTTATATGACACAATTAACACCAGAAAAAAACTGGCTTTTCAAAAGTTAAAGAGTATACATCTTAACATGATACATGATATGATGTCCCACAAAAAATTTGGGCCCGATCGGTTCAGCCGTTTTGACATTTATTGGATACAAACAGACAGACAGACAAACAAACAAACAAACAGACAGACAAGCCAAATTTATATATAGATGTTGTCAATAGCCAGCCAAACGGTTGGACCGATTGGACTAAATTTTTTTGTGGACACTCATGGGTGACCGAGGGGTGTTATGGCTAAAGAAATTCGAACATCTTTTTCAAAATATTTTTTTCAAATTTCTTTTCACGGGCAACGCCGGGCCCTTCAGCTAGTAGTCTATTATCCTCTTGCCATATAATTACCAGCTATACACCTTTTCCTCTTAAAACAATACATTCGCTGACCACTAATCATAGTTAATTTAAAGCATCAAAAAGAAACGTTCATGAAAAAAAAAACAATTGTACAATTGTTGGGATGGATGCATCTATTGAAGATATTGAATATATTGAGTGAATTGGGGTTTGTTTAAAAATTAAAGCTACTTAATCAATGAATCATTAAATGATGGAAATCTGCGCAATGCCGCAACATATTCACGAAATCTATTCTGTCCGTGTAAACAGAGAGCCGTGTTGACCAAGCGTTTATTTCACTTTTCATCAGACTTCTGCATGCATTAAAATGATGAGAGATGTTCATTATTGAAATAGTCCTATGCTCCATGAATGTACCTATTTGTTTGAATTATTAATAAAGATTAAAAGGTTTTTTTTTCAGAAAAATTTAGATCAAGATGGTGTTGGCTGATCTTGGTCGTAAAATAACGGCCGCCCTTCATTCCTTGGGTAAGATTAGCTGGATAATTTCCTAATATACAATTTTTGGACCCCCCCCCCTCCTATCAGTTTTGTACATGGATCCCATAAGTAATACATGGATATAATTGGTCATGTGGCTGCAGTGCTCGGCCCCCTAGCCTGTCTTAGCCGCAGCGCTCGGCTCAGAAGATGTCTTAACCTAGCCTTAAAATTATAGAAAAACAAATAATTTAAAAGTAAATAATAATTTGCTGTAAAATAAGTGGTCATGTATAAAGTGGGGTGGGGGAGGGGGGGGGGTCCAAAAATCGTATATAGGACGGACCCGATTCGTCTATAAATTTGCAAAGAATCTTTTTTTTAATATCTTGGAGAAAAAATGAAAAATTGGACAGCAAAAGGCTAGGTTTTTAACCTTTTTCATTCTTCTAACCCGAAAATTTATTTTATTTCCTCTTCAAATCTTTCTCAATTTAGCGAATTAAATCCCCAAAAATACAGAATATCTGGAAAGAAAACCTGTTTTCGAAAGCTGCGGGGGGGGAGTGTGTGATTTTTCATGAAAATATACACCCCTATAGCCCTCCCGCTGTAAAGTAAACGTCTGTGATATGCAGTATACAGCAATCTCCGAAACTAACTCTAGGAAGAAAGTAAATTCTCGTGCACGAAACTAAAAGACTTGGAATCTTTAAACATATAATAGATAACTTTTCGGTTAAAAAATTTCTTAAAAAGTATTTGTATCTAAAAGGAGATGAATGATGTATAATATGCTACACGAACACCACGAACAGGCATGTTAAAGAATGTGTATCAAAAAGGAGATTAATTATGTATATTATGCAATACGAACACCACGAACAGTCTTCTTAAAGAATATGTATCAAAAAGGAGTTAATGATGTATAATATGCCACACGAACACCACGAACAGTCTTTTTAAAGAATATGTATCAGCAAGGAGAATTATGATGTATAATATGCTACACGAATACCACGAACAGTCTTTTTAAAGAATATTGTATCTAAAAGGAGATTAATGATGTATAATATGCTACACGAACACCACGAACAGGCATTTTAAAGAATGTGTATCAAAAAGGAGATTAATTATGTATATTATGAAATACGAACACCACGAACAGTCTTCTTAAAGAATATGTATCAAAAAGGAGATTAATGATGTAAAATAAGCCACACGAACACCACGAACAGTCTTTTTAAAGAATATGTATCAACAAGGAGAATTATGATGTATAATATGCTACACGAATACCACGAACAGTCTTTTTAAAGAATATGTATCAACAAGGAGAATTATGATGTATAATATGCTACACGAATACCACGAACAGTCTTTTTAAAGAATATGTATCTAAAAGGAGATTAATGATGTATAATATGCTACACGAACACCACGAACAGTCTTCTTAAAGAATATGTATCAACAAGGAGATTAATGATGTATAATATGCTACACGAACACCACGAACAGTCTTTTTAAAATGTCTCTGATCTTAGGAAAGGCAACGGTTATTGATGAGGAGGTTTTGAACTCTATGCTGAAAGAAATCTGCGCTGCCCTGCTCGAAGCTGATGTTAATATTATGCTGGTTAAACGTCTCAGGTTCGTCAAAGTTTTGTTTTGATTCTATTTTCACTTTTTAGAGACCCACGAGAATCTGAAATCTGGAACTAAAATTGCTCTAACAAATCATTTAAAATTTTACAAAGATATAAGTTTCAAACTAGAAAGTAATTCTGAAACCTCTTTCTTCTGTCAGAGGAAAACATTCGGAGCAAACATGAAAAAAGATACTTTTGAGCCTGTCATAAAACATTGCCACTCGAAAACGCTGATTCTTAAAAACTTGTTGTACAACCATATAACTGCCTGTTTGCTGAACATTTTAATGTACAAATTTTGACTTTTATTTCTTGTTTAGGGAGAACGTGAAGAAAGCTATAGACTTTGACGAGGTTGCTCAGGGATTAAATAAAAGAATTATAATTCAACAGGTACATTTAAGGGACTAATAACTCAATTTTCTGCAATTATTAATAGAACTTCTTAATCCCATAACAAATAAGCGGAATTTGAACAATCGTGGTAATTTTTCTTCTGGTCTTTGCTCTACAATCTTTTAAAGTTATTCATCGTTACCCAGATAAATCAATTTAAAAAATTTTTCAAATAAGTTTTGAACATTTTCAGATTTATCGATCCATCTGCATCTACTTATCTACTTATCTATCTATCTGTATTTCTACTAATAAATCTAACTATCTACTAATCTATCCATCTATCTACTAATCAATCTATCAACTATTTACTAATATATGTATCTATCTACAAATCTATTAATGAATCGATCCTAAACTATCTATTTGTCAAGGCTGTGTTCCAAGAGTTGGTTCAGCTAGTTGACCCTGGTGTTAAGCCCTACCAGCCCAAGAAGGGTAAAGCCAACGTGATCATGTTTGTTGGTCTGCAAGGTATGCAACTTTTCAAGCAAATGTTTGCCCGCATTTTTTCGATCCGTTTCGAGAAGTTTTTTAATATATGAACTCGTTCTGTATCTGTATTGATTTTAATGAACATTATTTTTAAGGATCTGGTAAGACGACGACCTGTACGAAGCTAGCTTACTATTACAAGAAGAAGAATTGGAAAGCGTGCTTGGTGTGCGCAGACACTTTTCGTGCAGGCGCGTACGATCAGCTCAAGCAGAACGCAACCAAGGAACACACAAATACATATACTGGAAAAATTGCTTTATTTTTTTTTCCCTTTAAAAATCATATATACTTTTTTCCTTATATAGTTTGACCCATTCAAATTAGAAAATTGAATCTTGGTCTACTTTCAATGAACAAATGTATAGTTTTCATAAAATAAAAATAAAAATACTAATATTAGATGCATATTTTGATATTTTATCCCCCGTATTAATAATCTTTTTTGTAAGTAAAATTTTGTAATAAAAAATATTTTAAATTGTTGTTGAACTAGGCTGGTATACCGTTCTACGGGAGCTATACAGAGGTTGACCCAGCTGTTATAGCTGGTGACGGGGTAGACATGTTCAAGAAGGAAGGTAATACAAAGTTATTTTGGTCTTCATTGTTCAACCGTACTAACGTTAGTTTCGTCTAACAAGTATGGTGGAACACCAAATTGTACTAAATTAGTTGAGTTTAGCAGATTAAATGCTGTGTTGTTCAGATTTGGTGTTTAATCTGACTAAAATTAGTTGTGTGGGTTAGATTTAGTGTTTAGTCTGACTAAAATTAGTTGTATGGTTCAGATTTGGTGCTTAATCTGACTAAAATTAATTCAGATTTGGTGTTAAATCTGACTAAAATTAGTTGAATGGTTCAGATTTTGTGTTTAATCTGACGAAAATTAGTTTCGTGGTTCAGAAGTACGAGATGGAGAACATCTCGAGTATGAACACCCTAAACACATCATAGTTTATAAAGATTCTCAGATCTTACATTAGCTCCCGCCTGCTCTCAGAATTATATTCTGTTGCAGATTCATGCCTTGAAAATAATTTAGAATTGGATCGCGATTAACAAACCTCACATTTAGTTGAAAATTATAAGATACATTTTGTTTCCAGCAAAAGATTTATTCAGAAATCTTAAGTTTTTTATGGGGAGGGGGGGGGGGGTGCCCGTCCCCGCCTGGAAACCCTTCTCTCCGCCGGCCCTAGGCCAGGATTATACAATATTCTACCTTATCCTCATTCTAGGTTTTGAGATTATTATTGTTGATACGAGTGGACGTCATAAACAGGAGGAGAGCTTGTTTGAGGAGATGTTGGCAGTTTCTAACGCAGTAGGACCTGACAATGTCGTCTTCGTTATGGACGCTAGCATTGGTCAGGTATGTCGTCTTCGTAATGGATGCTATTAAATTTATTCCTGTTTGGGGGGGGGGGGGCGGTCAATTTGACCCCCCTCTGTAGTTCTTTTACGTAACTCAAAAGTATTTGTCTGAGGCTGTTGAATTTCAATGATCATCCCGAGTCCCCAAATCAAAATTTGTGAATAAACAGACAAACAGAGATTACAACTTTTTATATATAGATCATCTTAATATTGTTATTCTATATTCTAGGCGTGTGAAGCACAGGCGAAGGCGTTTAAAGACAAGGTTGATGTTGGTAGCGTTGTAATCACTAAACTGGACGGACACGCTAAGGTAGGATCAGGGGATTACATTTTTTAATTGAGAGATTATACAGGGTGTATTCGGGACTAATTAGAAAATTTCAGTAGAATGAATCTTCTTGAAAAATAACATAAGGCTTATATAAGAATTTTTTTTGCGGAAAATGATAAGTTTTTCGAGTATTAAGGGTTTATTTTGGTGTTAAAGATTGGAGGCAATCTAATATGATATGGGACGCTCTGTAGAATAAATGTTATTAACAATATTTATTTTTTAATGAACACAAAAAAATGAGAAATTAAGAATTTACCTTTAAATAATCAGAGGTCGAATTTAATGAATTAGATCCGCATCGCTCAACCGCCAATCACCGAATTGCACGCTGGCTCAAATCTCTAAACACTTATTACAATTTCAAATTGAACAAACCATGTTTGAACCGCATCTATACGCGGTTCAAATTCTTTAAATTCGGCCTCTTGCATACCTGTTAAATTGATATATTTTAGTTCAAGAACTGATTTAAAAAGGTAGTTAAAAGAAGTTTACTATTTCTTTAAACTTTAGGGTGGTGGTGCACTGTCTGCCGTAGCAGCCACAAAATCTCCAGTTATCTTTATCGGTAAGTTTTGAAGTTTTAAAATTTGCAATTGATTGAAGACATTTGGTTGATGTCCCATGATCGCTGTACTTCTTAGGAGCAATTTAATTTTATGTTTACAACCCCTTTAAAGGGACTGTATGCGTAATATCAATTGAGCATCTATGTAAAGATACCTGATTCACAACGGTACACTTAAACTTAATGCTTTGTCTGATCAAGCGTGAGTTAGATATCAATATTCATAATTTTGATTGCTGAATATTTTCAATTGTGATTCTTTTCAAAAAAGACTTTTGCTGTTCTACTGCAGGAAAACATATGGGAATCATTAGAATTAAACACTTTTAAACCAAAAAACGACAATATCTTTCACATTATTGATCGGATAAAGATTTCAAGGGTACCGTTGTGAATTGGACAATGTCATCTTTGCATGGAGGGTCACTTGAAATGACGCTTGTACAGTCCATTTAAGTTGGAATTTTACGCTATCATTTTCTGAAAATTATATATTTCTGGAATGTATTATTTGAAAATTGAGTTGCCAGCCAATTGAAATAACACAATGAATCATCTATCATAGGAAATGTATTGTAAGGAAACGTTCAGTAAGGAAACGTCTTGTAAGTGCTTCATGAAGGAAACGTTTTTTAATGGGAAAGTTTTATAAGAAAACGTTTTGTTGCAGGAAACTTTTGTGTAGGAAACGTTGTGTAAGGAAACTTGAAGTAAGGAAACGTATTGTAAGAAAACGTTGTGTGGCAGGAAACGTTCAGTAAGGAAGCGTTCTGTACGGACACGTTCTGTAAGTGCTTCAAACTAAACCTTTAGTAAACCTGTGTGTTCAGGAACTGGAGAACATATTGATAATCTTGAGATGTTCGAGGAAAAAGCTTTCATATCTAAACTGCTGGGGATGGGAGATATTCAGGTATTCAGATTTTTATTTGATCTAGGACTGTATATTTTCTCGAAAAATCATTTTCCTCTTCGCCCCCTTTTTTTATTCGTTAAATTGGAGGAAAATAAATGGGTGTTTGGGTAAAAAGTATGAAAAAGAATGAAAAAAATTGTCTTTGATGTCCAATTTTTCATTTTTTTTGAATATAACTTGAACTATTCAGGGTTTGATGGATAAAGTGAAGGACTTGAATATAACTTGAACTATTCAGGGTTTGATGGACAAAGTGAAGAACTTGAATATAAGTTGAACTATTCAGGGTTTGATGGATAAAGTGAAGCACTTGAATATAACTTGAACTATTCAGGGTTTGATGGACAAAGTGAAGGACTTGAATATAACTTGAACTATTCAGGGTTTGATGGATAAAGTGAAGGACTTGAATATGGACGAGGAACAGATGATGAAGGATATACAGAAAGGAAGATTCACACTCAGGTATTGTTTAACATGCCCCTTAACCTTTCCACGAGAGGGTGAAGGCAGCCCGCACCCGCAGTGCTTTCACCCCGAAAATGACATTATAAAAACGGATTTGTAGGAGTGCTTCCGACCCGCACCTTTTTTCCGAATTATCTTTTGCTACTGGAACTAGCTTACATTGGTACTCTTTTAATTTTTCGCAATTTCTCCCTTAATTTGAATGTGAACGGAATTTTCAGTGACCTTTATTAGAGTGGCATATCCGATTCACCTGTGTCAGATAAAGGACGAATTAGATATCCTCCTTTTTTCTTGAAAAATTTATTATTTTCAATTGTGGTCGTAAAATTAGATGACTTTTGGATATTTAGAGATATTGTAGAAAATCGTTAAAATTAAGTAAATACATTTTAAGAAAGAAAAACGATGATATCTTTTAGTTATAGCACTTCGTAAATCGGACATGACTCTCTTAATGGTGGCGGGTGACTTGAAATTAAGCCCGCAGTCCCTTTAAAGTGTATTTTTTTTCAAAGGAACATGTACGAGCAGTTCCAGAACATCATGAAGCTTGGACCAATCAGCCAAGTTATGGGAATGATTCCAGGATTATCCTCCGTCTTCGGACAAGCAGGTAAACAAAACTGAATATAAGGAAATACAAAGATTATTGTAAGATTTGATCATATATTTTCAGATCGAGTGTTTGATTGATTGATTAATCACTAAACTTGATTGATTGATTGTTTTGATGGATTAATAACGATAATTAAGAACAAATAAATGTGTTAATTAATTTTAATTTTTTGTTGTTTTATTCTTTTATTTTTTGCATGTATGACGGTATGCTGGTTGCTTTACTGGTATGATTGATTGATTGATTGATTGATTGATTGATTGATTGATTGATTGATTGATTGATTGATTGATTGATTGATTGGTCCCTAGGAGGTCAGGTGTCTGATCAGGAGAGTATGAAGAGATTAAAGAAACTGATGACCATCATGGATTCAATGAACGACAAGGTAAATGCACGATCTTGTCTTTCCCTTTTAATCGCTACAAATTTCAAGTTTCCATTTTGTAGAGTTCAGGCTTTGTAGATTAGCGCTATTTTATACAAAAGTTGCGACATTACAAACAACTCTTCTTCGTAGAAATATTATTGATTTGGATATGTATGTATTACAGATTTTTTTATAATAGCTTTGATTTCCTTTGTTAATTTTTAACTTCAATATTGTAGAGTATAATCGCTACTCGTTGTAGATTAGCACTTATTTCATCTAAAAGTTGTCACATTACAAAGTATAAAGTATATTTTCTTCTTCGGATATGAATTATGGATCTTTGTAAAAGTTTTGATTTTCTTAGTTAACTTTTAACTTTGTATTCTTTGCTGGAAAATATGCTTTTAAAATACTTTGTTCATCAGAATTTTTTCAGGAGCTGGATGATATGGAGGCTACTAAAACATTTACCAAGCAGCCGACCAGGGTTACCAGGTAATTCTTGGTGCTTCCCGCCACCCTTTTCAGGACTATTCTGTACATTAAAAATCAATTGAACTATTTTCTATTTTCTTGGTGATAAAAGTAGAACCAAATTTTCGTTTTTAGACACATTTTCTAATTCAGACGAGAGTCGAGACACATCAAAACTATAACCCACCCTTACGCAATTTTTTTTTCCTAAATCAGCCAAACAAACCAGTTATAAAAGTAAACTTTTGATCCGTTCCTGTCACTTTTTTGTGTTAAGATTTTTTTATGTTCAGTATTATTTTATGGATGTTTTTAGTTTCATTATTATTCTTTGGTAGGGTTGCCTGTGGAGCAGGAGTTACAGAGATGGAGGTGCATGCTCTCCTAGACCAGTACAAGAAGTTCTCTCAGGTTCCTGGATTGATTGATTCATTGATTGATATTTGTATAATGTATCTGTATTGAAGTGATTGATATATAAATTGATTCTTTATTTTTAAGTCAGTATCTTGATTGATTGATATGATAGTTAATTGATTGATAAATTTATTGATTGATGATATATTGAATTGTGGATTAATATACTAGTTAATTGACTGATGGATTGATTGATTGGTTGGTTTGTTATTTTTAGTTTTTGCTTGATTGATTTGTTGATTGATTTATTTGTTTAGATACATTAATTTAATCTTGAATTATTTATCTTAAATTAATTGTGTTCTGATTTACCTAGGTTGTGAAACAGATGGGAGGAGTCAAGGAACTTTTCAAGGTAATATATTGATTATTTATTTATATATTAATCGATCTATTTTACTTATTTATCTATTTATTTCTTTATCGATCTATTTTACATATTTATCTTTTTATTTATTAATCGATCTATTTTACTTATTTATCTATCTAATATCTTATCTTTTTATCTATCTATTTATATATCTATTTAGATATTCCTGATTTATATTTCTATCTATCTATTCCAAATATCTATATCTATTCCAACTATCTATCTATCTATTGATCACTCGATGTACATATTTTTCTATTCTATTCCACTCATCTATCTATTTATCTGTCTATCTATCTATCTATATACCCCTGGGCAGTCTAGGTCTCGCATATCGGATGGCTTTTATATTTTACCTTTTATTCTGATCTATCTATTCCAACTTTTTATCTAATCATCTATCTATCATCTATCTTAACTATCTATATTCTATATCTATGTATATTGTATATAATAGGATGAAAAGCAGATGAAGAACTTGAACCCTGCAAAGATGGGGAAGGTGTACCAGAGTATGGCGAAGGCAATGGATCCACAAATGCTCAGGTAAGAGCCAGGATACCGCTTCAGAAAGTGTAAAAAAATTATTCGATTTTTTAGTTTTATAAAACCTTTGTAGTGTAATATTGAAAGATTTTACGCCTGAATTTAAAAGGGTTCAGGGTGAATCGAAAAGATTAATTAATATTAAATAAGTTTTAATGTTTAATTTATTTTGATATTAGGGCTATCGGCGGTATGTCTGGTATTGAGAGTATGATGAAACAGATGCAACAGGGCGGTCAACTTCCAGGAGGAATGGGGATGCAAGGTAATATCGGGGAAGTGAGTTAAAGGGGGGGGGGAGGTAAAAGTGGAAGGGAGGAAAGTGGAGTGGAAGGTAGGCAGGTGGAGTGGAAGGTATGAAAGGGGTGTGGAAGGTTGGAAAGTGGAGTGGAAGGTAGGAAAGTGGAGTGGAAGGTAGGAAAGTGGAGTGGGAAGAAGGAAAATGGAGTGGGAGGAAGGAAAGTGGAGTGTAAGGTAGGAAAGCGGAGTGGAAGGTAGGAAAGTGGAGTGGAAGTTATGAAAGGGGTGTGGAAGGTAGGAAAGGGAAGTGGAAGTTAGGGAAGTGGAGTGGAAGGTATGAAAGGGAAGTGGAAGGTAGGAAAGGGGAGTGGAAGGTAGGAAAGGTGAGTGGAAGTTAAGAAAGTGGAGTGGGAGGTAGGAAAGTGGAGTGGAAGGTAGGAAAGTGGAGTGGAAGGTAGGAAAGTGGAGTGGAAGGTATGAAAGGGTTGTGGAAGGTAGGAAAGTGGAGTGGAAGGTATGAAAGGGAAGTGGAAGGTAGGAAAGGGGAGTGGAAGGTAGGAAAGGTGAGTGGAAGGTAGGAAAGTTGAGTGGGAGGTAAGAAAGTGGAGTGGGAGGTAGGAAAGGGCAGTGGAAGGTAGGAAAGCGGAGTGGAAAGTAGGGAAGCGGAGTGGAAGGTATGAAATCGGAGTAGAAGGTAGGTAGTGGAGTGGAAGGTAGGTAGTGGAGTGGAAGGTAGGAAAGCGGAGTGGAAGTTAGGAAATTTTTTAAACTTCTCCTATTTTCCCACAAACATAAAAAATACGTTTATTTATTTAGGTTTAGAGGCTATGATGAAGAAGAAAGGAAAGAAGTAGAGAAAATAAACGAGTTCCCTGTGATACCAGAGCCAGACAAATTTTTATAAAATTTTGAAATCTTTACATAACATTTCTAAAGGGTTGAAACTTAGAAATAATTGTCGAACATGAACAACTGATATCTTGACAAAATATCTTATTTTGAAAGGGTTACCCTAAAAGGATGAGAATTCAGAAACGATTGTACTTCACGCAATTTATTTTGTTACTTCTAATTGTTTTAGGTCGTCATTAAATAAAGTCTCATCCGATAACCCTGTATTTTAAGAATATGTAAATGAAGCCCCAGTGCATTTTTATTCATCCTTTTTTTGCTTTAACTTAATAAAGTATTTTCTTTTATAAATTCAAAAATTGTTAAAATGGTTTCATTTAATTGTTTTATTATAAATCAGCCATAGTCTAAAACTAAAGAATGCGCGAATTTTAAGTTCGAGGTTAAAATTTCTGTAAAATAATGAATAGCTACTTAAATATTAAACTTTCTCAATTTTAAATTTGAATTTCCCGGGAAAAATCCGAACCAATCAGAGAAAAGGATTTACGGAGAATATTACATAACCATCGCTAATCAGCTGTTCTTACGTAACCGAAAACAAAACATACAACCGTTTTTTGGGTCCGTTTACATCCAAAAATTAATTCTAAAACGTGAAATTTCTTTAACAAGGTTTTCACTTTTAAATATATCGTAAAGTTGAATGCCGCTTTCTCAGCTGCAGCTGAATGATGATTGAATAATAGACAAATATGGAAAATGCAGGATTTCAAGATAATTTAAACCTCTGTTTAAATTTTAACTAGTCGATTTCGGCGAGTTAAATATTTAACCACAGGGTTAAATATTTAACCTCATGGTTAAAGTTCAGGTTTAAATTAAGTCAGAAGTGGCATTTAACCATGAACTTAAAATTTAAGTCAAAACTTTTCGTTCTTTAGTTTTAGACTCTGGTCATTAATGAATCAGACTTATAAGAGCTGTTCTCGAAATTTGAAAGGGGTTGGGAAAAATCAAAATGAAATAATATTTAACTATTTTCATATTAATCTGGTAACTATCAGATCGTATATAGAATAGTACCAATCACAATATTTCGTCCTAAACAGCCATTCAAACTTTATGAGGACTGAGGAGTCCTTTTGATAAATTAATTAAATAATGAAGTTAATTATGTTGTTACAGACTGGTAAAAATGTTGAAGAAAAAGGGCAAGGGAATTAAAACTGGTAAGGATAATATCACAATATGAAGATATACAATACATAGAATAATAATTGAACCCGAGATGGGATTTAAAGAATTTCAGCCGCGGTTTAAATCCGCCAAAACCCGGTTTAAATTAAGCGCCGGCTTAAATCTTGAAACATTTGATACAATTTTAAGTGGAACCAGCCATATTTAAACCGCGGCTTTAGTTTAAACCGCCGCTCAAATTCTTTAAATTCGGCCACAGGTTTTGAATACGTCAGTAACCATAAACTTTAAAGCAAGTCCCATTCTTTATGTGAACTTAAATATTTTTTTCATTTGTCAAATTTTTTTTGCTAAGTTCAATAATTACTTGTTCTTTCCCATTAAATAACTATTTCGGTGACTTTTCCTTTAACTAGGTGAAGAGACGGGAGTGTCAGCTCGTCAAACCGGTTTACTGGACGCTTATACAGAAACTCAAACAGCTGCCTCCGCTTCAGATTCCGGTAGGAGGAGGGGGGGGGTACTTATGTAAAAGAGACAGCAGACGTTATTTAAAGGTCTGATACTCCTTCTCATTGTTTCACAGAAAGGTACCGTTGTAAATTGCACATTCCACTCTTTTTTTAATTGAGGATCACTTGAAGTAACATCTTCAGTCCCTTTAAGGTTTCGGGTTCTATCAGATGTGTGTGAGAAGGGCGGGGGGGGGGGGGACTTTGGATCACTTATCTTATATTTAGAGCAAATTGCTATAACTAATATGGGTGTTGGGTAAGATCTTAAATTAATGCAATTTAACATTAGACGGTTCACGAATATTCAAGACAGAGAAAACAGATTTTTTGGGAAATACTCAAAAGTTGGTTGTACCGGAACTATGTATTCCTTCGAGAAGACAGTCTTATTTTCATCTATTCACACTGGTATATCATCTTGAGAATCCCCCCGACCCCAGAAGGAATATACTTTTGATTTTCTAGTGAAGAAAATGTAAAAATTGTATATTAGAAGACAAGTGTTCTCATCCTTTATGAAACTTTTTCCTAAAAATCTTTTATTTTTCCTAATTCCGCAAACTTCTGGAGAAAATGGTGTTCAAAAGGAGATTTTTCTCCAATTCTGTTTGTTTAGACAAGTTCAAAGAAGGATATAAGAAGAAAGGGAAGAAGAATGAAAAGTCTAGAAAATCTGAATCGGAAGATGTTGTGAAGGAAGAACCAAAGGTGGGAGACAATACAGATTTTTGTGGCAAATCTAAAGAATATTTTGTTACTCAAAAAGATTAACCCTGTTTTTTATGTAAAGGGATAATTATTTAAAAATTTTACTTTATTTAGATCTCAGAGATTGTTCTCTTATATTTTGGCTTTTGTAGAAATTTTGTTTTCCTCGATTTAGGAATCAAGAAGAGAGCAATATTTTATGCCAATAATTGTTATTAATAAATTCTACTTATTTTGTATTATGAACTTAACAAGGAAAATAATCAATCAATGAAAGAAAAAAATCTAACATAATTCAGGATTTCTTTTTAGAATTAAACATACTTAGAGGTCATAACATTGATTTATAAAGGGGATGGTGGAGTTGGCACATTTGATGTAGGAGGGGGGGGGGCCTGCCTTCATTTTTGATTCAAATCTTCAAATTTTTTGGGTGCACGCCTAATTAGTGATCGAAATCTCTAATGATCGAAACCTCTAATGACCTCCACAAATAGAAAATATTTCAACTATGGCTTTATGCATATCAAACGAAAGCTAGGAACCCAGGGAATACACTAGCAGCAACAAATCTAGTGTTAGACCTTCTAATGACCTCTGACGACCTCTAATGACCTCCAAAAT